CACTCTGGAAGAATGGCAGATGAAGGTGATTGACTATATGGAACTGGCGGAAATGACTGGCAGAATCCGAGACCAGGGAGAAGAGTCGGTGGAAGAAGATTGGAAGAAATTTAAAGACTATTTACAGAAATATTGTAAAATTAATGAATGTTAGAATGATGTTGGATAGAAATTAAGTGGTTTTTAGCTGCAATACTATAAGGGAATATGAAAAATGGATTACTAATAGGTAAAAATTTAATGTTACAATATTTTAAGATTAAAGATTAGGATAAACAAAGAGGGGAAGGATTTGCTGAACCAACAAACTGAACTGGAATACAAAAAAGGGAGGCGTGAGGAGGTCCGGGAAACAAGCTAATGAAAAATAAGTAATGGAAAGATTGTGTTGTTGAGGAGGCGTGTTGCAGGAGCCGGAGCGCGTCGTTACCACGTGCTGAGCCCCGCGAGCTTCAGAGCCGGAGCCCGAGCGCTGGAAATGGTTGTGGTGAGAGGTCAGTGACTGTCATGTCAGGATGGCAAAAATTAGAACCAAAGAATCAAAAGCCCCAGCAGGCAACTCCACAAGTATATCAGAAAATTTAAAAAAACAACACAGGAAGGAGAAGAAGAAAACATTGTTTTGGAAAAAGAAAATCAAAGGGGCAAGGAAGAAAGCACAAAAGGATTCCAAAGCCATGGCAGATATGCCTCCGAAAAATCCTCAGGAAGTTTCGTGCAACTGGAAGGCCTTGCAGGAGCTTCTGAAACCAAAGGCTGCCATTCTGGATTCCGCTCTTACTGCCCCCAGCACACATTCCAAGGGCAAAAACAAGGCCATAGAGGGAGGAGCTGCCCTCAAAATGCCAAAGGTAAACGGAAGTGAGAGGATGCTGGCATCCAAGCCCCCAGAAAAGGCCAAGAAGAATCAGGCTGAACATTTTGCTCATCCAGTTTCTGCAAGCTCTGAAAAGCCTGTACATGGAAAGAACTCGCACCAGGCCCAGGAGGATGGAAAAGGGCCCAAGGGAGGCCCTAGAAGGGGCAATGTTGAGAGGAACTATGGGGACATTAAAGAGAAAAGAAGGAAAGCAGAAGAAGAAGTGGAACCAAAGCCAGCAGATATCTGGTTTGATGATGTTGATCCTGATGATATCGAGGCAGCCATGGGTCCAGAAGCAGCAAAAATTGCCCGGAAAAATCTGGGCATCCCAGAAGTCAGACCCCAGCAGTTAGCAGAAGTAACACTGGTTAAAGAAAAGGCTTTTGAAGGCCTAACCAAAGCTGTGGCCATGGACTGTGAAATGGTGGGCGTGGGACCCACAGGCAAAGACAGCATTGTGGCCCGTGTGTCCATTGTGAACCTCTTTGGCAAGTGTGTTTACGACAAGTATGTCAAGGCAATGGAAAAAGTGACAGACTACAGGACGGCCGTCAGTGGGATTCGGCCTGAAAACCTAACGACAGGTGAGGATTTTAAAATCGTTCAGGAGGAAGTGGCCAGCATCCTAAAAGGAAGGATCCTTGTTGGTCATGCTCTTCACAATGACTTAAAGATCTTGTTCCTTGACCACCCCAAGAAGAGAATCCGGGATACACAAAGATACAAGCCTTTCAAACAAGAGGTCCAGAGTGGGAGGCCATCTTTGAAGCTGCTCTGTGAGAAACTGCTGAATGTGAAGGTGCAAGCTTTGGAACACAGTTCAATTCAGGATGCCCAAGCAGCCATGAGGCTGTACATGATGGCGAGGAAGCAGTGGGAAGCCTCGCTCAAAGAAAAATCAAAGACCAAGAAATAATAAATCTGAGTATCTCTGGATATGTCCTGCTTGCTGTACTGCCCAGCACTGACTTGAGTAAAAATATCAGTTGTCCTAAAAAAAAAAAAAAAAAAGATTGTGTTGTTTTTAATTATTTTTATTTTGTGTTTTTCTTTTTTTTAATTTTTATTTTGTAATATTTTGAAAACCTTAATAAATATCTTATAAAAAAAGAAGTCTATTTATTATTTTTTTCAACTCAACTGGGCATATATTAGGTACCACACCAGCCATTCAGACTGAGAGCCATTTCACTCATTAAAAAACTATGATGAGTTTACTTTGTCACATAAAGCTGTGTATTTGGGAAGGAATTGTGGTGGTTTGCTTGAAATCCTCCTGAAAAGTGGCACTGTTAATCTTTTGCTTCTGTGCCATAAGGATAACACTTTATGCCCCCCCCCCCGTGTCTTTCTATGAAAATAAGATTTTAGAGTTGCAGGGATTGTGTTTGGAGTTCAGACACTACTAAATGCTTCCAAACACCATTAACCACCCAATGCAATCAATTGGCATACATTCCAAGGTATAGCTATATAATATTCAGTCCTTTTCCAGGGCAAAGTAAAATCCAGGTATATCTGGACAATATCTTTTGGGCAGAAAATACATGCAGAAAATATTGCTGTCACACGCTTACTGATTTTTGTCAGGATTTGTTCTAAGCCTGTATAGAGACAAGCGCTGCCTGGAGGAACAGGAATGTCTTTACTGCTAATTATGGTGCTAGTTCTGATTCTGGAGCAGTAGCTTGATAACTGGACATGCATTTGAAAAGGAAATATGATATTTACTAGTCAATTTTACACTTAAGGAAAGAGTTCTGCTTCTTGTTGTTTTAAAGGACGATATGAGCACCTCCGTTGATGGGTTCCAATCCTTTTTACATACACTTTTAAAAAAATAAAATCAAGTAGAATTATTCCAAAAATGATCTGGAAATGGGAGACAGTTGTATTACTAATGGACATTAGCCACTCGACGCCTGCAAATGTCACACCAAAATGAACACACGCCTATTGTTAACAGTGCTGACCACATGCTTTAGAGAGACACAGCCTGTTAACAGAAACTTGCAAATGCCATGGCAGAACACAAAATGTAGAAATGCCATTGCCAGGGGTTTACAACACTGCTAGCAAATAACTGTGTGCAGAGGGGAAAATATTACTGTCTATACTGTACATAGCCCTAGTTAATTTTCCCACATTCCTTAGATCTGGGAATTTTGAGTATGGGTCTCCTGCTTCTGAGACTGTATTTTAAAACAGAAAAAGCACTGCTATAGTTGAGCATGCAGGATCTGTGAATATTAGTTCAGTGTTTAAATTTAGACAGCAAGTTGCTTTTCTCTTTTACTTTGCTGCTTTATTTTTAGACTTAGAAATGTACTTCCAAATCAAATCCACCCATCTTTGCCTCTCAGCTTTGGGCTGCTTTGACACTCCCCAAATGTAGAGGTTGCCTGGAGAGGAAAGATGATTTAATAATAAATTGTTCTGGGGTCTGAGGTTGGGATTCCCCGCCCCCACCCTTCTTTCCCCCTGAATGTGTATGTGGCTCTGACGCAGTTTCCTGAAAGTCCTGCCTGGTCCTGCCAGGGACTGAACGAATGTAGATCCCAGCTCACCCAAAGGGGAGTGGAGTGGAGGGGGAGAGAAGACTTTGCCAAACTGGCTTGACCAGAATGTGACACAAGAGCAGGAAATGAGTCACTCCTGGTAGGGCAGCTGCTCTCAGCCATTTGCATAAAGAGAAGCACCAGCAGAGGAGGGGAAAATGACACCAGGCCTCTCGGCCTGTCCTGAATAAAATCTGCGCTGCATTCAACTAGCTTGCAGGCTTCTGTCTTGATACGTTGTCCTCCTCTTCCCCCGCGCTGCCCCCACCCCTGTCCTTCAAACATCTCTCTGCTATATCTCACCCTGCAGAACCCCAAGCATTCAGGGTCTGGATCTTTTTAAAGTGCTGCCTGTCAAGTCAACATGAAACCTCTGTTTAAACGAAAGTACACACGCATGGCCCAGCCACCCAGCCTCCCTGGCACATTAGGATGGGTCGGGGCAAGGCCATTGGGGGGCCCTGGGTTATTTCCCAGGAGGAGCCCTGCTAAGCTGGCTGCACAAGGACAAAGCTCTGGCAAGGGGGATGATACAGACATAAACTGCTCTAGCATCGCTTCCATTGTCTCAATCGATTCCTGCCTGCAAAGGGATTAATTTTCCTCCTGCACTGAGCTAACCCAAGTAGGTCGGTCGGTGGGGTCCAGGGCAGGCTGGGTGGGAGGCCCTTTTGTGCCTTGGGATTTTGACAGAGAGAGGATTGTTTTGGCAGCCTCTAAGTCCCCTTTTATTAATAATTAGGGATGGGAGCCTGTCCTTTGCAGTGGTGACGCTTGCTCTTAAAAGGGCAAATTCGCAAGCAGGCCCAGCTGCAGGTAGGAGAGAGCTGAAGGGGAAACCGCTGGGGGATCTAAGACCCTCTTGTTTCTCACTGGGTGCCAGCAGTTTGAGGGGCATAGCTGTATGTATGTATGCCACACAGGATTAAAGTTGGACCTTGCATTCTATTATTTTATTAACGGATGTCCCAACCTTGTGGTGTTGGATATTAGACTTCTTTTGTGTTCTGTCGTGCTTTTTATCATTTTCATTTGCTGTATTTATTTTTAAAGTCATTCCAGCGTAGTATACCAGGACCTTGTGGGTGACTTGGAAGCAGGTCATAAGTCTGCCTAAAAGTGGGTTTTCAGAGCAATGGTCAGAATTTACAGAACTTTTGACTTCCTCGTCCAGAACACTGCCAGCACACAAACCACTGGGCACACCTAAAGGAGCTCTTTGGATAGAGACTCAAAAAGCTCTCTCTCTCTCTCTCTCTCTCTCTCTCTCTGTGTGTGTGTGTGTGTTTGTGTGTCTGTTAGTGAGTAGCTTTCTCCTTGTTTATATCTCCTTCCTACCATAGCATCCCCTTGTCAGGAAAGAGTGCCCAAGGGTTACAGCTTAAAAGGCACACATTTAGAAATATATAAAGCAATGTCGAATCTTACAGGCAGCTGCGGTGTCCTGCTGGTGCAGAAGTATAATAATTGTGTATTTTGTGTAAATAACATTTGAATAGGCCTGTACTGTTCACGAAGCAATGGCTGCTCTGCTTTGTCTTCTTCTAATGTGGATTATGCTTACCCACATGAATTGGTGTGTTGGCAGTTTATCTTTAGGCCCACATACTCCGTTTTAATCTGATTGGAGGATGGTGCTATTTATACAGGTTTAGTGGGTGGTTTGTTAAAGTGGCAGAGCAACCTGATCTTGACCTTCTGGAGCACCCAAAGATGGCCAAAGATATAGAGTAACTCTACTACGACTTCTGCTTTCCCACTCTGCCCTTTATTGAGCAGATTTCACAGAAGACGTTGTTGTGAGCAGAGACGGCCATGCCATCAGGCAGAGTGAAGCAGCCAGTCACCTCATACAAGACATGTGAAGGGAAATGGCAGCCTAGTGTTGGGGGACACCGCTGTAAGTGCCACACAGTCTGCCCTGCACCCCCTAAGTTAATCTGCTGCTCTCGGCTACAGTAGAAGGTGCTTTTCTGCCACCAGCATTGAAGTAAGTTTCAACTGTCAGTTTGGCTGGCTTCTGTATGTGGGATGCCATTTTGCCCTTTGCCTCAGACAACATAATTTCTTGTGCTGGCCCTGGTCATGCAGCACATGCATTAGTCCTGACCACAGCTATTTGGATCTGGACAGCAACTAGCCCTGGCGTCTCCAGCCACAACCCAATCTATAAATCTTTAAAGTCTTTTGTAAAGCTTTGGTTTAAACTCACACCACCCTGGGGAGGAAGGGAGGGAAGGAGTGATGTTTACCCTCCAACATTCCCCTCAGGCCAAAAAACCTTTAACCTCTTTTTATATTTTAAAAATAGTTTAATCTGTGTTAAAATGTGAGAGTCAAACTTGGGTGCTAGAAAGCACTTTGTTTTTGAAACGTGCACATTTCTTTTTTATTCCCAAAGGGACGTTTTTTAGACGAGTGAAGAACAACTGTAAGGAAGCGGGGAGTGTCTTTGGTCAGTGACTGAATTTTAGGGGGTGAGGAGACAGGTCAAGTTCAGCTGAGAGGCAGCTCTGTTGCTTTAATGAACCATCGTTGTAAACAACATCTTCCTCCACTCAGAGGAGTCTGTGAAATGGTGAACATGGTTTAATGGATTCCTTCATGGACATTGCAGCATGAGCCAGTATTTTTTTGATGCAAACTGAGTGACATGACTGCCCTCACAGTATTTTCCCTGGGCATGAAACAGTTTTTCCCTCAACAGGCATTTGCAGCATATAAAGGCACATTTCTGGGACAGAAATGATTCACGGGGATGACTAAGAGGCTACAGGGCCTTTTGAAGCTACAGTGCCAGTTTGTGTCCAGCCCTGGTGGTTGATAGCTGCTACCGGCCAGTGGCCTGTGTGACTACATGCAAAAGGAAGCTGCTGGCTCCAATGGCTGCTTCCTTGGGTAAAGAATCAATCTTTTACACTGACAGGGAGGACCAACATTTTATGGACAATGGCAGCTGAACTCTTTCTTTGGTTTTGCTGGAGGCCTCTGCAGAAGGATTAGGAGCCCCCACTGCAGGATGCAAAAATATGATATATCCACCATGTGCCACAGACCTGTAATGCGTATCCTTTTATAATAAGAGGTGTCTGTGATCTTAGGCAGGATGGCAGGTATGTAGATGGTGGTGTGGCTGTGTATTCAGTATACTGAGGAAAAGACAAATACCGTAAATAGTGTAATGTATAAAGCTTGAACACAGTAATGACGTAGGAGCAGCCTTTGGCTGTAGTCCTACATACTTACCTGGGTAAGCTCTATTGGACACAGTAAACATGAATATTATTATTAGAATTATTTATTTATACCTTCTCTCCCCCTGCCCCGGGACAGGGACTCAAGGCGGCTTGCAGATAAAAAATAAGAACAGCTGAAAACATTGTTTTCCAGCTGTCTGTAACACTAGCTTTTCTGCCCATAGGCTGTTTTGACCTTTTTGGTCCATCATCTACAGGAGCAACTGCTATGAGACTTTTGGAAGAGGCAATCTGTGCTGGAGAAAAATGAGCAAGGAGGTGCTCTTCTCTTTGAGCTGTCTCCCCACCCCCATGGGGGGTTCCAGATGCAAGGTAAAACATGTATGGAATTGCATTAGGAGAAAAGCAGTTTGGAGCAGGGAAGTTGTGGGGGAGAAGCAGGGATACTGGGAAAGCTTAAAAACCCTCATCCCAGTTCTTTGGGACAAATTACCCTGCCAGAAGTGTCTTGGCCTCTTCAAGTAGCATGCTGATCATTCCATCATGAGACAATCAGAAAACCATTATGGGATTATGGAAAAACATTATCCATTATCTTCACTTACCACTTTTGAGTTGAGGGGATGTGTTTGCTTATTTACCTTTCTATGTAAAATAAATCTAAAGAAAATTTCCCAAAATGGCAATAAAACACACTGAAAAACACTGTTAAAATTAATATAAGAAAACCAAAAGCAGGATAAAACAATTCAGCTTAAAAGCAGGGAGCTAGAAGTTTAAGCTATTGTAATATAAAGTCCAATGGAAGCGCTTCCAACCTCTGGCGTGAAAAAGTTTCATAGTTTCACAGTTCATGCTGGCCCTACCATTAGGCAGAGTGAAGCAGCTGCCTCAGGCCACAGATGATGGTGGGTGGGAAGATCTTTGAGGGCAGAGAGGTATGTGCCATGTGACCTGCCCTGAGCCACCTAAGAGAGTGTGCTGTCCCACTGCCAAAACTGAAGTAAGATTCCATTGTTTTAATGGATGGTTTCTTTTACATGGAGTGAGTTGGGGTCATGAATCTTGTCCTTTGCCTTATGCAACAAAATGTCCATAGTCAGCCCTGAGTCCACGCCCTGAGTTCATTTTTGGTGTGATGTTGGTTTTTATTCAACATTTTAAAACGTTTTTAAAACTGACAAAAGATCTATGCTGCTGCCCTTAAAATATTTCTTTTAGTGCTCTGTTATCCCTGGTGGTCCCTGTTTTTCTGAAAAATGTGAAGTTATTCTTGATACAGTAACTTCTGTACTGAATCAGAATTTCCCAAACTGATGTGCTCCACAACTTCTGCTGCACAGGAAATGTTGTGGTGTTGGTATGCATGGTTAGAAAAAGATTGGAAGAAACTGCAGCTGGTTGGCTTTCCAACAGCACCACAAACCTAAATGAAAGGAAATGGGTGAGATCAACCCTGTTGTATTGGCAGAATTTGTTACAAGTCATTGAGAGAGTTTTTTGTTGTGATTAGAAGAGGATTCAAGGTTTGAGGGGGGCGGGGGAGACAGATCTCTTTGGAATCTTCTGGGCCATAAAAAGAACAGATTAAATCCTCATAGTTGAATCTGTGAGGGTTTATCTCTGTTTCTCATTCTCCAATCTTAAATTCAGCTCAAATTTTCTGCATCAGTTTACAGGGGTTTTTTTCTTTTAAAAAATATCCTCACCAAACGTCATGGGTGTTTTAGTGCACATCTCTCCTACTATATATACTCTTGTACGCAATTTTGCGTAATATACAGATTTCGATGAGCGATTTCCCCATACGTAATGCATTTTTGTATGCTATTTGCACTTACATATTTTATGTAGCATTTCCCTTAATATATGCATGTTTGTACACATCTGGTTAGAGAACCATATCAGAAAATTCCAAGAAGTGTGAATTTCAAAGTATACCTATATTTCAATTTGTATGTTGTGTCAGGAAGAGGAAGTAGGTTGGACTGAATTTCTCCTCCATCCCTACATCCAAAGTAAGAGTGGGCAGGACAGCAGCCATGCTAGATTAAGGTTGCAATTTAACTGTACATCTGGGAGATAGTCCCATGGAACTCAATGAGAATTGCTATCATCTAGTCATATGCAAGATTGTGCTGCAAGCAGTTGTAGGGCTTTGATTTCTTTCTTTTTTTAACACTGAAATAATTAATTGGCCGCAGTGGCTTAATTTAATCTGGATAATTGTTAGATCTCTGTATATCAGAGTCTGCTTTTTATTTGGGTTTGTTCTTATAAATCTGCATGCCTCTGAGTGGATGGCCAAACTGACAATATATTTAATGTTTATTGGAGATGTCCTGACTAGCCTGGAAGTGCTCTCTCTCTCTCTCTCACACACACACACACTGAACTGCAGCCTCTAAAAGCTATTCTGTCTCTTGCATGCCTCAACCCTTAGACCCAGTTGCAGCTGTTTGAAGCACGGCTGGACACTTGTTACTTCACCTGGCTTGAGCATGTGCAGTTGGTGTGAAGCATTCGGATGTTAAACGTATGGAAGGCTCTGTTGCAGCACTGCTTGAACACTTTGACTTATCAATGCAGCTAGAGCTGTTATATACTGCAGGAAAGGCCCTGTACTCAAGGACTTAAGAATCCCGCACCCCAGAACTGCAAACAGTGCAACATGGTGGTTCATTCGCATTAGCACTTTACTGTTGGTCTTGCCCTAATTCCTACTTGGCAGAGCCCTTCCTGTTGTAGGGTTTGGCTGTGATGAATCAGTATTATATTTGTGATAGTAATTAAAGCCCGTGCAGGCATTCCAAGCACTGAACAGAACGAGCGTTGCCTATTGCCTCCCGGGAGTGATCTTACTCATTGCTCTCTGTCATAGTCTCCCTGCTTCATGGCAAGAAGCACCCGTTTTCATGAGAAAAGTGGGAAGGGAGAAAGCTGTTCTGATGGGGAGTTGAGAGTAACTGCATCCCGTGGAGAGAAAAAAGCAGCAGTGTATATTGTGCAGGACTTGGATATAATAATTCATTGGGGGCGGGGTGGATGATAGTTCAAATGCAACAGATTGTGTTATGCAATCATAGGATGCTGAGCCAAACAGCATAATTTATAGAGCTCGGGCCAAAGAAGATTAGTTCCTTGGTTGTGAAATTTGGAATTTCCAAAAAGGAATGGAGTCATGCTGCTGGGGAAAGCAGCACGGAGGAGAATGCAGGGGGGAAAGTCTGATACTAGCTCAATGGATCTTTGATCTTGATTATTTTTTGTTGCCAAGGTATTGCAACAAAAACAGAAAACCTTGTATCGCCTTCAGAGACTCACAGTCACAAGTGACAAAAAGCATAACCCAGTGTTCAAATTCTGTGAAAATGTCTTTGATTTGTTTGTTCTTATTATATGCACTTATATCCCACCTTTCCTCCGTGGAGCTCAATGTGATGCAGACAGTTCTCCCTCTCCCCTGTTTTATCCTCACGACAACCCTGCAATGTAGGTTAGGGTGGGAGACAGTGATTGGCCAAGGAACACGGAGTGAGCTTTGTGGCTGGGTGGGGACTAGAACCCCAGTCTCCCAGGTCTTAATCCAACACTCTAACCACTACACCAAACTGGCTCATATCCTGCTTTTTCAAGAAGTAGCTCAATTTAGAGAACACAGTTCTTGTCCAGGCCTTTTTAAAATGTAGATTCAATAAGTGGAGGGAAGATCAGGAGTGAGATGTCGGACTTCACTCCTGACTGCCATGCATGTATAGAGCCCACAGCCTGTGAATATACACAGTTGATCACATGTTGATCAGTGACTTGCTACCATAATACAACCTCCACTCCAATAATGGGTCTATTTATGATCTAAAATGGACTGACTCTTGCCACTTTATTTTGGTACATGAGGACTCTGAAGTACTTGTGCTTCACAACAAGAAAATGCTTGGAACAAATAAGAGCCCATGCAGATATATCACAAAATCCCTGCTCAATTAAGACATGAAAGAAATGGAAGTTTTTTCACTGACTTTGCTAGAAAGTGAACTATACCTATATTGGTGCATCTATAACATTGTCCATCAGAGATGCGTAAACCTATTCTTAGCCACAGCAAACTGCTTGGCTACAATCATTGTGTTGGTGGGGGGACTAGCTTATAATCTATATAAATTATTATTGACAATGCCTTTAATTTTTGAAAATGTGCATGTCATAATTGGAGATATCTCAGGATACACAGAGTCATGTTTGCCATCACTAAAAGCTGGATGGAAATTAAGGCAGTAACTCTATGCATATGTACCTGGGAATAAGTTCCATGGACTTTTCTCCCAGGCAAATATGACTAGGGTTGGGTTGTGCAGGTAAAATTTGGTTGATTAAAAGGAGGAAGAAAGAGACATGCTGGAGGAAGAGAAAAGCAAAGCAAAGTGAAGAAAGCCCATGAATTAATATAATGATGACACATGGGTGTGCAAGATGAGAAGGGGAAGAGGGATGGGTTAGCTATGTTGAAAAGTATTTCAGGAAAGGATGCCACAATGCATCCACATTTCTACAGAACACCACAAGTCTTTCTTTATGAGAGAGCAAGAGCTTTGTCCACAATCCAAGGAAGATCCATGCACTTATACCCCTTGAATTATGGGTGTTAATTCTGTGCTTGATTATTGCCATTGCCTATAGACAGTGCTGTCTGCTTCTTCCAGATTCAGCCAAGTCCAATGGCTAGATGACCTGACTAAATCTGTTTCTGATTTTGACACTAAATATTGAAAGGTTTTCTTGCCAGACCAATGATAGGTCCAGACTGTGGGCTGGTTTAAGTGATTCATACCTGGAAGTGTCCAATGGATTGTGTAGTAAGTACATACTTCATCATATAACAGGCTTCCTCAACCTCGGCCCTCCAGATGTTTTTGGCCTACAACTCCCATGATCCCTAGCTAGCAGGACCAGTAGTCAGGGATGATGGGAATTGTAGTCTCAAAACATATGGAGGGCCAAGGTTGAGGAAGCCTGTCATACAACTTTCCCCAGTTAGTGGTCTGCCTGTGGGTTAGAAACTAACCAATAACAATTTTCCAGCATGCCACTTTGTTTATGTCTGAAAAAGTTTCTCACTGTCTCCCCCAGCATTGTCACTGTCTCACCATTTCCCCTTCATGATCAGGACATTTTTCATTAAAAAACATAAGGTCATTTTAGACACGTATCCCTTATCACCATAGTCTCCATGCAGATGTATTCTGTTAATTATCTGCTAAGGGAAGGCAGAGTTGTTTCTGACTTTGCAAAGTCCCTGCTACTTTATAATGTCACAGAAAAGTCTCAAGGGCACATACGTACGCAAATATGTCCTTTGATTTTTATTTACTCACTGCATCACAACTAGTGCATATTTGGTAGAGTATGCATCTGCATTGCACATATATTGCCTTATTTAAGAAGAATGGGATGCCCTTAAGCCTAGCAAATGTATATGGACAAGTATGGGGAAAATGAAGGACAAACCAAAATGAAATCACATGAACTGCCTAGACAAGTACCTACCAAGCAACATTTGTATGTTTACCCAAAATTACCCCCATTGCGTTCAATGGAGCGTACTCCCAAGTAAATGTGGTTTGGATCACAGGTAGCCTAAGCCTGCAGTTCTAATCACACTGAAAGGCAGAGAGCCCCAATGAACTCAATGAGATTTACTTCTGAGTGGTGCAACAGATACATTTCCTCATAATAATAATAATTTCATAACATTTTCATATGTTGATTTAAATGTGTAGATACAAATCTGGAAATAATTAGCCGGGAAATACAATACAGCTCATTGGGGGAGGGGAGAGGACGAGAGACTGTGAGCAGGTGTGCCTGCTCAGTTTACTGTCCAGGTGCAACTTCAAAGCCCCTGTTCTTCCTTCTTATGGTTCTCTGTCTTTAAACCGGACTCAGAGAGGCCTTCAGATAGAGGACTGTTCTCTGTAAAGTAGTACAGTAGTCTGGACTAGATGGACCAGCAGCCTGGTCAGTTCAAGGCAGATTCCTACAACTCTTTAGATTTCACAGATCAGGGTCACGTCATCAGAATACACTGCCGGGTTCTGGGCCCAGTGATTGCTTCTGCGTCTCCTTGTGATGCATTAACCTGCCTGCTGAAGGGGAGTGCAGTCCTTGCGAGGGCAAAGAAACTGCCACGCACCTTCAAGCTGCTGAGTGGTGTGCTGCAAAACCAAAAGTGTGACTGTATGAAAGATTGCACCTAAGGTGCAAGGGCGGCCAAGAGTGGGACTGGAAGGAAGTGCTCCAAGGTCACATTTGCAAAGAACTTGCAAAAGTGTGAGAAGGCGGGTGAAGATGGGAAATAATAGCCAAAGGGTTCTGCAAGCCAACAAGAAGCAGCTTGCTCTCTCAGTGTGGGAGGGACTAGCCAGGGTGTTTTTGCTGCTCAGCATTTAGATGTTCTGGCGGGGCTCTCGTGAAGGAAGTTCATCAAGGTCATCTGCTTAAGGCTGCCCTCTTAAGTGGTGTTCAGCAGACAAAGGCTTGGCCCTGGGAAATGTGGGTGCAACTCCTCCCTGAGCCAGAAACTCACCAGGATGACTTTAGGCAGCTCGGGGTACATTGCACTACAAGTGTAAACTACTTTGGGATGGAAATTAAGACAGCATAATGGCCATCAAGGCTGCTCCCAGAGAAACCTAGGAATTGTATTTGTATTATCATTTCAAGGATTCTGACGCCAAGAACTAAAATTCCCAAGATTCTTGGAGGAACTGTAGTTAAGTGGGGGAGAATGAGAAAGAAAGTATAGTTTGTCGAAATGCACTGTTGCCAAGTTTCATTTCTTCAGCTGGTGACCTACCTCATACGGTTGTTCTGAGAATGAGTGAGACATGGAAATATTACAAACTCTGAGGTTTATGGGGAAACTAGAAGTACAAATGTTCAGATGGTGAACCAATGCTAAATATTCACAATCCTCCTCCTGCAAGAAACAGCCTCGGCTGACAGGACTAAAATAAAAAGCAGCAAGCTCCATTAAATTGTTCCTGGCCCTCAAAGGCTAAGAAAACAGGGCCGTTAAAGCAGGGTGGGTGGATAGGCAATGGTCAGAGAAGTGGGCCAAATCAGCTGCCTCTCACATCTTTAGAGCAACACCAAAAATCACGAGCTGTTTCATCAGTCTGAAGAGCAGAGGGCCTGGTGAATGGCTACTCTTAGATGGCCAAAGGAAGCACAGGTAATTGAATAGGCCTGTGTCTCTCTCTCTGTCCTTCAGCCTGATGGAATGGAAAGAACGGACTGTTTCATGCCAGCTGATCACTGTATGGACTTTGTAATTCTAAGAACTGTGGCCTAAGCTTGCTTTCTCCCCTCTACTTTCCCAATCATGCCATGTCTTCTAGATTGTTTCATTACAGTAAGCCGCTCTGGGAACCTTTTTGGCTAAGTGGGGTGAAAATGCTTTAAATAAATAAAATGTTTGGAAATGCATTTTCCTTTCCTGAAAATATGCATGGCTGATGTATCCTCCCCTCTGCTTAGATCCTGATGAGGTTGAGCCTGGGGGTTCTCTGTGACACAAAAAGAGTGTCTCTTTGTTGTTCAAATGAACTTTTGTTTCTTTCTCCCCCAGCAGCTTGTCTTTATCCTATGAAATCATTCAGAAAGCTTTAGAGGAATTAAAGAAGGCTTTATTCCCAGGAGTCAAAGATGGGGCAACTTGCTCCAGGGTCAGTGTGAGTATCATGTGGATGCAAGCTCATTATTGTCCGACTGCAAGGGTAGCCGGTCCTGTGACAATAAAGCAGAAGGCTGAAAAAGTTCTCCACCCATTGCTGGAATGTAGGCATCCTGGCAGCAACTGTTTACCACCACTTTTGCAAGAACAGAGAACAGGAAGCATAGAAAAGATAAGAGGGGTGGGCAGGACAGATTGGCCAGAAGCTGGATCAACATAATGGAATCAAGAAGTAATTTATTAGGTCAGCAATGCTCACCGTCCTTCTCATACACTTGTAAACAGAGTCCTGTAATATAATAACATACACTCAAGCATCTTCAACTGAGAGTTCTGTCCAACTTCTTGAAAATCTCCAATAAAGCTTTAATTGTTCAGCTGCTCTTATAATTAAACACGTCCTCCCCCCGATATTTAATCTAAACCCACAGATTCTTGTCCTGCCTTTAATCATTAAAAAAGACCCATACTTTGAAACTGTCAGCACAGTCTCCAACCTCTCACCTTTTATTTGGGCAAAATACAGTGTGCATAGTTCTCCTCTGAATCACTTTCAACACTTCAACGTGTGTTTGTCTGTTTAACATTTATATCCCACTTTTCCTCCATGATGGAACTCAGGGTGGTATTCAGGAAGGTCCCCATAAGGGCTCCCATCCAGACCCAGACCTACTTAGCCTCAGCAAGGCTGTTGTAAAAAGGTAAAGGCAAAGGACCCCTGACAGTTGTCCAGTTGCAGACGACTCTGGGGTTGCGGTGCTCATCTCGCTTTACAGGCCGAGGGAGCTGGCATTTGTCCGCAGACAATTTTTCCTGGTCACGAAACCAGAGCAGTGCACAGAAATGCCATTTACCTTCCCGCTGGTGCGATACCTATTTATCTACTTGCACTTTGATGTGCTTTTGAACTGCTAGGTTGGCAGGAGCTGGGACCGAGCAACCGGAGCTTACCCCGTCACGGGGATTCGAACTGCCGACCTTCTGATTGGCAAGCCCAAGAGGCTCAGTGGTTTAGACCACAGCGCCACCCGCGTCACTCCCCACCCCCCTTCTACCAAGACAGTGTCATCATTTTATTTGGAAAAACAGTTGCTCCTGTAGCTGCAGGTGGTAAACAAGGCAAACAGGAACTCGAGTCTTGCCTCTCTCCATCAGAACTATAGCCTCTCTCAGATAGTGTTGCATAGCAAATGGTTTCAAAATCTTATATTTGCTTCTCCTTTCCTTAGTTCATATTTTACAGTTGTCTGTTGAATTTCATGTTATTGCTATCTACTGGGTTCCCTTTAACATTTTAGCCCTTTCTCTAGTGTTGCAATCTTCCCCAGTTTTAGATCACCTGTGAATTTTATAGGTTTCTCATCTTTCCTTTCATCCAAGTCGTTGATGAAAATATTGAACAGTGCCAGACCCAGCATTGAACTCAGCAGAATGCCACTGAATACCCGCCTCAACCGCTTTTCATTTATTACCTCCTTTTGTGTGCCGCTTTTCAACCAATTGTTGGCTGCCTTTTATTTAATAATGAATTGCACCTGCAAAGCAACCTGAAAGCCAGTGCAGACGTTAGAGATCAGGTTCAGTGTAACCATATTCTGTACCAGCCAAGAGTTTTCAAATAGACCAAACAGCATGCCTCCAGGACAGGACAATAATCTGACACAGAAGCTACCCAAGACAGGGACAACAGTCTTCAACATACCTCTGAGAAGGAAGGCTGCAATTCTTAAGCAGTCCCAGATTGTAACCGCCCCCCTCCCCTTTCCTTTTGCTGGAAATCCAGACGATATACAAGATCTCCCCAGTGATGACACAATGGAAACAATAGAGCCATTCACTGTCTATTGAGTCTCTTACAGTACAATCCTATGCATGTTTACTGAAAAGTCCTCATTGGCAAAACAAAGATGGGCAGCATTCTCCAAACAATGTATTTATGCTATTAAACTAGGTATAGTTCTTATGAATAAAAAATACTCACATGGCTAGACAGACTCAGGAATACATTTGGTATGGTTAGAATTTGAATGGTATTCCTCACCATAAATTTGAATGCATGTGCACACATTGAAAGTTATGGTGCTATAAATGGTAACCTAATAATCTAAATTGATTGTGGGGGGGGGGAGCAAATCAGGCAACAATACATAGGGTTCTTTTGCTGGTTGGTGTGGCCTGATTTCTACTTGCAGGCTTATGAACTGGAGGGACTGATTCTTTGCAGTGTGTGCTGACTCACCACAGCCCAAGTACTATGCCAAATGTTAGTTCCACCTGGTGACTCACTTGAATGGTATGGCTAAAGAACTGGTTGACCCAGCACTCAATGGAATAGTCTGCTCCTTGTCCGGTCTGGCCTTGTGCTTGCTTAAGTGTAAGTAACATAAGCTTACTCTTCCACGTGAAGAGATTTCTATGCTCTGCTTTGTCCAGTTCACAAAATGAGTCCCACTATTAATATCTTCCCCACAGGAATACCATGCACTTACACACACACACACACACACACACACACACACAATGGGTCTAGGGTTGGCGGCCCACAGTCCGCATTAAACTTGCCATACCTCTCCATCCAGTCACATGAGCCTTTTCCCATCCCATTATAACTGGGTGCTGTGGATCCCAGATGAATTGCTCTGGTTGAGGGTCCCAAGAACCTACTTTTCTGTGTTGCTCTTGGCACTTCAGTTCTAGTTGCCAAGCTTCCTTCTGGGGATACCAAAACACCCTCCTCTGCAGTAACACATGAAAATAGGGCTGTTGGGCTGGAAGGCAGTACACAAGGACAGTAGATTAGGGCAGGTGTGGGTACATTTGCATCACAGTTGTCAGCCCTATGTGACTGATATAACTTTACCCCTTCATGCCTTATGTCTGAAATTTCCTGGACACAGCCATCAGCAACAGTGTCCAGGCGGGACTCGAAAACTTTTGTGTCCAGTCAGTGGAAACTTTGGGTTTGCATACCTGTAGATTCTTGGGTACTTTATGCACAGACACACAAACACTCTTAAGAGGCAGCCAGCCAAGCTTTGTGTGTGCATGTGCATCTGTTTGCTTGTGGTTCTCCCTTGGCTCTCCCTTATTCTGAATAATAATTTCTATAGTGTTTTTAGCTGTTAAAATGAGCTAGCAGTTGCCATCACACCAACAACTGAGGTAAGCTCAGGTTGAGAGACAGTAGCTTGTCTAAAGAGATCATAAAGGCAAAACACACAGTTGAATCGGAGTTCTCTACACTGAAACCCAACGCGCTTGACCACTGTGTGCATCATGTTCTGGTCTTTCATCACTTAACACCAAATCCTTGCTCATGTTTAGCAGGAAGGATGGTCCATCACTTCTAGATGAAAGAACTGGGGTGCAGGGAAACAGGGCTTGTGAGATTTACCTGCCTCAGGTGATCTGCCTTTGCCCATTGACATAAAGGGGAGCACCGTTTGTTGCTACACCTCAGGCAACCCTTGCTACTTCCAAGCTTTTCTGAAGTTGATACACAAGGATCTAATCCAGCATGTCCATTGGCTGTGCCTCTGGATAGTACCTTGGTTGGGATGCTTACCCTGCTATCGCTTGACATTATGACTTAATTCTTGTCAGATGCACTGGCAACCATTGCACTTAAATGTGTACAACAAACACCCACTTGCCTGCCTTTGCTCATTTGTTCCTTTCCAGCCAGGGCAGGAAACAGCTCAGTCTTTATGAGCTAAAGTCGAAGAGCTACTTGAGCACAGACTCTAGGAAATGCAATTGCTTTGTTAGGTTATTTCCACACTTCCTCCTTTTCATAACCTCCTGTAAAACCTTAGTGTTTGTATAAGAATCCAGGGGAAACACATGGTGGTGATGGTCCCTTGCATGCGAGAAACAAAGAGCTTCTAGCAGGCCCTTCAAATTCTTCCTATCTGACAGGCTTGATAAAGGAAGTGGATCCCAGATTTAATGGGGCAGTGATCAACATTATTGTGCTAAGGCAGCAGCTGTATGCATAGGATTGGGCTGCAAGTGAACCATCCTTGCTAATGTACGGTATGCCTTCGTCCAGTCTTCTTCTTTTTCATTAGTCCACTTTTCTGCTGTTTTCTACTATCCCAGCCCTAACCAACCTAGTGCTCTCCAGGTGTTTTGGATCACAACTCCCACCAGCCTGTGCTGGCTGAGGTTGATGGCATTTGTAGTCCAAAACATGTGGAGGGCACATGTAGTTAAGGCTGCACTAGCCCTTTATTATTATTATTATTATTATTAACCCTCCCACATACCAATTTGCTCTCATTACATTTGTGTAAATATAAATAAAAAATATTTTTAAATATTATTTTATTTCACTCATTGGGCCATTATACCCTGTCACTGCCTTTATTTATATGGCTAACCAAAATATCTTCATTGCAAATCTGTTTAAAGTCAAAATACTGTACATTTAAAAAAATCTCCCTTTAAACTTTCCCCCTTCAAACACACACTCTCTCCTCAGTAAGAAGGAAATGGAGACATGAGTAGGGATGAAAAGGAAGATATGCCCACATATCTGGAAGCTGGAAGTTGTTCAAGCCCATCCTGTGGCTGAAGGGTCCCTAGTTTGGAAATAAATTATGTCTTTGCTTAGAGGCCAGTTTGAAACAGAGTGACATTAATGCAAACTTTCCCGAGGCTTAACATTGAAGGAGCCATTCTTAGGCCTCAATCTTATTTCCTGCTTCCTGGGAGTAAGCCCCACTGAACTCACAGTGGCTTACTTTTGAACAGGCATGTGTGGGATTGTGCTGCTAGCCTCCTTTCTACTCCTGCATGAAAGCTGCAATCCTGTCTACTTGCTTTGTAATAAGCCCTTTGTACTGGGACTTCAAAGTAGACATTCATTAATGGCATACTCCTTATTTACTACATATTCCATCTAACCTTCAAGGAGCTCAAGGTCACATACATTAATACCCTTTACCTTTTACCATAGAGGTGTTGTGAAGGTAAAATGGAATAATTGGGGGGGGGTCAATAATGAGTTTGCATCCACATGATGCTCACACTGACCCTGGAGCAAGTTGCCCCATCTTTGACTCCTGGGAATGAAGGCTTCTTTAATTCCTCTAAAGGTAAAGGACCCCTGGATGGCTAAGTCCAGTCAAAGGGGGCTATGCGGAGTGGCGCTCATCTTGCTTTTCAGACTAAGGGAGCCGGTGTTTGTCCACAGACAGCTTTCTGGGTCATGTGGCCAACATGACTAAACCACTTCTGGCACAACAGAACACTGTGACAGAAGCCAGAGTGCACAAAAACACTGTTTACCTCCCCGCCACAGTGGTACCTATTTATCTACTTGCACTGGCGTGCTTTTGAACTGCTAGGTTGGCAGGAGCTGGAACAGAGCAATGGGAGCTCACACCATTGCAGAGATTCAAACTGCCCACCTTCCATTTGGCTAGCCCCAAGAGGCTCAGTGGTTTAGAACACAGCGCCACCTGCATCCTGGGAAGTTTAGTCTGAGAGAGTGTGACTGGCCAAAGGTCACCCAGTGAGAGCTCAGTTGTAAAGTGGAGATTTGAATCTGGGTCTCTCCAGTCCTAGTCTGGTGCTCTAATCACTACCTCACCCTGGCTAGGGCTGTGGAATATGCATAGGATGGGACTGCATATTAGGAATCAAATAGCTGGGCTGGGTGAGATCAGGAAAGTCAATCTGGCTGTTCCACAGTTACATCACCCTTGTTGCCTGTCCAGTTTCGAGTGGGAGCCACTTGTAGACTAATTGCAGGCAGTCGGTCATGAGATTCATGCACACCACTTCAGGCTGGTTTGAACAGAGGAGCTTCAGTGAAAGGACCAGCTTGTTTAAGTGATTGTGTCCATAAGGAAAAACAGATGAGTAGTCTCCGAAATAATTGGGACTTTCCCATGGTAATATACACGCATAGATTGCATTCCTCTACAAATTATTTCTGTTTCCAGAGCTCTGCATATCTTGTCAGTGTGTCAAGTTGTGCCATCTTGTCAGCCTTGCTTGGGGTGCTTTGTGATGTGCTGGTGGGGAAAACATCCAGGTGTGGGCTGTAGCAATAGAGCAGAATTGTAACCTGCAGACCACCTGATCAGCAAGAGAGCAAACTTCAATGGATAATGTCACAGTTTGTGCATTGCTAACAGACACGTCCCTACATGCATTTATTTGTTTTACCAAGTCTTCTTAGGCAGGCAGGCTTTTGAAAAAGCACAAACCCACACACAGAGGGGATATATTTTCAAGAAATCCCCAACTGGGATCATGACCTAGTTAAGAAATTGTGAATTAGTAACTTGTTTCACTGTAAAAAGAAAGCTAACTCACTTGGTTGCAACTGAAGAAATAATATTACTAATCTCCCTACCACTGCCATTTAGAAAATATATATTGTATCTTTGGAAGTTTCAGCTCTTCAAGGTCATGTTGCTGGATTGTTCTAAGATCCAAACTATTCTTTGTGCTCCTTTGGCATAACGTACCTTTACTCTTCCTGCTCCATGTGATACACTCAACATCATCAACAATTTAGTCTAACCTTCTGCACCTCAAATAGTGTAGTTGAAGTGACTGCTACAACAACTGCTTCAAAAGAATGAGGCCTTCAAATAATGTTCTATATTCTTTGCCTCTAAGCAGGTATAGATATACATTATTGGACCCCAAACTAGAACATATGGGCACACTGAACCTGAATGACAACATCTATCTCTCTGGCTAGCAGGTGAGTATATAGCCTGACTTCCTCTCAACTTAGAAATTTCACTGTGATTGGTTCAATTGTCTGTGCCACTGCCTGGCAAACAGATGCCGCTGGCATGATTCTTTTTGCTTGTTTCTGATCCATCTTGGATAGAGCCTCACAATTCAGAGGATGCCTCTTCCATGGATCCTAGTGGTATGGCCCTTGCCAGAATTTGTCAGTCAAGCAATCCTGGGACAAAGAGTAGATCAGCAGCACAATGTCCAGACTTAGAACTGACCTAACCCAGAGTTAGGAACCTGTGGTCCTCCTGAAGTTATTGGACTCCAACTCTCATCAGCCCCAGCCATATGGCCAATGGTCTGGGATGGTGGGAGTGGTAGTCAAACAACATCTAGAGGGCCACATAATCCCCATCCCAGCATAGAAGCAAGGCTAGACTTTGTACCATTTGGGGCTTGTGAGATCTTTGAGGGAGCATGGAAAGGTTGGAAAGTTTTCCTACCCTTGATGGCCATTATGATCCTAGCTAAGCAGAGTACAGGAAGATTTTAAAGAGGTCCATATATTGATACCAAAAAGGATATGGCTTGTGCTTAATTCTTCAATAAACTCTAGATCTGAGGTGGGAACCTGTGGACCTCCAGATGTTGCAGGATTGCAAATCCCATCATCCTTGACTATTAGCTATATTGGCTGGGACTGATGGGAGTTGGGGGAACCAGTGTTTCCCAACCTCTGATCTAGGTACCAGTTTGAAGTAAAGTAATGGATGCATTGCTAAGAGCTGGAGATCAGCAGCTGCTTCTGAAAATGTCAGCCTTGGTTTCCTCACCTGTAAAACAGGAGTGATGATTACCTGCCTTCAGGGCATTCTAGGGCTTAATTTGCTGACATCAACACAGTGCACTCAACTCCTCAGCTGGAAGATGCTATGGTAATATATAATATCATATGATTATAAATCAAAGGGAATTAGCCCATCTACAGATCAATCCTGCCTATGTGCATTGTGAACCCCTTGGGCAAGGGTTTAACTTTTAATTGGGATGTTGAACCCAACATATTTGCTGCATTTCAAATATTTTAATATAAAAATCAAATAAGTCAAGGTGGAGGGAAGCCTAATATATTTCTCTTGGATCACATACAGCAGAATGTTCATGATAGGGTTGTCACAAATAATCTGCAAAACAACATTTAATCATATGTATATGATTAGTATTAGCTATATTTTCATATGCAGGTAGATCATTATTATTTTTATTAGTTGCAGATGGAAAGCAAGTGGATGAGAGCTCTATATGTGTCAGAGGTGGGGGACTTGTGGCCCTCAAGATGTTATTGGATTTCAACTCCCATTAGCCCCAACCATATGAACTAAGGTCAGAGATGATGGGCACTGTTAGGAAGTCTGCAGTTTGCATGCAAGCCTGCAATTGGAATCATAGAATTGTAGAGTCAGAAGGGACCATAAGGGTCATCTAGTTCAACCCCATGCAGTGCAGGAATCTTTGCTCAACGTGGGGCTTGAACGCACAACCCTGAGATTAAGACTCATGTTTTACTGACTGAGCCTTTTTTGTGTGTGTGGGACAAAATTCTCACATGTATTCTAACACTCAAGTCTAGGGATCTTTTGATGCTGAGACCTGGACACACTCCAGAATTTGGCACCCCAATAGTTAACACAGACAACAGAGATAAATCAAAAGTAAATTTTATTAGGTCCAAATTAGCTCATTGCCTGAAAAGGGAATTAGCACATTTACTAAAAATATAGAACAAAATCAATAGACAGCACACTAATGCTAGTCTGAGTTTAGGAGAGTTAAAACTAGTGCAAGAGTTATTTTTAGAAGCATTCCTATGGGAAAGGGGGAATTGGATGAGCCCAGACAAGGCTGAGGTGGGGAGAGATTTGGCTAAAGGGTTGAAAGTGGTGCCAGGAGAGGGAAATGGGTGTTGAGTATTGCTGCTTGTTTTGTAGAGAGAGAATAGGAGGTTGTCAGGGAGGACTGGGTAGTGACTTTGTGGGATTTTGGGGATGGTTTTAGGGCAAGAATAAGAAGAAAGCAATTGTGTTTGGAGCATGGGCACGGCAAGGGGAATAAAGAGAGCAGGTCTCTCCCAGAAAGAGGGACCTGATGGGAGTTGAACAGATGAGAGGGGAAGGAGGGCTTCCGCAACTGATGGGTTGACTGGGGATGGGGGGGGGGAATTTAACACCTTTCCTTGTTCTGCAAGGCTGGGGCTTGGTGTGGTGGAGGTAAGAAAACCTCTTCAGCACCAGTAAGTAATATAGAAAGGAGAAGGAACGGTGGAGGAGTCCACACAGAGGAGTTCCTGTGCAGAGAGTTGAGGCCAAAGCTTTCTCATATTTGACATAAATCCTCTCTTCCTGACAGTGAATGAGTGCCAGTCAGGAAGAGTTTAATTTTTTTGCATAATGGCTTTTAGAAATGTATCTTATTCTGCTGTTCCGGTGAGATGGGGGAAAGGCTTAACACATCTTTTGGGCTCTTCTTGCAAGAGCCTTAGGCTGCTGAAAACTACTTGGTTAGTAATTGTCAGGGAGTGGGGTGGAAGGAATGACATGTAGGTGCCTATATCTTGGTTGAATACTTCTAGAAGGAGTGAGCCTAATGCTCTCTTGCTTTTTTTAAAATTGACCAATGAGAAGGGAGGGACGGCAGAGATTTACAGTGACAACAAATTCATCAGCTGCTTTTGGAACATGTGAGTTTGGCTTTCTGCAATGGAGTTTCCCTTGAGGCCTCTCCAGGCCAAAATCTGGCCTTCTGAGATGCAGGCTATCATAACAAAAACTGGATATATTTAGGAGTGTTTCATAGCAGAAATGTAGTCCAATAACATCTGAGTGCCAAAGGTTCCACATCACTGATCTAAAGTCAGGTTTGGGGTACCTTTGGCCCTCCAAATGTTGCTGAACTACAACTCCCATCAGCCCCAGCAAGCATGGTCAATGGGAGTTGTAGTTCAGCAACATCCGAAGGGCCAAAGTTTCCCCACTTCTGGTCTAAGTTAACACAGTAAGTTTCTTACTAGGCAGGGATTTAAATCAAGGTCCAGCAGATTTCTCATCAGATTAAATTTCTCTCTCGTTCACTGAGCCCACTAAATGTGTTTCAAACATGAAAATTAATGAAGAGAAGTGGAAATGCGATTGGTTAAACTAATGTTGTCATCACACAGTCCAACGTTAGAATGGATTATTTGTTTGTTTTTGGTTTTTTAAGGTGGGTTGGTTAGCTGAGGAAGAACAACAGTGGAGGTGGAAGTTACATTAAGTACATCATAACCAAATGCTACTTTAGCTGCAAACAAGGATTATAAAAGAGCAAAGTTAAAACCCAATGCACACTTATACTAGAAGTAAGTGCTGTTGACCTAAGTTGAACTTCCAAATAAAATCTTGCGCAGCATGTATTTGGGAAAGTTGTCGATCCTGCCTCTTCTTGGTCCAAGATCTGCTATGAGAATCACTTACGTTCATGACATTTGATCTCCAGGAACTGGATTTCACAGGTTAGATTTCTTATACTTTGGTCTGAATGTCCTTTGTATTATACTAAATTAAGTAGTTGGTTTAGCACTGACTGGAAAGCACTGGACTAAGACCTGTTGGCAATCATGGGCTGGTAACACAGGTTTTATTTGGCACACCTTTTTAATCCAGTCAATATATAGCTGCATCAATGTTTAATATAACAGACAAAATTAGCAGTGAGAATTTAGATAAAATCTGTAACTCAAAGGGTCCCTCTGTTCCAGGTGTGGAGAACCTCTGGCCTTCCAGATGTTGCCAAACCACAACTCCTATCTGCCCCAGCAAGCATAGCCAATGGCCAGAGATGATGGGTGTTGTAGTTCAGCAATTCTGGAAGGCTAAAGCTTCTCCACACCTGTTATATCCTGAAGGAGGCTTGGCTTACTGAATATACAAACTGTACCTACATGAGCCTTACTTTCTGGAAGCAACCTGCCATTCAACCTCTATTCTTCTCAACTCAATCTGTAGGAGGAGAATCAGTAACCTTGGAGTATCCTGTTCCTTCTAGGTACTATGTATTAATTAATTCTGCTCAATTAAAATCAGCAGTTTCGCTCATTTGTGCATTTTTCTTCTGGCCAACACATTAGAAAAGTATATTACACCCTGCATATTTTCCAGGATTTGGTCTCATAACCCTCTCCCCCACGTCGTGGGAAAAGTTGCTGCTGATAAGAAGATTGGCATGAAGGTTCTGATAACAGATATACCACTGTGTTCACTTCCAAAGGAGAGGGGGATTGCTCAATCTTCAGAAAAAAGAAGAAAACAATAGGTGGCATTTATAGTTTCTTTAAGAAAAAATCCTTTCGGGATCATTTTTGAAAAAGCATGTTAAAACAACCTTAAGACACATCTGTAGTATGTTGGAAATGTGGCCTTTGGCTTTAAGAGGGCTGGATTTAGGACCTAAAAGCTGAGCATTTCAAAATTCATTTTATTGAACCTGCTTCCTAGCTAGAATGGTTGGTGGGAAAGACTGGCCCTCTCGTGAGTGCCCCCTGCACTACAAATATAAATTGTTCTGAGACCTGTTTTAAACCATTTTAACTATAACAGCTTCCCTAAAGAACTTGAAGATTGTATTTTTATAAGGCTGCTGAGCTTCGTTTGGTAGACACCTTTTCTTCTGCCTTAAAGTTCCTTGGGTTGCACTGGAATTGCATAAAACAAAGGAGGGTAACCTGTAGCCTTCCAGATGTTGTTATACCCCAGGTGGCATGACCAAAGGACTGATATGATGGAAGCTGTAGTTCAGCAACATCAAGAACTGCATTTCCCCCACTCTGTTATAAAACATTATCCGTTGCCTACTTTTTTCTTTTTAAAAATATCTATAATGACCTTATAGGAATTGCAAATCCTAAAGGAAGTGGGTTATGAGTTTGTTTTTAGTGCTCTTAATCTGCTAAGATCATCAAGTTGTCTAGTTGCCATACCCACATACATCCCACTTTGGCTTGTTTTGGGCCCCCATCCATCTACATTTCAGATAGAACTGATTGCAGGATCAATGCGGGTTGTGTATATATGTATGGTAAGGGTAGGGTTCATAGTATCCATTCGAGTATGACTTAAAAACAATGACCTATTACGTTATTTGAAGCTTGTCAAAACCATGGTGGCACTGGAATCTACTAGGTATTACACTTCCCACAAGGAAACCATTGCATCATGACTGCAAAAATCAGGACGCAGTGGAGGAAAGTTACTGGAATCTATCTCAAATCTGGACAATCTAGCAGCAGTGCCAAGTATTCCAGGAAAATATGTCTTAAAAGGACAGTGCAGGCTGTTTTGATATTTATAATACTATTCTCCCAAGCAGAAGTAAATGGAAAGGCTACTTAAAAACAAAACAAAGCATATTCTCCCTTTTTTAAAAGCATAGGGGACACCTATGAGATTTTCTTTACATAGATACTGATGGAAAACTGGAGTACTTAATTAACAGCAATTAATGTGACTGCAGTTGCTACCAATGCATTAAATTAACAGGATCTTTTTGCATATTACCTAGAAGTGATGACAGAACTGTGAGTCTCTCACACAAAGAAACTTGCGTGAGCATCCCCATGCCAAATGCATGTGCTGTGCCCACACTGGGAGCACATGAATTTGGCTGAGGGGAAAACGCATGCTTCCCTTTTCTCATGAGAACTGGAAATATGGAGAGAGTGTGTCAGTTGTTTGCCACTGCTGGGAAATAGACAAAGTGATCCTTACAGAGCTTCAGTCCTTTAACTAGAAGGGTAAATGCTCCTCCTAATCCTAGAGTGTTCCTATCCAACTCATTCTAAATGCACACTGAAAGCATTGCAAACTAGAGCTGGAGTCTCCAGCAGGGAACCTCACAGCATGCAACCCGCATGGAAGTTAACTAGTTAGTGAAGGAGCAGCAAAGGATTAGGTCTGGTCTAAACAGACCCAATTAGATTTATTCTGTAGTCTTCGCTGCTTCCTTGGTTTAGTTTCATATTGCCTTTGACACTACGCAGTTAACAATTCTAAATGTATATGAATATATGTGTATTAATATATAGAGGGAAATGCCTTCTGATATTTGTTAGATGAAATTATGTCCTATATCTTCCTCATATGATAAAGTAGTTTCTTACTGAAGTCGAGAAGGAAGTTTAAGGTGGTGTAAGAAACATTGTTTCCCAGGATACCCATACTACCGGTATTTTTTATTTTTTTGGGGGGGTATTCCATTGTGACATCTGTTCAGAAAGGCTTTGGAAGACTTATAAATATCTGCAAAAGCTCTAACTAGAGACTTTAGTACAGTGGAATGTGTGTGTGTGCAGCATTGGTGACAATCATCCCAACTTAACTTCTCTAAATAAATTGTGTTCCCAGTCTGAAGCTTCCAAGATGCTTCATTGAATTTTTTTGGGGGAAGCTTTCCTTTCAAAATGTTAATTTCCTGCCTACCTGGAAAACACCTACAGTCCATTTATTCTCCATCTATGCCAAATCTGTATATATTAATCTCTTGGCACTACATGTCAGCTATTTCAGCTTCTTCGCAGCTCCTGTCAGGCATTCTTTAGCTCAGACAGAGCGTAAATCATCTGGGCATTGGGATCACATCATTAAGACCTGTACAGCACCTGGCACTAGGCTGACACTAAATAATAGGAGCCTCTCATAAAAGATGATATATTCTACAGGCCAAATTAAGCAGGGGCTAGGATACGTCTGCGGAATTTAATAAACAATCGATGCACTTAGGGGACCTCCAACTTTCATTGCTACATGCAGAGGATGGTTTTCTTGTTGCTTGCAAAGACATAATAATAATAATAATAATAATAATAATAATAATAATATGCTTAGATCCATCCTGCTCCCATCTTGCTGCACCTGTCAGCAGTCCCGTTTCGGATATTGGGGAAGGGTTGCAGTTCAGTGGTAGCGCACGTGCTCTGCGCGCAGAAATCCCTGGTTTGATCCCTGCCATCTCCCGCTAAGCCAAGGAAAGGCCTTGCTGCCTGAAACCTCGGAGGAGGTGCTCCTCCTCCGTGCAAATGCTGGAATGGATGAACCAAGGGCCTGATTCGGCAGCAGCCCGCTTCCCCTTCCCCTCGTGGTGCACAAGGTCTTCTCTTTCCCGTCTGTCGCTTCACTTCACCGAGCCCCGGTCGCCCTCGGCAAGGCAGCTGGTAGGTGTACCTAGTGCGGTACGCCGCCGGTAATATGTTCTATACATATGCATGCAGTCCGCATTGTGAGAAAGCAGGTCCTGTGCTTATTAGATAGGTACACCTGGCCACGTTTCTTACCCCCCCCTTCCCGGCGTGTGTGTAGTGTGACCCACTGTGACTCACCCCCCCCCCGACATCTGGCAAGCGGAGCAGGGGAAGCTCAGCAATGGCTGGCTCCCCTCCGGCAGGGCGGAGGCGCTCCTAGGGGCTCCCGGCTCGCGAGTAAGTACGATCGCGGGGGGCCCCGAGCGAGCGGCCTGCTTCGGGGGCCCCTCCGCCGCCGTCGCCCCTTTAAGGGAGGCCGGACGCGCTGTGTTTAATGTATCAAATTGTGGCGGGTCACGTGAGGCCCCGGAGAAGGGGTTGAGCAGCGCCGCGGCGGTAGCCGCTGAGAGTCGACCGAGCCGGGCAGCGAGGGGCTGGCGGTGGCTGCGGCGGCTGGGGCTAGGCAGGGCTGGGCTGGGCGCAGACCCGGCGGAGGGGAGGGGAGCGAGGCGAGACGAGACGAGGCCCGGGACGGAGGCAACGGCTCCCTCCGGATTGGACTCCCATTCTCTCCCTCCTTCCTTCTTCCCCCCCCCTTTTTTGTCCTTGCTCCTCTGGAGGACTTCACGTTTCGTGATTTATCGGAACCGATTGATTGATCGATCGATTGGCTTATTGATCGGTTAAAGGGGCCCTGCTGCTCGGGCGACGCGAAGCCGGGATCGGGTTGAGCCGCTGTCCCTTTAAAGCCGAGCCGGGGAGGCCGGGGGTGGGGGGAGAGGAGAAGGGGAAATCCTGCGATGCGCCCTTGATCTTTAGTCATCCTTCCGCCCTTGAGTTCCTTCATACCCCCCCACCCCACCCCCACCCCTCTCCCCCATTTCACACCGACCCTAATGCGCTTTCACCGCCCCTGGGAGAAGAAGAGGAGAGGAAGAGGCGGCGGCATCGCTACCTATTCCTATAGGCAACCCCCCTTCACCTTGATTGCCACCCCGTCGATCTACGCAAAAGACCTCGATTAATTTTTATTGTGCCATCCGCTCTCTCTCTCTCTCTCTCTCTCTCTCTCTCTCTCTCTCTCTCACCCCGGCTCGTTCTCGCATTATTTTGCAAACCTTGAGGGGAGGGGGCTAATAGGTTTTTTTTTAAATGGGCTGTATGTATGCTGAGGAAAGAGAGCTCTTCGCTTAGCTCCCCCATCCTGCGCCTTGCATCAGGAAAAGGTTTTTTTTATTAAAAAAAATCTATATAGGGTTTTGTTTTTCCCCCGGTTGGGGGTGTATTGAATCTGAATAATCAGACATATAAACCTATTTTCCACCCCTATCGCCCAGTTTACGTGATCCGGAACGTCTATATTATTCCCTGCTTTCGTTCTGCGTGATAGCGTGGCAATAAGATACCTCTCCTCTGCATCCGACAACCTCCCCCCTTTAATTTTCGTGGGGTCTTTTTCTCTCGGGTTGAAATCGTGGCTCTGTTCTATGTTGTTTGTTTCTCTTGCATGTGGCAAAGGTGAAAGATCGTCTGATCCATTGGTCTGCTACTTAATTCTTGTTGTTTGTGACTGAGGGAGCATTAGAAAGGTGCGGAAGATAGAGGTGCGTGCCTGTGTGTATGTGTTTGTGTGTATATATAGATATATACAGTATATATATATATATTTATAAATCACACACACACACACACGCACACACAATTTTTAAAATAGAATTTTATTTAAAAGATGGGGGGAGACCCAAGATGGCTGGAGGTGGTTGTGAGGAGTATGTAGGTTTTTTTTTGATCTGATGATAAAAGCTAAAAGGCACAGCAGCTGCGGCTGTATAAACTCAATTTAAAACCCTCCCCTCCCCTCCCTCTCTTCTCTCCCCCCCCCCCAATCAGGCGCACACTTTGCAGGGTGGTGCCATCCACCCCTTCTACCCTCCCTCCTGTGTTTTTTTTTAACAGATTTGTTTCTACTTTCTAAAATAAAATTTAAAAATCTACCAATTAAAAAAAATCAGCTCAAAATGGCTGAGGACTGACTGTGTCCTCTTGGAATTGTACATTTCAGCAGTTCCCTTTAAGCTGCTGCTGTCTCTCCTCTCCTCTCCTCTCTCTCCTCCCCCCTCCGGTTTTTTTTTTTTTTTTTTTTGCAGGCTGGTTCCAAAAGGAGAAATAGCTTTCATGTCAGAAGGAAAACAGAGAAGCAAAGGGGAAGAGGCGGGGGCTGGGCTCTTCATTAGCAGTTGAGAAATTCCTATTCAGTTTGATCAAGGCATACTTGTTTTCCTTCCAGCAAGAGCAACCCATCACTTTCCAAAAGACCAAGGGTTTTTGGAAGTGGGGGAGGATTGTTTCCATTTCAGTCTTGCTAAAATAAAAATCGAGGCAGATTTTAAGAAGGCAGAAATCCCACGAGGTATTGTGAGCAGGTTGATTCTCTGGGTTGAATTTGTCTTCAGTGGTTTACACCCTCCTGGGTTGTCCTCCCCCTCTTCTCTTCATTCCTATTTGTGAAAGGAGCAAAGGATGGGAGGGTCCCTTTGGCTCTGGGCTGGAATTTCATCCGAATGATTGACCCGTCTTCCTACTGAGATTGCACTCTTCCAAAGCCAATGAAGAATATATATATATTTTGCACCATTCAGCTGCGTTAGAAGTTAGCTGGTCTTGCGTTTGGATTGTATCTCCCAACTTTTTTTGTGGTTTAATTAAAGACTTGCATTCTGAACTCTTTGATGGGAGGACAAATAATTTGAAAAGCGATTCTTTTGAGTTTGGTCAGGAGAGAGACAAGTTCTTTTAAAATATCAAATCTTGGGCAGAAAGACACAATAATTTGGCAGTGTTTAACTTAGAAGGTTTATATGGCATTTGGACTCCATTCTGGATTTTGTATGGAATTTTTTCAGTTCTCGGTAAGTTCTTTGCTTTTGCTTTTTAGAATCAAAAGTTAAAACTTTGAGTTAAAGACTGTTTGATTTTAAACCTTGCAAGCTTTTGTGGTTAACTTAATTGTACCTATTGGATCGTGCTGCTGGGTTTTCCGGTGTGTCTCTGTGTGTTGTTTTACCTGGAATCTTAGGAGATAATTCTTAATTTTATTTTATTTTTTTGTTCATTAGCAACTTAGTGGCCTTTCTGTTGCAAAAGTGGAAACTCATCACCATCTGCGTTAGTAGACCAAAAACTGACTTTTTAAAGAGAGATTGCTGAAAATAAAAATCTGTTGGTGTGAGACATGGCTGAAAACTGGAAGAACTGTTTTGAAGAAGAACTTATATGCCCCATTTGCCTGCATGTCTTTGTGGAACCTGTCCAGCTTCCTTGTAAGCACAACTTCTGTAGAGGATGCATAGGAGAGGCATGGGCCAAAGAGACAGGGCTTGTGCGTTGTCCTGAATGTAATCAGGCCTACAACCAAAAGCCCAACCTTGAGAAGAACTTAAAGCTGACCAACATTGTGGAGAAGTTCAACTCTCTCAACCTGGAAAAGACTCCTTCCGTCTTGCACTGTGTCTTCTGCAGGCGTGGGCCACCTTTGCCTGCCCAGAAGATCTGCCTGAGGTGCGAAGCTCCCTGCTGCCAGTCTCATGTTCAGACACACCTGCAGCAGCCCTCCACAGCACGTGGGCACCTCCTGGTGGAGGCGGATGACGTCAGGGCCTGGAGTTGCCCCCAGCACAATGCCTACCGGTTGTACCACTGCGAGGCTGAGCAGGTTGCGGTTTGCCAGTTTTGTTGCTACTACAGTGGGGCACACCAAGGGCATTCGGTGTGTGACGTGGAGATCCGGCGCAATGAGATCAGGGTAAGTGTGGAAAATTGCCTCCATGTTATTGCTGGTTTTGGTCTGGAAGGTACTAGCAGAGTGTGTGGTGCCATGCAAGAGAAGCTCAAAAAGTAAATTCTCTGCCACAGAGGGTATCCAGTTTATAAAAGACCAACCCCCCACACCCAAACCCATTAGATCTGCCAGGCCTGATCAAAGGCGCTGCTGAGACAAGGTAAATAATAACTGGTGGTGCAATGAAACTGTGTCCCCCTCCCCTCCAGTTTTCTCGATTGCACATCAACTGGATCAATATTGGCCCAGCAGCTCTTTTTAACCTCTAGTTCTGCCAGAAACAGTTTTATCCTTAATGAGAAAGGCTGCCTCTTCTGCTCAAATGTTGCCTTTTACAATAAGGAGCCATTCTGTCTAAAGGTGACCTTTCTATTTCTGTTTATTTTTTATTTGTTTTTTTGCAAGGCCTACAGAAAATATTTTCCCATCAGTGCCAATAAGGGTTTTCTGTGGGTTGCTGTGCGCAGTCTTGCTCCACCTTTACCAGTGCTTGTGCTGACATCTTAGATGTGCTGAAAACGAGGAAGTAAACAAAAGCTGACATGATCTTTTCAGGCCTCATTAGAAATGCATCAAGGGAAATAGACCCTCACTGAACAGGATGTGATGGGGGAAGGGAAGCGGGTCAAGCGGGCTGTGTGTGTGTGTGTGTGTGTGTGTGTGTGGTGCTTTCAATTTGAATGTGGCCATTCAAACAATAGTGGGGGGATGGGGTGTGTGGTGGTGGTCTCTGAGGTTGTTTGTCACCCTGTGAAAACAATAGGACCTTCAAATCTTCTAACTGCTCTGCAAACAATTGGGAGAATAGGAGGAAATCTGCTAAAGCTGCAGGTCATTTGTATATAGTTAAGAGATAAGCACAGGCCTATTAGCAGGTATAAAAGGGTTCTCCCTGTAGATAATTCTTCTCAGTAGTCAGCAAGTGCTGCAAATGATGCTTGGCAACTCCTGCCCCCACATTGCTTTCTCCCCCCCCTTTTTTTAATTAAATAAGCCTCCCTTTGCTCTCTGGCTTGCCCTGGGAACCTTTTCGACAGGCCCAACCCCTCTGCTTCTCTCCCACAAGAATGGAGCAGAGGGGAAATCCAATGGACTGGGCGGCTGAGTGCTCTGAAATCTGGTTTCGGGCAGCTTTTTCTCCCAGGGGTTGGAAGCCAGGCCTTGATTACAATGCAGCTCTCCTATTGTAAGGCTTGTCAATGTCAACTCTCCATCTTCCTCCCTCCCTTCCCTGTCCTTTCTGGGCCAAGCTGCTGAGAAGGGGGAAAATTCCATATGACCTCCGTCCCTCTCTCATCATTGCTTTGGCTTCATGCTCTGGAGGGGAGAGGTGGGAGGCCATTTCTCCTTTCTGAACCATCCAGATGGGAAGGCTTATCCCAGTGAAAAGCTATTCTTTAGGGTCAGGAGAAAGGGAGTTTCATTGGCATGGCTGCCTCAATGCCCAGCAGGTTCAGGGTAGCATTATGTCCCATCAGTGGAACCGAGTTTGGGGCAGCGAGGGTGGGGTGGGTGTGTGGAATGGCAAAGGAGATATTTGTAATTCAAATATCTGTGGCTTTTGGATATTAAGTTGAAACCTGAGATAATGGCATTATTGGTTGGTGTTGCACATGCAGAAATTGGGGGATTGGGACAGAATATCTCCATAAGGATCCATGAAGGTTGACTGAGGGATGCATCCTCAGGGTCATTTAATGTAGTTGCAGCAGCGGGGCCTGGCTAATAGTGGAAAAAGGTGACTGAAGACTGTTAAAAGAATAGATTTCATCCATAACAGACAGACACACACCACTTCCATTTACACATGCTTATGGTTCTAATCTGCATTGGTGAAGGAGACCTTGGAAGCAGGGAGGGAGATTTTACAGCAGATTACTTCAGATTTACTTCATGGATGTGAGCCTGAATATGTGGCATAAGTCAAACAGGCAGGCAGGTGTCTGAGGCAGCTTCTTCCCCAAGCCTGGCTGCCTAGGCCTTTCCCCCCTTTGCTCCTCTCCGCTTAGGCCTTTCTCTTCTTTCTGACCTGATCCTGTTGCCTTGAAACCTCAAAGCGGCGCAAACAGGCCCTCAGCTTCTCATCAGGCATCGTTGTGTAGGATAAATATTTAACAACAAATGAACAGTGGTGCCTGTAAAACAGGGACAACTTCCTGTGTATTCTAACAGTGCCAAAATGACTCACGATTTAGCCATTAAAAAGCGGAGTGGAGGGAGAGAGAGAAAGAAAGAAAGAAAGAGAGAGAGGAGTTGTAAATAAAATTTGCTATCTCATTATTTTCCAATTGGACAGCCAGGTCCTTGTGGGGATTTTCGGGGTAGAAAGAGGAGCCTGTGAGCTTGAACAGGAAGGCTGTTTTCTCTCCTCCCCCCCCCCCGTTTTCTTTTTGGGAAGCCAAAAGATCTCGGTGGAGGTGCCAGCGGTTCCACCACGCCCACACAGGAAGAAGGAAGATCTAGCTAGGCTGCTAGGAAGCTCAAAGGGCTGGTTTCTCCCTTCCCCCTCCTTTCTTTCTATTAATAGGCACCCATGAGGGAGAAGAGGGAGGAATGCTGGGTTAAGCAGAAAAGATGCCTTTTTCCCCCAGATCTGGGAGAGGCCTGGTGATGACGTGACTGGTGAATTGAGACTGGCAAATCCCAGTGGCAATTCAGTTTAGAAAGAGCTTGTTCTTAATGAGTCAATTTTTAGGAATTTTTTAGCTGGGTCCACACCCATCTTTCTGCTAGAAGTTTCTCTTTGGGGTTTCTTTCTTTTGCTGAAGGCTTTTTAATGTGGAAGCTACGGCCAGTCTTCTTTTAGTCTCTCCCTGCTTTTAGTAGTTGGGCCGCATTCTGCTCGGGTTGCGCAAAAGTCCTTCCAGAATCTCCGCTGGGGATTTGCCTGAATAAGCAGAGATGGTCTGGACCAGCTACAGCGGCTGAACTCTGTGTCCTTGTGTTGGGATGAGCAGATCTGGGTTCTGTTCTCTCTTCTGCTGGCAAAGAGCTTGCCCATTGTACAGTGTAGCTTGTGTGCTTCTCTTGGCTCTGCCAAACCTACCACCTTTTGGGTGGTAAGCTACTTAATGCACGAAGGCTCACTTGTCTCCTATAGCTCTTTTTAACCACCCCTGAGCTTGTGTTTGCCACTTCTCACTGAAAGTAATGAGGTTCTTAAAGTTGAGGCTTCCCATGCAATAATATCTGAATAGAATATTTGCTTAAACTCTGAAAGAACTGAGCTGCTACATCACTCTGCTGCTCCGTGAAAGAGCACTGCTAGCTTAGAGGTATGCCCATCCCAGTTGTCTTTTCACATAATATGCGTCTGAATGGAGCCAAAGTATACGTAGTCACTCTTGCACATTCATTTTCAAGAGTGTCCCTTTCCCCCTGCCCTTCCTTTGTTTTCCTCTACTGTTGAAATTTCAGCTGTAAATGAAGTGGGGGCAGGGACTGGCATCTCTTGCTTAGGCAGTTTCTTCGTAAAGCACCATGTGTGTTGTTGGTGATATAGCTGCCAGTATCTGATGCAGTCTGCACCTCTTCCTGCCTTGAGTGCTGTTACATTCCCAGTTTCCTTGCTTGAAGGTTAGTACTTCATTAAAGAAGCATCAGCCTTGCCACTGTATCTCTCATGGCCACCTTTGACTAGCATGCTGAGATGTTCCTCCTCCTGACTGTTGTTCTGCTGCTCTGCAAAAAAGTGCGCGCGCGCGCTCTCTCTCTCTCTCTCTCTCCCTCCCTCCCTCTGTGTGTGTGTGTGTGTGTGTGTGTGTGTGTGTCAAACACACACACGCACACCTCCTTTTTGAAAAATAAAAATCCCGTTCCTATATGCTCCTATGTGGCAATTTCCCTGGAAACCTCTTTTATTTTTTTGGGCAGCCATGTGATTTTAGGCAGCACAGATTTCATTGTGCATATTAAGCAATCTCTATCATGCTTTTTTAAAAAAAAAATAGGAAAAAGCATCCTGTCCTATGAGAAGGAGGCATTATTATATTATATTATATTATATTATATTATATTATATTATATTATATTATATTTTATATTATAACCCAGTTTTAGTATGAACTTTATTCTGCCCCTTCCGTTTTCCTTTCCAGGCCATTTTCCACTTCAGGGGCTCCCCCCATGGACCTAATGTTCAGAAGTGAAATGAGGCACACTGGTACAAGGCCCCCCTAAACTGTGAACTAGCATTAGGAGAGGTATGGGGAGCTGTAGTTCAGCAGCTCCCATAATCTCTGAGCAGCAGCCATTGTGGCTGTGGATGATGGATGTTGGGAGACTAGCAATGTTTGGCGGTTGGCAGGTTCTCCCGTCCTGCTTTAGGAAAAGGCAGCTAAGATCTAGACAAGGGTCTAGGGCAAAGATTAATAACGAATGTTTGACCTTTAAACAATGGAATTCATGAGTGGTAAAGTTTAGGGTGCATCTTCTTGGAGTGTTTCTGCCAATACTGGAGGACTATTTTAATGGCTTAATTTTGGGTAAAGAAGTGGCATGTACAGCAGCAGATGGGAGACACTTAGCTGGTGGTGGGAGGAGAAATGCAAATCCAAACTCCTGGATTGTTGCCAGGTATGTTAAAGGGCGCGTATATATACTGCTGAGCCTTTAGTCAAGCCTTGTGAGCCCGTTTGTCTTTTTTTAAATGAATGAGAACCTAAGGAGAGCCTGCTGGATCAGGTCAAAGGTGCAAGCTAGCCCAGCACTGTTCATTCACAGGGACCAACCAGATTGGGGGGTTGCTGTGTCAAGATGCTTGCAGTACAGTCATACCTCGGTTTACAGACACTTCAGGTTGCGTTTTTTCGGGTTACGGACCTACCAAAACCCGGAAGTTCCGGAACGGGTTACTTCCGGGTTTCGGGGATCACGCATGCGCAGAAGCGCCGAATCGCAACCCATGCATGCACAGACGCGCCGCTGTGGGTTGCGAATGCTGCAGGTTGTGAACGTGTATCCTGCACGGATCACGTTCGCAGCCCGAGCGTCCACTGTACTTTACAGTTCTGCAAAAAATAAATATGGACTGCCCTGTTCCAAACATTTAGGGAGAGCCATAGCATCCACCGGGCGTGCAGATGGTCCTAGTTTCAATCCTTGGCCTCTCTGGGGAGTGTTGAGAATGTCCCCTGTTTGAAACCTTGAAGAGCTGCTCCCAGTCAGTTAGGGTACACCAGGGTGGCAACTTTAGCCCCAGGGATCCAAAGTGACCCTCCACACGCCTCTCTAGTTGCCTCACACCTGACCAGCCCTGCTCTGTGCCCCCTTCAAGTACTTGCTGGAATGTGTCCTAGAACTCTTGTGATGTGCATGTAGAAACTTTTTGACTTTTGTGCAGCTGGAATGTTGTGAACTGTAAAGACAAGCTGCCTCTGTTGCTCCACCCACTTGGCTTCTGGCCTTGCCCAAAGCTCCCCTGGTGCAGAAGATGCTGAGCCAGGCAGGCCAGGGGTCTGTCTCTGTATTACGCAGCTTCCGATGTGCCTAGAAAATTGAGGGATGTTTATTGTGCTTCACTTAGGGGCTGCTTCATGTAGCATTTATGTGTGCTGCAGTAAGTACGTGAAGTGTGTAAGGGAGATGCTGTCAGGGAATGGCAAAGCTGTGTTGCAGTCATAGGGATGCTCTCTCCTGAGCTCATCCAGGGGAAGGGGTCAGCGATTTATGGGGTTTTGTGCCCACCCGTGAAGCAGGAGCCAGGGCTGTAGCAAGGGGAAGAGTCCGAGGAGGTGCAGGAAACATCAGAAGCATAGGGAGAGACTGTTGCTGAGAGGGATAGCCCCCACACCCCCTTCCTTGCTGTATCCAAGGACCAGGAGGGGCTTGAAGAGGCTGGCACAGTGGCAACGACTGTGCAGGAGAATTCACAGGTTGCTTGGCCTGGGTATGCTCAGGGCAGATGTATTCTCCAAGCACACTGGGAGATGGTATTTCCCGTGTCTCTCCATACGTGTCTGGAAACCTGCACCTTCCTTTCACACTTTACCAAAGCAAGCGGTGGTGTGTAGATGGTGCAAACAAGATTGCCATAGAATTGTAGAATTGGAAGGGACTAGGAGGGTCATCTAGTCCAACCCTCTGCAATACAGGAATCCTTTTACCCAATGTGGGGCTCAAACCCACATTCCTGAGATTGAGTGTCTCATGCCCTGCCAACTGAGCTATCCCCAATGTGAAACAGTTTTTTTCTAATTCCCTCCAGTTATTTTCCTTTTTGTTGGTGGCTTCTGGGCATCAAGAGAAATGGTGACAACCAGAATATTTTTTTATAAAGTTAGTTATTGCCAGAATCATGATAAAACTGCAGTGGGTTGTCCTCCTAGGAAGTAGCAGAGCTGATAGTGAAATACCAGGAGGTGGTACTTGTGTCAACCCTAAACAAGGTGAAAAACAAGCATGCATATTTTAAGTATGCACCCTCTTGCACCCTCTCTGCTCCTAAACAGAACTGAGTTTTGTTTGTTTGATACACAGGTATAATTTCAACACGTCAAATTCCTGCCTGCCCTTTACGAGAAACTGTGTTGTCTTTGCCTGGGGGCAGGCCTCTTACATACAGACTAGTATGGGCAATTTTCCCAAATAGACACAATAGAAATTTGTGACAAGCAGAAGCCTTTAAAAAAAAAGTTGTGCAATAATTTTACATACTGTTGACATTGAGCAAAATGCATAGGAATATCTTGCACCTATAATGTGGATATTGTAGTGGGATTGCAACTTCCTCTCCCATTTCACCCTCTCAAAAAGGTTGTGATCAGATAAATTTGGACTTCATCTTTGCTTTTCAGTTTCCACAATTCTAGTTTATCCTGGAGAGTAGAAATATTCTAAGCAGGGGTACAGGACTCTAAAAAAGAATCTGACTGCTGCCCAGTTCTGTTCTTAGGCCTTCTGGAAAGATCAGACTTCTGGACTATTTCTGGTTGCTGGGAGTTAACTCTTGTAGAAAAGGCCTATAACCTATTTTGGCCTGTTGCTGAAAATGCAAGCAGAGGGGATCTCCATTTCACTGCTAATTTGAATGTTCAGTGTCATCACTGGTGGGTTAAATTGAGGCAAAGGATTTTTATCAAACTACAAAATGTTATTTCACTTATGATGCCAAGATATCCACGTTATCCGTGACTGTTTCTTGTGAATGGTTCGCTACCCCACTACAGGTGTTAATACATTCATCTCAACAATGTCACCAGTCTGTTTTTGTAGATGTGCCTATTTAACATACATTTAAGCTCTAATTATTACTGCCTATAACTTTGTTTCTCATTGCCGTTCCGTTTTCTCCTTCATATACCTGCCAACTAAGATTTTAGCTGACGAAGTGGACTTCAGTCCACAAAAGCTTATGCTATAATACATTTGCTAGTCTTTAAGGTGCCACAAGACTTTTTGTTGTTTTTGCTGCAGGAGACTAACGCTGCTGCTGCTGCTGCTGCTGCTGCTGCTGCTGCTGCTGCTGCTGCTTCTTCTTCTTCTTCTTCTTCTTCTTCTTCTTCTTCCATGTTTCTGTTGCTTTTGACTCTGATTGCTTATTGTGGCTTTTAAGTTCACCATGGATAAATCTGTTAATTAAATTGCATTTGTTGCAGGCACCTTCCTAAGGTGCATCATTAGCAAAAACAAAAAAACTTCAGCAGTGTATCATTTGCCATGATTCACAATTAAGATAATTTTTGTGCTGAACCAAACCTCACAAAAGTTCAGCTTTTTTGCCACTAAGAGTTCAACTTGCAGAGGAGCTGAGCTCTTGTAAGGGCTTGGTAGAGTAGTCTATCTCATTGCAGAACAAATAAATCTTAATTGTGAATATGGCCCTCCAGGAGACACTAATGAAGAAACCAATTTGCTAGAACAATACCTCCCCCAACCTTGTCAGAACTATTAAGAATGAATGTTTCTTGCTGCTAAAATCTACTAACTGCCCTAAACAGGGCTATGGAAAATATTTAAAATTCCAAGGCATCAGAATCAAAAGTTTTCATCAGCAGCACTGGAACTTTACAGTTGTGGAATACATCCAACCTTTACTTTTGGTGTTGGATTGGGACAACGTGGGAAGTCTGCAGCCATTTCCATTATCTTATAGGGTCCAATGCATGAGCTTCTGACCTTTAGTCTTTATACCTTTTCGGCTAAGCATGGAACCTTTGTATCATGTCCTAAGAGATACTGACTGCTTTTGGGCAGTTGCCTGCTTTGGAAGCTCCCGGTTTGAAGTAATCACAGACCATAGTTTGCCAATTTGGACACAAATTAAGCTTTAGTTTGCAGTTAAAACAGGAAGTAATGAATCCCCACATATGAGGGGTGGGAGGAGCCTTGGCTTAGAGGAGCAACATTGAAGTCTGCACAGTTTGCTTGTGGCTTGGCTTCTGTTGTCTTTCAAAAACTTATTTCTTCATATTTGAGCCATTTCCTTCTTGATGCCTTGCATTCGTAGTGCTAAGGGAGCTACATCTTTACTGCGTATTTTGCTTGCTGAAGAATTGTGCTGTGGCTGCATGCACACCATGAATTTAAAGCACAGTCCCTGCCCCCAAGAATTCTGGGAGCTGTAGTTTGTTCAGGGTGCTTAGAATTGTAGCTCTGTTATGGGTAAACTACAGTTTCCAGAATTCTTCCTTCCTTTCTTTTTAGGGGAGGGGAAGCAAGGTGCTTTAAATGTAGAGTGTGTACACAGCTCAAGGTATGTGTTTCTTTAAAAGTCAGCCCTTGAATTTGCCTACAATGATTTGCAGCACTGAACTGGTTTAGTTTTCATTTTGCGAATTTGCAGCCATTGAAGTGTTTTGTTTTGTTTTGTTTTTTAAAGAAAGACTTTCCTCAATGCTTTAAAAAGTGATCTGAACGACTACAGCATGAAATAAACACATCTTTAAAAATTCCCCATTCTCTTTATGTGTGCCTATACTTTTACAGCAAATTCAGTAGACTTAATGATATGGCATAGGCACCATTTAAAATGCCATTCTTTAGCCACATGTAGTTCCTCTTGAACTTGGGCCTTTAAAAGAGGGGAAGGGAGCCTCAGGCCAAGGGGAGGCGGAATATTGCCTTAAGGACTCCTTGGACCACACCCCTTGCTAGCCCTGCTTATGTGTCTTTGATAGTGGAAGATAAATAAATAATGTGTGTTCCTGCCTTTTGCATGGCTGGAATGTAGTCTGCTCTCACATGCATTGCTTTGCCCACTCTTGTCTCTGGCTCTCCCTATCACCTGCATGCAGCCCACCCAAAGTTTCACCACAAGGGAATGCAGTCTTTGGCTAGAAAATGGTTCATCATCCCTGCGTCAGAGGGAAACACATAACTTTAAAACAGGTATGTGGAACATTTGGCCCTCCCAGATACTGCTAAACTACAATTCCCATCGTCCCTGGTAATTGGTGAATCTTGCAGAGGCTGATGGGAGTTGAAAGTTCAGCAACACCAGGGAGGGAGGGGAAGACAAAGGTTTCCTACTCTGCCTCTAAAGCCATAATATTTGTAAGTTGTCTTTTAAAAGTAAAAAAAATATATTCTGTGCATGAAATCCCTTCCCCCTCTCAGGTTTATCACTTGTGTCTGGCAGTGTAAGCATTTTGTACCCCAAAGCTTTTATGAAAGCTCAGTATTTGCCTCATAGAAGGGAAATGGTCTTGCTGCGTCAGTTCTGCTGTGGGTAACATGCAGGAAAGATGCTTCTGACTCTGAATTGCCCTATATACCTTGATGTATCTGTTCTGTAGGAGACAAAGCACCTTCCTTCACACTGAATGAAAGGGATGTGAAATTAACATGGGGATGGGGGCAATGGGTCTACCAGACAGAAATGCATTTTTGTGAGCAAAGCATGTCAAAAAGAGCCATCTTTGGGGAGAGATCTTGAACTGAATACTTCAGCATTGCAAATGAGTAGCAAGGAAGGGAGAGAGGGGAGAGAGAGAGAGGTAGCCAGAAACCTCAGCATGAGCAAGCCTGGCATGTTTTGCCTATCTGGGCAGAGCAGGAGTTAGCAAATTCACTGCAAACATCCTGTTCTCTCACCTTATATCACTTGGAGCAACTGACCACTGCAAGCCCTACCACCACTGCTGGTGGCAGGATAACTCAGGTGGTCTTTTGTGCTTGAGGAGTTCTGGCAGGAGTGCATTATCTTGCTGAAAAAGAGTCCTCTTCACTTTTGGTGTTTTAAAAATGCAGAGTTAGTCCAGCTCCACCCAAGCTATAGGGCAGCCAAGCAGCGAGAGAGAAAACAGAATCCTTAACCAGAGACTGTCTCTAAGGGGCTCCTGAAGCCCAGCCACTGTACTTGAAGGGTGGTACTTAAAAACCCCTTAAAGCATAGATGGTGGTGTCATGTTCTCCGCATAGGCATAATCTTGACAGGGTGATCTTCCTCTTCCCCAGCCTTCCCTGTCTTTGTTTTTCTTTCCCCCCCTCTTTTTTGTGAGTTAACATACTTGCACTCATGATTATAATCTTGCATGGGCGGTAGGAGCATAAGTTTCCTCCGGCTGGCCTGTAAACGTGCTGCCATCTGCTTTCCCAGCTCCCTTTGCTGCTATGCCTGTCACTTTAAATGTTAAGCTGCAGGCTTTCTCTTCCCTCTTCCCCAGTGCAGCAGCAGAAGCTATTCCAGTCCTGCCTCTCCCTCCCTGAGAGAGGCCCAGCCCTGCTGCTGCTCTCAAGTCCCTTGGCCTGCAGCACCCTTGATGTTCCCCTGCTTGCCTTGCCAAAGGAGTGCTGTTGTATTCTGAGATTTCTCTCTACTGGGAATGCTGACCAAATGCTTAAAAAAAATTGCAATGACTTATTAGGCCTTGGGTGATCTCTGCAAATCTGCCATCAACCACCAAGCCCCTCTCCTCTTCCTCCTCCTCCTCCTCCTCCCTCCTCTCTTCTCCGCCCCCTCCCTCCCTGACTGATTGGTCTGGACAGCTTCTAAATTCTTTAAGCTGGGTTTTTGTTTTCATGGAAATTTAGGGAGGCTGGAAATTAAATTTATGAGATAGCAGGAAGGACTGCTTCATAGGAATCTGAGAGATTATGGTCTCTTTTTAACTACTGCAGATACTGGTGACATTGCAACCAGGGTCTTAGTATGCTATAAGGATGCAAGTGCCCTGGGAATTCTGACCTCATCTAAAAATAGATTTTGCATTTCCCGGGGATTGCACTATTTCTTCCCGCCTTTTTAGTTGTCACGGCCTTTTTGTATGGTTTCATTTTAGATAACTAGCCTTCACTTACCCCACCCTCACAGGGTTATTATTATTATTATTATTATTATTATTATTATTGAGTCACTAAGCAAAATAGCCAGGCTTCAGTGCATGCTAGGAAGGGAAGGTTTGTAACTATGGATGCAGGGAGTTTCATGAAACAAATAAGATGCACGGACAGGTCAGGGGTGGTTGCATGTGGCAGGAGTTGGCAGACGAGGCGGCTTCTGAATTTGGCAGTGCTATACAATATAGTTTATCCATGTAAGTTAGGCCTATGAGGGGTGTGGGTGTGTATGTATATATATGTATATCCATATCTATCTGTCTTATCTATCTGTCTATATCCATCTATATGCACTCTTTTTTTAAACTTATCCCTTCATCATTATACCATCTGTGGGAGAGGGAGAGCATATGGGAGTAAAAGTAAGCACCCTCAAGTGACCTTGTGGGTAGATGGGGAGGATGGGGATTGTAGCTTGTGGCTTTCACTTTGTGTGCCTATTCTCATCAAGCCATGCTTGAATGGAGTGCAAAGCAGAGAGTGGTCGTCTACTGCCATCACTTAACATTTGCGTAGCGCTCAAAGATATGCTAGGCACTATTTGACAAGGTGACAATTTGGCCTTCCCCCTAGAATAACACTGGCTCCCTTTTGCTGTCTAGACCTACAGATCTACGCACAGCTCTGGAAGCCTATAGAAAATACCTTTGGCAGTGATAAATTTTGGTGCTGTGTCAGTCTGACCCTGGGTTGATCTATACCATTTAGTGCAACCGTTGGAGGAGCAAAGGCATGGCGAACCATTCTTTCCCCTGTATGAATCCTATTGAAAAGGCCAAAAGCACCTTAATTTAAAAGTCTAATTTCCTCCTCCTGAACAGAGGAACTCGATGGCAAAGCTTGACATTCTCGCTGACCTCCCACTAATTAAATGGACAGAAGACGCGCTTTTTAGTATAGGCTGCATTGTTTGGAAGGCTCATTCTTGTTTATTCCTTCTCTCATCTTGCGAATTGTGCTTTCGTGTACAGTCCCCATGTGGAAAAATGATTTTTCCTGATTTCTCTCCGCTTGTGTTTCTGCGCTTCCCCCCTTCACTGCAATTGCTCTTGATCCGAACCTCTCGCAAAGGCCAGCACACTGCTTTTTCATGCATTGAAACGAGATAGAGGGAGTTAAGGGGCTGCCTGATAGCAAACACAGTTGTGATTGGCTGTGAGCAAGAAGAAAAGGTGGTTGCTTCCCTAGAGCTTCACTGCTCCTGGCTCTTTCATCCTCCCCTGCCCCCATCTTGTGTGTCCTGATAGCTTGATGTCTAGTATAAGTAGGCAGTTGACCCATATGTTATGGGGGGGCGGGAAGCAAGGGGCTTTCCCTTGTGAACTGCCTTGCCACTCACTTGCTGATCCTCCCTCTTTAATTTCCAGTTTCCCAATGTATTCTCTGTTTGTAGCATACTTCAGCCATGCAGGAAACCAACAAGATTTGGAGCCCCCCCTTTTTTTTCTTTTTTTTTTGCAGTATTCTGGACTGTACCATTGTGTGGTGCAGGGAGAATATTTTTGAGTGCTTCCCCTTCCATCAAGTTTTCTCCATGACTTGCCTGTCAAGAAGACTATCCCGAGCATATCTCTCTGATACGTTAGATTTCTACATGCAGTGTTGCTGTTGTTGTTTTACTGTGCAGAGTACTAAAATTCTCCCTTTTTTGACACCCCCCTTCATTTATCTAAGATGGTACAGTCTACAATTCTGTCCCAGTCTGTCACATCATTCTTTGTAATGTGTAGATCAAATTTTGGGGGTTGTGAAGGTGATGCAGCCAGACAAAACAATCTTGATTTGGGTCTCTTTCAAGGCACGCTTCTAGGCCTCATAGCTGCAGAACATTGGTTTTTGCTTAGCGGAAAGATGTGTTTGGATCTTTTTAAAATAATTTGAAGGCGATAGCGATTCTCTGCATAGTGGAAACAAACAGAACTAGAAAGGAGGGAAAACCTTGAAATGTCCTTTCCAAAAACCGTGCAAGGGAGAACGCCATTGAGGGTTCAGCAGCCTATGAGAAGAGCTAGTCTGGACACTGTTTGTTGAGTAATTTCAGTGCTGCTTAGCCTGCTGTGGGCATTGTGATTGGGGAAAGAAAGCTTTGAATGACGAGCCTATCTGTAGCTCTGTCTGGATTAAAAACATGTATTTATGAACAGCTTTTAAAGTCAGCACTTGGGGCAGGGAGGAGAGAGGAGGAGGCTCCAGCTTGGCAGGCATCTGCTTTTGCTGTGGCCTCAGAGATGAATGGGGCCCAGGGTGGTTTAGCTGCAGAGTTGGTTTCTTTGGCGACTGTGCTCGCTTGGTGCTGCTTCTAGGCTACGGAGAGAAGGCTCTGGGCAGTCCTAGGGGGACACGTGGCCCAGGAAATGATGCCAACATGGTGTGTTCGCTGTTAAAGATTAAGTGGTGTCCCCCCACGATCAAAGTGCCCAGCCCTGAAATGAGCAGGAATTTGCTTCCTGTTGATCTCGGGAAGGTCAAACAGCTGCTTTCTAGGCCTTAGAAGCCACCTGTGTACTCGAGTGTAAAATAGTGAGGCTCTTCATTAAACACTGGGTTGTTGTTGTTTTATTTCACTCTAAAGTGCTGGCTAAGTGAAAGCTTGGTATGAGTTCTATATGGTATGAACACAGGCCCTCTTCTGTAAATTTTGCGTCTCTTTATTGTACGGGTTCCAAAATGTTCAGCTGGATGCAGCATCCATAGTGGAGACTTTTCTAAGTGGCAGAGAAGGACAATTGACTGAAAGGTAGCACTAAGCACAGCTATGCCTTCTCATAAATAATGTGCTCTCAGTAGCTGAAATCCTATATAATTCCCACTGCTCCTCTTTCCCTTCATGCTTGCAGAAATGGTTTTAGAATAATCCAGTATTTGATTAACCAGTAGGGCTTTATTGACTTGCCAGATTTAGGATTTAGCCTGACCGGTCTCTGCAACCTTTTCTCTTCAGCCATGATTTCCTGAAACATAGCCTTCCTTTTCCCCCTTTTCTCTTTTGAATGTAACTAAAATAAATAAGCCTGCAACCTCTGGGGCATTAAGAAGAATGCTGCAACCTGTCAAAGCTTGCAAGAATCAGACACTCCTCTTGAGCAGTAGACAGAATGCTAGTGGCTACTGGTTAGTGTGTGGGGTTCCTAGGCTCCCATGGCAATCAAAATGGTGAGATGGTGGCAGTGTTTGTGCTGTTTGGGGAGGAGAGCTTTTTTTCAGTAACCCAGAGGGAAAGACATCTATCTCAAGGAGTTATAAGGTACAGAGATTGGTTCCACAGAGCTGCTGCAGTGGCTAAGAAATTGAGTGGTGAACCAGGAAATATCAGATTCAAATCTCACCATGAACTCAGTAGATGACTTTAAACAAGCAGCCTTGGCCTGCTACCTTTTCTGCAATAGGAAGATGATTGTAGTGACCTACTCCACAGGGTTGCTGTGAATATTATTGAGAAGGTATAAGAAGTACTTTTATCGCTTTAAAGTACCGTACTATAAAAATGCATGGTATTCTACTGTAACTATAGAAAGGTGAATATGTTCCTTTTGAACAAGATAGCAACCTCCACATCTTTGCATGTGTCACGTACGTAGGTACATCTCCACATTGAATCTGAATGTTCTTCATATCTACATGTGGCATGTATCTTTCTCAGCCTGTCTCCTTGTGGTGGTCTTCTGGAATAGTGGTTTCAACCTACCTAGGTCAGGTGTGGGGAAAGTTTGCCCTCCCCGTGTTTCAGAACCCAGCATTTCAATCATGGTCAATGGCTAGAGATTATGGGAGTTGTAGTTCAGAAACACCTGGAGTGCCGCAGGTTCCCCACACCTGGCCTAGCCGATATTCTGCTCTGTTGTGTCTATGAAGTATTTATTTAAAGGCTAATGTGGCATAGTACTATCCAAATTACCGTGGCTTGGCAAGACCTCTGCTGGTAGAGCGTTGAATTTATTTGGAGTGCTACTTTGAGCAATTATTTTTGTTGAGCTATTTTAAATGGAATTTGCCAAAATCTACACTTCTGACATGGGTTGTCATATGTCCGGATTTCCCCAGACATTTCTTTGCCTCAGTATGAGTAATCCAGACTGATGTCTTGACCCCTCCTCAAGGGCAGAAGAGGTTCAAGATGCTTTGAAGAAGAGCTGTAGCTCAGTAGTAGAGCACAATGTTTTGTGAATAGAGGTTCCAGGGTCAATTGCTGGTGTGCCCAGGTGGGGTTGGGAATATTCCTTGACTGAAACACTGGGGAGCTTCTGCCTGCCAGTGTTGATAATATTGAGCTAGATGGACCTATGGCCTGACTTAGTTTGGTATAAGTAGCTTCCAATGTACCAGTCCAAGATCTCTGGTGTCACTTATTTGTACTATAACTCAACCCATCTTGATGCTCTTATGGTAGCAGAAGTGCTCATGTCAAGATATCTCATTGCCTTGTTACTCTCTCATCTAATGGGAGAACAAATGTTGATTGCATGTTTTGAGAAGTCTGCACATAAAATCATACAATTGTAGAGTTGGAAGGGACCCTGAGGATCAATCCCCTGTAATGCAGGAATATGTAAGCTTGGTGTTATCAGCACCATACTCTAACCAACTGAGCAATCCAGCCTGACTTGATCCCACATGCATGTTTAACTACTCTAACAATTTGTAGCAGAGATGGCTACCTGGGGGCCTTCTACAGGTTGCACTCCCAGCTTCCATCAACTTCAACCTCCATAGCCAATGTTCAGGAATGATGGGAGTTGAAGTCCAATAGCATTTGGAAGACCATAGCTATCAGAATTCCTTTGACTCCGTATTGGACTCCCTATTCCTGATTAACAGGAAACCATAATAATTAAGGACTCCTAATACAACATACACTAGAATGATGGAAAGACAATGAATTATGATGTCCTAAAGTAAAAAAATCCAGCTACTTGGCAAGTTCGCTGTGAACGCTAAACCCATTGCTCTTGAAACTAGAGACTGTACTGGCAAGTGTTTTGTCATATGGACTATTGAATGAAGCCATATATTATGTGCTGCTTCAAGGCAAGGACTATTCTCGTGCTCCCATGGTCCACTGCTTTCCTTCTAGAAACAGAATGTAAGGACCAGCTTTAAACTAAGCTACCTTTCCTTGCCTCTTCCTCCAGTAACACGAACTTTTCTCATTGAACTTTATAATGGCTGGGTGAGCATCCTCTGGGGGCTTGCGCTTTTCAGTCTGATGTGTGTATTATACTTCGTTAAGCTTAGATGTCCTTTAGACTTGTGGTTCAGAGCCTGTGGCATGTGGACTCCTTGGCGGAGGTGCGGGCCAAGCATGGCGTTTTCTCAAAGTGTCTTCAAGCAATGTTCCTCCAACTAGCACTTGATTTCTTCCTCCACATTCTTCATTTTCACAGTTGCATCTCCAGGGGAGCTGCATTAACATTGAGGAGCTTCTGATCATTGGAAATAAGGGAGGCTTTGGCCTGTGCCTTCCTTGTTTTTCTTTGCTGGTGTGGTGTGAGGTGTACTTAGAAGAGCCTGCCTTCCCTGCTTTGCTGCTTTGTCTGCAGAGGTGTGTTGCACCTGTGGTTTTCTGGTCTCTTATATTGCACTACGTGTAGGACTTATTGGTGGAAGGTGGAATACATGGCACAGCAGCTGGAAGGCCCTTAATTTGAGTTTAGGCAGCTCTGTGGATCGTTGGAAGAATTTCTGGCCTCCTAATTACTTATTGCGCTTGAGTTCCTTAGTTTTAGCATTATTGGAGATTATTTCTGGTGCTTTATTAGGATAAATCCATTGCATGCAGGTTATTGAGGGGGGTGTTTCTGGCTTTTTTCTGGCTTAGGTCGTTTTGGGGGCAGATTTTTAGGGGCTCTCATTCCATGTTACTTTTGCTGCTCAAGCGTGCAGGCTTATGAAAAAGGAAAAAATACAAATACTAAATATAAATAAAATAGAATTAAATTAATTGTCTATGTAAATAGCTTTATGTACAGGGATTTCATTGAAGTATACAACTGATAGCCCTGATTCTATGTGTAGGAATACATTACATTAATAACAACGAATGTCTTCATTTTAATTATTTTGGGGATTACTTCAGTTGAGTTCCCTTGGAAATAAATACATTTGTATTTAGTTCAATTGGATTAGTTGGGTTGTTGGTCATTGGGTATACTGGGTATGTAAATGAATGAATTTATAATTATAAATACAGTTATATTTCATGCCTTTTTGAATTGATTAATTGCATCGATCAGTGCATATACTGGGGAAATAAATAAATGAATTTATATTTATCAATACATTTTATATTCAATAACTTTTTGAATTGTTTGCTTTGTTGATTGATAGGTATATTGGAGAAATAAATGAATGAATTTTTGCTACCTTCTTTGACTTCAGCAACTCATTTAAAAGCATTATTGAGTTCATAATAGTTTTTTGTCATTATATGTATTTCCAATTAATGGAGCCTAAAATTACAACAGTATGTTGGGATCTGTGAATTTTTTTGAGATTGAAAAGAGGTCCTTGTGCTCAAAAATTTGGCAACAGCTCTTTTGGGCCATAGCTGAGCTTTCAAGCCCAAGTGACAACTTGTCACTGGGCAGTTTTGAACTAAGTTTTATTCAAAGTAGACCTATTTAAATTAATGAATTAAAATTATTATTTATTAAATTTGTATACCACTTTTCATCCTCCGTAGATCTCGGGGCAGTTCACAGCAAAAAAAACAACAACACAAAATATATTATAAAAACAGGAACAGGAACAAAAACAAAACAGTACGTCCCGCCCCGCTCCTACAACCCCTCACTTAGTTTATTCAGAAACAAATGGCTAGCACAGCATTCTTGGTTTGTGTGGCTCCAGGAGGTGGTATGGTGTTTGTGCAGACAGTCTCCAGTTAACTTGTTTACACAGTTAACTTGTTTGCCTCCTGGTGCTGTAGAGGAGTCTTGTTCATCTTGTGGAGTAGCAACTAAGAGAAACAGTGAAGGGGGAAGTCCACAGGTGACTACTCGATTGAGATCCGCATCAATCTAGCTTTATGCCACATTCAACCCCCTATTTCATATAAAGTGCCCATTCACATGTTAATTCCCAGGAAGCAAACTTGTTCTAGTAAGAATCTTGAGTTCTTATGCAAGTCCTTTGGCCTGTCTCAGTATGAACAAAAACTGATCTGTGCATAACGTTTAATTGAGCACCGTAGTATCTCATTGATCTACCCAATCCCATTCCTTCTAATCTATTTCTGGAAACAACTGTGTGTGGTGCACTGTGGTCGCATGAATCCAGTATATCCTACTCCAGATGTGGGGAACCGTTGACCTTTCATATGTTGCTGAACTCCAGCTCCCATCAGGCCCAGAAAGCATGGCCAGTGGCCAGAAATGACAGCAGCTGTAGTTCAGCAACATCTGGAGGACCAAAGTTTCCCCACAGCTGGCCTAGTCCATTCAGAGTTTATACTCTGCATACATTTCTCCTTTCCACATGGGAAGAGCTAGAGGATCCTGCATCTCTTCATTTTGAGTCTCATTTGCAGAGCAAACACAGACTATAGTTTGCCACTTCCAGTGAAATGCTAAGCTAGTTTGCCTGAAATCATGGTGGTAGGAACACATTAGCTGCTTCAGGCACATAATGCCAAACCACCATTTAAATACAGTGATTATGAGCTTCTTGGACTTAGGGGCTAGCGAGTTATTAGATGCTAAGATCCAGGAGATGTCCTGCTTGCCACCATTTTGCAAATGGCTCCAGCCTGAGGGAGGTTGTCTTTCCACTGAAATAGTTCTCTTCATCTGAACCTTCTTAAATGGTTCCTACAGCAGAATTCTTAGGAACAGGCCCCTCTAAGGATAAATTATTTAATCACCCTGCAGTTCCTTTTTCTTTAGATGTGTTTACCGTAAGATGCAGGAATCTCTCCAGTTGAATTAAAATATAAACAGAGAGCGTTCATAGGTGTTAGCCTTTTAGTTTAGTTTAGGTTTTAGGTGAAGTCAAAGAAAAGGCAATGAGTCTAGATATGCTTTAAAAAAGAAAGAAAGAAACCCTGCGGATCATAGGTTTTCATCATGAACCCTAAAACTGTCAACACATTGTTGGGGTACTTGACTGACGCGCTTAGTAAAATAAAAACAAGTTGCAAGGGGTGCGTGGAAGACCTTAAGTTCTTTCGTGACCACACAAAGCTCACCTGGCATAGTGGCAGAGAGGCTGAGCTGTTGCTGGTTCATATTCCTCTTTTCCTATTGACAAAGGTGGGATCTGCTTTGGGTGAGCAGGCATGGCTCTCAGTCTGCAATATGGGCAGGATACTTGTAAGGATCACTGAGGGGGTGTCTGTAGAGTGGTAATATTGCTGGTTTGAAAGGCAGACCCAACTTGCAGTTGGAAGAAGATTGTGGTATGCAGCTTGAATAAAAGGAGGACTGGAGTTCCTGGCTAAGTTTGAGTGTAACATGGTGCACATTGCAAACACCTCCCAAAGAGCAGGAGGCTTAAGTAATCTGGTTCTTGGCTTTGACTCTGTGTGTAATCTTCTACAGCCTGACTCCCTCTGACCCACCCATCCGCAGAGTGGAGGATGGTGGTGGTTTTTTTACGTGCATCCAGGCTGAGCTGAAAATACATCAGCTGTAGATGGATCCAGATGAAACAGTTGGCAGACAGGGAAGTTCTGGATGACTGTCTCTTCCCTCTCCCTCTCTGAAATATGAGTAAATGTTGGCAAGCCAACCTGCTTGTAGATTCTGCTCCTTTTGGGGAGCCTTGTGGTTTGTAGTCCCCCTCCTCCCAATTCCAGCAATGTACATTTTTGGAACACCTTTTTCTTACTGTACGCGGAGGAGCTGGTAGAGTGAATCAGAGCAAGAAGCTCTGCGCTGTAGATTTGCTTGGGTTGTGCTGCCTCCGTTCAGTATTATTTAGCTTCCCTCTAATTAGCTGGCTTTAAAAGTCTGCCTCTTTCCAGAATGCATTTTTCACTTGTCCTACTTACTTCCTGATAGGTCTTTCTCCCCTCCCCCTTGCTGGTTTCCCCCCCTTCTTCTTTTTTGCTGACACTGCAAACAAGCATGAGGTTAGATGCTCAACCGCACACAAACGAATATTGATCTTTTTTCCCTTCTTTTTCTTTTTTCTTTTTTGTCTGGAGGTTGGGAGGGTTTCTTCTGCCTTTGCAAGGGAAGGGACTGCCTTTGTGCCTGGGAAGGAGAAGCACCATTAAGGAGGTTCTGGGAATGTTCAGTTGGGTCTTCAGAGGGGATGGCCCTAATCTGCAGAAACAGCAACCCAAGCTCACTGGAAGCAGGCAAGGATGGCCTAGCCCAGACAAAGGGACTCTGTGTGTGAGTGTGTGCGCCTGCCTGCCTATCCCTTTGTTCTCTTGTACCATACGCTGACACTGAAAGCTGCTTTCCTATGGGCTGGGGGTAGGGGGAGGAGACGGGGCAGGGTGTCTGGATTGCAAGCAAAATAAGATGAAAGCCAGAAGATCTCTGGCTCCATTGTGACCCCAGTGGTGGTGGAAAAACCACAGGGATACTTTTGAATCTTCCTTGTCTCTTCCCAATCAGCTTATTAATGCACATTGCTTAAAAGAAATTCCCCTCTATCTGAGGGACCTGAAGTTAATCAGCATTCTCCCATGGAGGTTTTATCATGGAAAGGCAGGCCTATGTGAAGAGTCTTGTGTTGGTTAGCTAAATCATCATTGGGTTTGTGTTCCCCCCTAAAACAAAAACAAAAACACTGTCCAGGTTCTTAGTTGTGTTAATTTGATAATCACCCAGCTCTGGAAATTTAGATGACTGCTTTTGTTGTTGTTTACCAGCTTTAAGGTCATGTTCTCCAACAAACAATCCTAGCAGCCCATATGACGGCTACCACATGGCCTTGTATGGTAGCTGGCCTTTTTGCAAGGAAACGTTAATTGACAGACTGATGCTCCTTCTGTGGCCCCTGCTCTCTTACTACTACTTTCTTAAGACGCCCTGAATTTCCCACGTCTCCAGAAGAAATTACTTTGAAGCTTCAGACTCCTTGGTGGATAAGTGCATAAGTTTGCATTTGTGCCTTGCTTCCCAAGCAAGATGACAATGTCACCTGCATTATACAGAGTTAGTCCGTTGATCCATCTAGCCTGGTGTCTCCAGGACTGTCTGGCATCAGCTCTCCAGGGCTTGGGGCAGCGTTCTTAGGGCACATTTATTCATACCTTATACCAGTGTTTCTTAAACTTGGGTCTCCAGCTGTTGTTGGGTTACAACTCCCATCCTCCCTGTCCACTGGTTCTGCTATAGCTAGGGATGATGGGAGTTGTAGTACAATAACAGCTGGAGACCCAAGTTTGAGAAACACTGCCTTATACTCAAATTTAATTTAACAGAGAAAGCAGAGCTAGTAGATTTTATTACAGTATATGAAATCAAATTTTTACAGTGGTGCCTCGCAAGACGAAATTAATTCGTTCTGCGAGTTTTTTCGTCTTGCGAATTTTTTGTCTTGCGAAGCATGGTTTCCCAAAGTCTTCAAAATCACCAAAGTCTTCAAAAACCTCAAAAAAGGCTACCACACCGCGTGCTATGAGTTGCTCCTTGAAGTCACCCTGGGTATTAACGGTTTTAAGAAAAAGGAAACAAACTTGCAAGACGTTTTCGTTTTTTTCGTTTTTCGTCTTGCGAAGCAAACCCATAGGGAAATTCGTCTTGCGAAGCAACTCAAAAAATGAAAAACTCTTTCGTCTTGCGAGTTTTTCGTCTTGCGAGGCATTCGTCTTGCGAGGTACCACTGTATGTATTTTGCCTTTAGAATATGTTACAGCTTTGAATACTCTTACTCATCTAGAGCTCATTCTGTTTGACAACTGTCCCTTATTCTTACCAGGCTTGTTAGCTTAATCATCTTCATTATTCAAGCATGTTTAATGCAGGCCACTATCAATTTTATGCTCTTTTGATTTTGGCCACAGTTAGATAAGTTTAATAGCATTTCCACGTCAAGCTGCCCAAGACGCTGCTCCAAATAGTGCTTTGTGAGGTTGACCGCCTTAAAAGCAGCATAAAGGTGCTTAAAATAAATACCCAAGAAGTGGTAGCAGAGGATTCATGTGAAAAATAAATAATTATTTGGACAGTCTGTTGAATCCTTTTTGATACCACACTGCCATCAGCACAATTTAGGAGGCTATATTTTATATCCTAAGAGTGCTGAGAACCTCAAGGCAGTTAACAGCTTACTTCACAAAAGTGAATAGTTCAGTTCACTAAATTCACTTCAGTGAATAGTTCACAAAAGGAAGCTTGCAGTTCGTTAGATCTGGTGTATCTGCTTTTGTCAGGATAATCTGACTAGGTGGCAGTCTGTCCCATATTCTTGGAAGACCCTTACAGAAGTGCTTACCTAGATAATATGTTCATGGATATGGTGTCTGATAAGAGTGTCTGTTCAGCTGGTAGCCCGTTTCACATGATCAAAGAACTAATAATAATGATGAAGGTCTGCCCTTGAACCTTGGTTCATGTGGATCGCCTAATACTGAACTAGCAGCCCCAGTTAATTGGTGGCTAGGGAGTCAGTTCTCTAACATATGAGCCACAAGTGAATTTGAACTACCACCAATTATATGGTAGAAATTTACTTCCCCTGCTTTAGTTTGTAACATGTCCATAGGATGATCTCTTGAGTAATGCATGTGTGAAAATGTATTGCATACTGTACTGTCTGGTTGCTTTGCACAGTAACAGTTATAGGAGACGGTTTGTATTAGTGCCAAAGGAGTTGGTGGGACATTTGGGTGAGATAGGCAATCTTCATTCCCTTTGTGTCTGTAGAATCAGTGCTGATTCTCATTGGAAATGAGAGTCCATGATGGATGAAGGAGATAAGGCTGCAACTGAATAGCTCTAGTTTATGTTAAAATTAATTTTTGAAATAATTAGTAGAACCACTAACTTGACACTGTGGCTGCCAACATAATTGTTAGTAGATTACATGACTTTTGGATTTGAAGAACTTCACATGTGAGGTAGGGGTGACCTTACAGACAAATATTCGTACATTCCAAGATATCCACAGCCGCAATTCCCAATGTCTTGCCTCTGGGCTGTTTCCCTTCTTAATATCTTATTCTATGCATTAACTCAGTAGTTCTTTCTCTGTCCAGTTCTCTTTCACCCTCATCCATCTTCAGTTCCCTGCCTGGTTTGATATGGAATAGTTATAACCTCATGGAGAAGGTATTAGGCATAGAAAAATTCCTGGGGGTGGGAGTTTGCATGTGTGTTGCCAATGGCAGTAGCTCACAAGGCAGCGTGCTTTTTTGATCCTTTGCTTCACAATCAATCACAGGGACTGATAGTAATAATAGCAGCCAGCAAAAATGGGGGACGTTTTGTTGGGGTGCTTGCTGTATAATAATGCCAGCTGCTTTCCTAATTCTCTAATTAGAAGCAACCTGACTTTGCCATTCCCAAGATAGGAAGGGGTGTGTGTGTGTGTGTGTGTGTGTGTGCGTGCGCGCATGCGTGTATGTGGTAGTTAAGAAATAGCCTGTGTTGAAACCAAAAACCCCTTTCCTACAGCTATAAGTGCTGGGAAATGCAGGAAGTTAAAAGGCCAAGAAACTGGAGGCATAGAAATAGCCCAGCATGGAGCAGCAGCTGGCTGGCTGACATGGGGGCCATGTGACAGAAGGGGAGGAGTGCCGGGTGGGGTGGAGGAGAGAGAAGAAGCCGTTTTCTCATAAGCAAACCAGTGGCATTCAAGAAATCTGGGAATAAAGCAAGTCCAGAGGAAACCTTGCAGCTGACTGGAATTGCCTGTGTAGCTGCAAAAGGAAACATGAGTATGGCGCAGTTAGCCATCGTGGCACAGGATTTCTCTCTCTCTCTCTCTCTCTCTCTCTCTCTCTGTGTGTGTGTGTGTGTGCGCGCGCGCGCACATACAGGCAGACAGACTTCAAACAGAGCATGGTAAAGGTGCAGTTAGGCACCTTGAGATGACTCTTTGGGTTCAGTGCAGTTGTGCTGCTGAAACAAAGCGAAATTCAGCTTAATGTGAACCCTTAACAAGGATGCCGCGCATGTTACTCTGAACTCTTTGTAAGACATGGCACGGTACAAGTGTAATAAACAAAAGGCAGCATTGGGAAGTGACTCAGCAGACTAGAACTCGAGAAACTGATCTTAAGACTCCACAAAGATCAAAAACTGGGTGGAAATTGCTTCTGGGTGTTGAGATCAATGGTGTCAAGTAGATTGCATTCTCGACTGTGATTGGTTTTCAGTGTTAAGGAGGAAAATAGTGTAATTAATATTTTGTTTTTCTCACATCACATAACCCATCACAGCAGTTGCACAAGGTTTGTACAATTCATAAAGTTTTCTAGATCATCATCACTATAGAGTTCTACATGCTGCAGATGGTTCTGATATGGCCACTACCTTTAACATGGTCTCTCTTGCACCATGCAACAGTGCCTGCTCTGAGAGGCATGAGAGTTGTAAATTTTCAGCAGACAAAATCCCTGAACAGGGATCTGTGGTATAGTTAAGATAACTTACTCCTTGCTTGCTCGCTCACTCTTTTAAAAAGCGTAATGTAAAGCATGCCAATGAATTGGTGTAACAAGGGCACAATCTAAATTGGAAATAAAATGCTTAGTTTTGTGTGATGAGCAGCACAAACCTCTGCATGTTTACTCAGTTCTACTTTTTCAATGGGTCTTACTTTCTAATAAGTGTAATTAAGATTGCATCTGTGTGATAACAACAAAAAACTGAGGCTGCAATCCCATACACACTGGGGCACAGTGAGACTTCGCTTCTGAGTAAACCTGTTTAAGATCGAGTTTGGAAATGAGTTTGCTATTCCTTTGCCTTATCACAAAGGTTTTAGCCAAGTTAAGCTAACCTTGTTGGTTAGCAACAAACATGGAGTTGGGTGATGGTTCACAGATCTGGCAGTAGTTAATCCTGTGGTAAAAGGTGTATGAGAGCACCCCGAGTTCAAAGTACAGCATCCAGCCATTTGACAATACAGTGGTACCTCGGGTTAAGAACTTAATTCGTTCCAGAGGTCTGTTCTTAACCTGAAACTGTTCTTAACCTGAAGCACCACTTTAGCTAATGGGGCTTCCTGCTGCCACTGCGCTGCTGGAGCACAATTTCTGTTCTCATCTTGAAGCAAAGTTCTTAACCCAAGGTACTATTTCTGGGTTAGCGGAGTCTGTAAGCTGAAGCGTATGTAACCCGAGGTACCACTGTACTGAGTGTATTCTGTCTATAGAAAGTAGGCTATTTTTCCCTTGCCAACTCACAAAGGTCAAACAAGTTAGGCTTTCCCCCTTTGTGTCCCCTGTTACCAATGCAAGCCACTGTTCATGGGAGGTGCCCCAGGCTTGCCTGAGGAAAGCCCAGCCCCCCAAGCTCAACTTGTGGTAACGCTTTGTGACATCATAATGAAGCTGTGTCTTCCAGAGGAAGAGGGTATCCCCCTCTCTCAATTAGAGCCCCAATAAGTGTAGCAACGCAGAAGAAGAAAATACTGCACAATAGAAGCCTCCGTTCCATATATGCCAAAGGTAGTGGCACGGCAGCTACTGAGCTTTGGTGGAGTAACCCTTCTTAGTGCTTGGAATGAGTCCTTTCCAATTTGCTAAATTACCTTGGTTTACAAGCAAGCTGTATTCAGGGGTCAGCAAACGTTTCCAGCAGGGGGCTGGTCCACTGTCCCTCAGACCTTGTGGGGGGCTGGATTATATTGGGGGGGGGGGGAGTGAACGAATTCCTATGCTCCACAAATAACCCAGAGATGCATTTTAAATAAAAGGACACATTCTACTTGTGTAAAAACAGACAGATTCCCGGACCGTCTGCGGGCTGGATTTAGAAGGCGATTGGGCCGGATCCAGCCCCTGGGCCTTAGTTTGCCTACCCATGACTTAATGGCTACGCCTTCTTGCATCCATGATAGGTTTCATTGTCTAGAACCACACTTAGTGTTAGAAACTGAGATATGCAAGCTAGGAGCTAAATGACACCTTAATCCTAGGTTGTGGGCACAACAACGGAATGTCTAGGCATGCTTTTTTAATAAAAAGAATAAAAAGCTGAAAATGAATGAACTGTAGCTAAAATATGTTCATTTTTCACACCGTCTAGTCCTTTCCCTGCCCACCCCTCTAATATTCGGAAGAGGGCCTCTTCTCCAGTCTTCAGAGACTAGCTGTAAGTGGGGAGGCAGAAAAAGGTCCTCTTTTCCTTCCACTCTGCAGTTTTAATCTGAAATTTTAGGTACAGTACTGCACCCAGAGCTCAGAAAATGCTTGCGTTAATGAAATTTGCTGTCGCAAAATGCTCCTTGAACAATGGGAGTTCCGAACACTGACCACACTCCTTCCCTTTGTTCAGACTCTGGACTTGAGTTTACACTGCATTTTTATCCACATAAAATGTACTCCGTTTTAATAACCTCGTTTTGGAGAAGTTGCATGGTACTTTCAGTCCAGGAAAGCATTGGTACTTGGAGTGAGGGGTTGTTTGAGTTTATACAAGAAGGTTTCTGGTAAGAATCCACACCATGTACATACTCTTCTAGACCGGTCAGCTAAAATTATATGGACAATTGGCTGTGTATTCCAATGGCTAACCATGTTGGGTGTGGTTAGACTATGGTTGAGTCAGATAGATGTATCCTTCAGCCTCCTGACTTCTATAAAACAAGAAAAAGTATCCCTTAAAGCAAGGGTGGGGAACCTGTTTTGAGAAGGTTGCATTCCCTCTGTCTTCCTTCCAGGGACTACATGTCATTGATGGGTGGGGACAGAGGTAGAAGTGGACAGAGCAATGAATGCAACTCTTGCTTTTGTACGGTAAGCTCCAATCCACATCCATCTTCTGGCCCTGAGGTTCCCCACACTTGGCATTGCAAGGTGTCTGGGAGCAAAAAATAAAACAAGAATGCTAAAACCCTGTGTTGTTTTCAGTACTGTACAAATTGCACTAAAGTAGCTATAAACTTAGTTTAGAACAGTCTTCCTCTGAAAGTGGAAGTGCTTCCAGGTTCTGCTGTTAACATTTTCTCTGCTGGGACAGGTAAAGGGTTTGCTTGTGTCAACAAAAATGCTGAGAATTCATTCCTGGTTCCTACTGAATAGCCTGATCTCTGTAAGGCCTACTCTCCTTACTGTAGAGGCTGTGCTACCTACAGAAGGTCTAAGATTGTCTACTTACTAGACAATGGTTAGTAATGGTTTGCCCCTTAGAGGTGTATATAGGCTTGGTCTTCTTGTGCTGCATGTGATTATAACAAGAAATAGGTACTTGTGCATAGTTCTTTGCTGCAAGTGGACTGTGTCCTTTGGTGCATCTTAAGCGTTGCCTATTTTTCCAGAACCCACTCCCCAAAGTTGTGTGGTGGTGCTGTAGCTATACTGCACAGCTTGCCTCTAATGCTTAGCAGTCCTACTTTCTCCCTTTATATACAATATTAGAAGACATCTGAAGGCAGCCCTGTTTCGGGGAGTTTTTAATGTTTGATGGTTCTTTATGTTTTACTGTATGCTGTAAGCCGCCCAGAGGAGCTGGGGAAACACAGCCAGATGGGTGGGGTATAAATAATAAAGTTGTTGTTTTGTTATTGTTGTTATTTCCCCTTCCAAACTCTTAATAAGGAGAGCAGACTCCTGATAAAGTTTATTTTCTCCCTCAGTTAGCAGGTATCTAGGCTGAACATTTGACCCTCCTGAGCACAATATGCTTAGCAAAACTTCCCTTTGTACTTTTAACCTGTGAATTTTTGACCCTCCTATGCAGGAGAGCCTCTAAAGCAAAAGCAACCATTTTACAAACAAAAACTAAACATATCATGGTTGAAAGTCCTATTCCTATATTGTGGTTTCCCTGAATTAAAGCATCCGTATCAAGCATAGGCAAACTCGGTCCTCCAGACGTTTTTGAGACTACAATTCCCATCATCCCTGACCACTGGTCCTGTTAACTAAGGATGATGGGAGTTGTTCCAAAACATCTGGAGGGCCGACTTTGCCTATGCCTGATCCATATCGTTGCTGCCGTGATGGGCGGGTGTGCATGGTGGAGCAAACACCCTCTGCAACTATCATGTTCAGCCCGCTGCAGTTGTGCTGTGTGGAAAGTAGTGAACAAATATAATGAGTGTTATCTGGACAGTCCTTGTGACAGCACTAAGTGTTGCACCGCTCTTACTTTCTTAAACTGTAATAATTTTTATCGCCTTATGAGATTCCCGTGTTGCACGCTGGAGGGAGTGCAAATGCTCATATAGTCATGAATTGGCAAATTGACTTTTAACTTGGCAAACAAATGCAATGCTGTACCATTGCTCTGCCGTTTGGTAGATCTCCTGCTTTCAAAAATATTTGGCAGTTTAGTGAGTGTTAGTGTTTTTAAATGCTGTGAGTGGCTACTCTTCCTGCATCCACTAGTAGTCAAAAAGGGCAAAGCGTTGGAAAATTGTAGTGCAGTTTGAAGTACCGTATTTTTCGCTCTATAGGACGCACTTTTTCCCCTTCAAAAATGAAGGGGAAATGTGTGTGCGTCCTATGCAGCGAAGATGCCATAGCCCCGCGACCCTCTCCCGGCTGGAGAGGTGACGCGCGGCTATGGCAGGAGCCTCTATAGCCGCGCGTCACCTCCCCAGCCGGGAGAGCGCGCGTGGGGCTAAAGCAGCCCCCCACGACCCTCTCCCGGCTGGAGAGGTGACGCGCGGCTGTGGCAGGAGCCTCTATAGCCGCGCGTCACCTCCCCAGCCGGGAGAGCGCGCGCGGGGCTAAAGCAGCCCCCCACGACCCTCTCCCGGCTGGAGAGGTGACGCGCGGCTATGGCAGGAGCCTCTCCGCTGCGCCTTTCCGCTGCTCCCTGACCTGCTCTTTGGGGCTGGTGGTGGGCTTCCCCCCGCCAGCCCCAAAGAGCAGGTCGAAAGGAACCTGAAGCCTGGAGAGTGAGAGGGGTCAGTGCACACCAACCCCTCTCGCTCTCCAGGCTTCCAAGGTAGCCGCCTGAACGCACCTTAAACGGCACCTTGTTTTAGAGCGGGAAAACAAGAGGGGGAAAGTTCTCCCCCTCTCTGTGCAGCGCCTCCTGCTGCTTCACTGAAGGGGCGCTGGGCAGAGTGGGGGGAAATTTTTTTTTCTTGTTCTCCCCTCTCTAAAACAAAGTGCGTCCTATTGTCCGGTGCGTCCTATGGTGCGAAAAATACGGTAGCTTATCTGGCATGATTTCAGTGAAGAGTAAAAATTGGAATTCCAATTTTGGTTCTCTTCCCCACCCCGTAGCCTTTAGCAATGGATTTCCATGGAAAATATACTTGCCTTCTTGAATTTTGATGGGTTATGCTGGAGTTCTGCAGTTCCTTCAATGTTGTCAGCTGCTTGTTTCATCTAAGGGCCACAAGTGCAAGTGTGCATTCTGTCTTGAGATAGGATATGTGGTTTGGTACAAAACTGTTCAGAATGCCACGCAGAGAGGTTGAAATGTTTTCACAAGAATGCAAAGTGTTGGCTTATGGGTGAAGTATTGTGAAGAGTGCACAACACTTGCATGAATGGTGAGCAAAGTTACCGTAACTAAAGGATCAGATGTTGGCAAGTGATGTGAAAGGGTCAGTGCCTGAGAGAGCTGTTGCCAGTCAGAGTAGACAGCACTGGCCTATACAGATAAAATAGACTTTACATGTCCATTATTGGAGAGTGCAGAGTCATGGGGCCAGAAGATGGACCAAGCTTGTGTTGTAGAACTCCTGCTGTAGATAGGACTACCTCTGCCTTCTTCTCAGTGAGGCCTTAATCTGCTGTGGTGGGCAAGCATGCATGCCACAAGGAGTTGTCTACAGAGCAAATAGCCAGATGGTTTAAAACAAGCCAAGCCACATAATTGGGTAAAGCCATCTCACTCTCAGAAAAGAAAAAAAACCTGCCTATGGGTCATTATCCAGAGAGGGGGTGCACCAACCTGTCCACAAATCTGGAAGCCATTCAGAACCAGAGTGTAAATGTCTTATCTGCTCAGTTCGCCAAAATTCACATGCTGCCTTCTAAAGAAATAAAAGAAAATGCCATCTGTTTACTTGACTTAGAAAACATGTTAAGCATGATGATTCTGGTCTATCCAGTTCACTTTACTCAGGCAGTATGAAGGCCCCAATGTTGTTTTGTGCTGCTTTTTTATTTCCCCTGGCTTGTACTGACAGGCCTAGAAAGGAGTTCTCCCTACTCTGGAGAAACTTGGTCTGTTCTCTGCCCTCAGGAAGGGGCCTGGAGAGTTGGCGAAAACAAGAGGTGCTTTCCTCCTCAGGGTACTCTCCACTTCTGCCAATCCCTGTAGATGAGCAGCGCTCCTCAGTGCTTCGATCAGTATTGTAAAACCTTAGTTGCGTGCTTGTTTAGAAATATATAGATCTCTATCATTTTGCTTTTTAAAATCAACAGCACAAAAACCCGTGCTGCAAGCTGTAGCCAGCTGCTGGTTGGCAGCTTTGCTGGAACATCTGGTGTTCCTGGGCTGTTCTAACGATAGGATTCATAAAAGATTATAATTCAGGCCTTTAGAATTCTGAACAACCACCCCCTCAAAAAAGTAAAATCCAAGCTGATTTTTTTTTATGGCGTTTTTTAAAAAAGGAGACAGCTGGAGGGTGTGTTAGCAAAATAGTCAGGATGCTTCAGCAACTTTGTAATTAGCACTGCTACAGGGAGGTTGAATGGAAAATCTGTCCTGATGTGGAAATCTCCCTTCTAAAAATTGCTGTGGGCCCTGCCTGTGGGCTGCTCTATCAGAGGTCCAACCCAAAAAATTAAGTGTTCTTGCTTCTGATTTATGGAGGGGAGCAGGCATGTCTTTTAACATAGCATTGGGAGGCAAAGATCAAAGGTTCCCAGGCTACTTCGTGGAGGAGTTTTAATGCACACTTCATGCAGCAAATCTTTTAATAAAATTATATAGGAGGGCTTCCTTTATATGTGAGGGGGGCACACAAACACTCCCATTGTGTGGTTGTTGCAGTATCACACATGCTAATTGAAACATGACATTCCCAACAAAACAAAACAAAAACAAAACAAAAACCAAACCGCCCTGGTATATCTTGCTTGATCCTTGCCCAATCCATAGATTTGAAAAAAGATGCCTAGATATCTGGATTATCCTGCAGCAATTGCTTTGTAAATGCAGGGCAGAAAGCAGGGGTTTTTTTAATGAAAAAAATGAATAGCTACAAGCTTGAAAATGTGGACACAAGCACCATATCTGCACAGAGGTCCCTATGTTTAAGGCCAGTTTTACACCCTAGGTGGAAAAAAATATTTCTAAAAAGCATTCATCCAAGGAGCTAGCATTCAAGTTTTTAAGAGGCAGTGTTTAAAATTCCTTGGTACTAACTGCATATTTTGAAGCTGCCTAGGTAGTCAGGTGCCTGGGATTTTCCCAGCCATGCCGATATTCAACACAAATTCCCAAATAAGTTTTCAGGTCAGATGACAGATCAAATGCATGTTGCAAGTGCCTCAAAGGTAGTACAAGCCTGTAGGGTTTTTACTATTTAAAACTCAGTCCACAAAGCCCCACCCTCCCCCACTCTGGACATAACAAATGGAATCTCAGAAAGTGTTGACTGGCTGGGCATTGACACATTGATGCTTAGGGCTACAAATCCACTGCTGAGTGCTTTCTGGATATGTAGCTTCTCACTTGGCTGAAATGTGAGGCCTGGTAATTGGTGGGGCTGGCGTGACATCTAATCAGTGTTCGAAACTTCCATTGTTCTAGCACATTATGCGACCGGGAATTGCATTAGCGCGAGCAGTTTCTGAGCTCTAGGTATAGTACTGTGCCTAAGATTTCAGATTAAAACTGCAGAGTGGAAGGAAATGAGGACCTTTTTCTGCCTCCCCATTTTAAGCTACTCTCTGAAGACTGGAGTAGAGACCCTCTTAAGAATATTAGGAGGGCGGGCAGGGGATGGACTAGACCATGTGAAAAATGAACATAATATTTTAGCAGCAGTTCATTCACTTTCAGCTTTTCATTCTTGTTATAAAGAAAGTGTTCCTGGACATTCCGTTGTTGCGCCCATAACTTCGGCTTAAGGTGCCATTTAGCTCCTAGCTTGCATATCTCAGTTTCTAACACCGCATCTAATGCTAAAGCATGACTGCAGCTAAGCAGGTGTGGACCTGATTAGTCCCTTGGGTGGGGGACTACTGAGATGCCTAACATGCTGTGATAAGATACAAGTATGTGTGTTTTTTTAAAAGCTCCTATCAAGCACCTAGTTTGACCTAGTTTCTTAGCAATGCTAAGGAAGCAATGGGCACATGCTCGTTCAGAAGCCCTTGTATGTTTTGCTTAGCAGGTAGCTCTTTTACAAATGGCTTCTCAAACGTTCTCTGTGTGAGATTGTGACAGGGTCTCAAGACCAGAGGCTGCTCATTCCAGGCTGTGCCATTCTAGCTGGCACATTTGCTATGCCCTTCACCCATGCTCATTATCAGCTGATCCAGTGCATTTCTTTGCCAACCTGTTGATGCATGGAGCTTTCAGGTTCTGGCAACATGAAACAATAAAATATAGGAGGGAGCTTGCTGTCTGATCCTTAGCCAACTAATGCCATTTCTTTAAGTGGCGTTTAGAATCGGGGTCTCAGTGTACAACCTTCCAAAAACAGTTACAACGAGGTTTGCCTGGTTCTCTTAAGTATACGTGCTCTGGAAATATGAAACTCAGCTGCTGAGGAAGGGACACAGAGCAGACCTAGGAGGTGTACCCATCCGGTCAACAGATGCAGGAAGTCTGATAGGGGACCCGGTCTGCCTCAGGAGCAACATGGCCTCTGACTGCAGCTGCCCTGACCCTGAGGGCTCCAAGAAGAGAATCTGAGGAGCAGAAACAAAAAAGAGGCAGGAAGCTGGACCTCCGTGCATGCGTACTTTCCTTTCCTGAGCTTGGCAGTACTGCACATCCAGCCTCTAGGTTCAAAACACCATGTATTGAATGCTTTAAATATTTATTTTCATTGTATGTAGTTCTTATTTTATAGATGATGCCAACACTTGTGATTTGATCGCTTTCTTTTCAAAGAAGAAGACAAGTGGCTGGACACCACAGGAGGAGAGAGTCTCTTGTGTTTGGGTCTTGCTTGAGTTTCCCACAGGCATCCATGAGAACAGGATGCAGGACTAGATAGACTATTGGCCTGATCCAGCAGGACTCTTCTTGTGTACAGGTTATTGTCTCAAACACAGTGTCAGAAGTATTCTGCCATTTTGAAGCCCAAGTGTTCATAGGCACAGGCCTGAGCCTGGATGCTGATAATTCTATTATTATCTTCTATTTCTCTTGTGCGGGGAGTTTTCTGTTGCTGTCGGAAGAGTAGTCAGGCATGCAATCGCCACTTGCATCCTAAAGTGGTATAATCTGGAAAAGTGTGACTTATTGGCTCTTTAAATCCTGTAAATGCCCTTGGTTTCTATGGAACCATAGAACATAATTTGTTGTGCTTATGATTTTGGATTAAGGAGTTTTTTAAACTGTGAATTTAGCTTCCACTGGAAGGCAAATAAAACAACAACAAGTTGAGTGAAGAGCTTATAAGAAATGAAAATGTCCATACAGTGATCCAAGGAAGAATACCACACTAAATTACCAGCACTTCCTTCGTTTTGATATGAGTAAGCATAAACAATACAGGAAGTTCGAACACTACCAGTGTTGATTGATACAAGGTGTGCACTTAGATTGCTCACATTCAGGAGATAAGGAAGATAATTGCATTTTGGGCTTTCAGTGGGTCAGTTAGTCAAGGTTAAAGGGAGACTTCCTCTTTTGCAAGTCACATTTATATACAATATCTGGGCCAGATCTTTGAACTGTTTAAATAACTAGCTCTGTCAATGTTAATAGAACTGCAGTAGCATCTGCACCCCAGGAATCTGGCTCACTTCTGAAAGTTAGGCAGACTTACAAACAGGCCATCATTATATATGATAACATAACTTTTACATGGCTAAGCCACGTAGCATATAGCATGTAGTCTACATGTAGATTGTCACAAACACACTAGCTCTTGATTCTCTAGTTGTGTGGCACCAATTCTGCATTTCAGGGTTACTTTAAGATAACTGAACCTCTGCACAGGCCTTTATTTCCTGGACCCTGAGTGTTTACCCGTTTCTGCCTATAAATTATAGATGGTAGACTGCTTGCTTTGAAGTGCAAACTGGTGGACGTTTAGGAACAAAGCTTTGAAAAGTTCAGGTTAAAACTAGCAGGGCTTAATTAGTGAGAATAAGAGTGCCCAGTTCAATAGTAAGAAAGTAGATTACCGGTAACTGTTCTTGCAAGGGCCTTTTGTATTGTTCAGTTGTAATAATGGTAACCCTAAGAGGAGAATCTAATTGCTTTCTGCCCTTGGGGAGGGGAGCATTCATATGTGTGTCTTCTTCTTTGTGCAGCTACCACTTCCTTTCCTAGTGGTTTCTTATGAATTATCCCCTCCCTATATATCTATCATCTGCACCAGTGTTCTGGATTTGTGAGTTTAGCTGAAGTCTATATGTACTGTGTGCATGTCCGCACACACACTGCAGAATTTAAATTGGATTTTCTTCCAAGTAAGCTCCGACCTAGGCCCGTTTACTCTATAGTTGAATGGGGCTTGCTTCTAGGTGAGTGTTCATAGACTTGCAGCCTAAATTTCTCTAGATTCCCTTCTCCTCCTCCTCCTCCTCCTCCTCCTCCATATTTGGTTCTCTACGGGTTTCCCTCATTCCCCAACCTGCCTTCTGCTTCTCTCTCTGCATGTGTGTGCATGTGTGCCCGCACTCACTCTCTCCCTCTCCTCCAGCTTTTCACACTCACTCTCTCCCTCTCCTCCAGCTTTCACACGCACCAGCAAGGAAACCTTTGAACAGCAAGTGCAGGAAAAGATTTTATTCCTTCCCCCCAGAGTTAGAGGGAGTGCCTGTGCATGCCATCCTGCCAGCGGGATATCTTTGCACCGTTTCATGCCGACATCGTAACCTCAGCTCCTGATCCAGCAAGTGGGCAAGGAGTGACTGCTTGATTTGTTTTCCTCCTCTGATCTCTCTGAGCTGCTTTTCGGCAGAGCAGATTCTATTCCTTACTTAGCAGAGGGTAATGTGTGCTCTTTTAGCCACTTATCTGCTTACTTGGCCACCAGCCTAATGTTGCTGTGATTGACAAGGGGCCATACCGCTGACCTCATTCCCCTCCCTTCCCCCGTAGAGCCGATGCACATGGTGGCGCCCTCCTGTTGCCATGGTGACTGGGGCCAGAGCAAGTCCTGTTCCCACATTGCCTTAGGATAGATGTGTTGCAGTTTGATGCAGGCCTTTGCATTACGGGGGTTTATGGTTGGCAACATTCCACTCTTTTGCTGAGTGAGGGAGTGTAATCTAATTACAATCCAAGAGACAAGGTCCTCAGTGGTCAGTATCATTTTTTCCTGGGCTGCGCTGTCTCCCAAAGTGGGGGAGGAAGCAATAGCTATTGTGCAGAAGTGCAGTTCATGCTAAGCAGAATTTCACTCATGGACAGGAGCTGAAATGGGCAAGGAAATGTTTGTCATTCAAAGTTGTCCTCGTTGGATAAGGGCTGTCCTACCTGTACGGCAAAGTAATGTGATTAGCCAGGACTGTGCCACTTCAGATTTGATGAGTGCATTTTGAAATGGGCCCTCATATTTTGCCAAATATATACATGTATAGAGAGAAATCCATTAGCACATATTTGAAGGGAAGAGAGTCCAGCCTGGTTGTCTCCCTTGTATGTTTGTTTTCTGTGTTCAGGGAGTGGGGGGGGGGGCGCATTCCAAACGGACAAAAGTGAAGTGTGATTTTATTGCATGACTCTAGATTCCTCATAAGAATTGTGGTATGTAAGATTATTATGCAAATTTGTGAGAATGATGGGGATCCAGGAACTGCTTGCAGATGGTTCTGCCTAACAAAGGATGGCCTGTGCATTCTTAGGGGTTTTAATTAGTCAATCCTGAGTTCATGCTTTTCCCATAACAGCTTTGCATAGGAACCTTGCCTGCCACCTCTTCCTGTCCTTCATGAGCCCCACCCATGCAATCATCTAATGTGATCAGGGTCACATCATACCAAAAGCAGAAAGCAAGCCTTGGCAGAGCCTCAAGCAAATGCACGAAGCCACAACAGATTGTTTCCTCAGTTTGGCTAATGCATCTGACATAGGTACTAAGGCCATAGGGTGCGCTGGCAAGGTAATTAGCCAAACCCAGGGGAGACTTGCATGTATACAATTCCCTGCCTGTCCACAACTGGACACTGGTTATGTCTCAATGCGCCAGAGTAGACCTGGGAGAAAAAGGAGCCAGGAGGAGGAATTGGGGCCCCCTCCAGTGTTTTTGCTTCCTGAAGACTCAAACATGTTGACCTGTTCCTGCTAAATCTTTTGTCTGTATTAGGAAGCACATCACTTGCTGCAGCACTCACCATTAATATTCAAGGTGTTACTTTTTAAATAATCCTGCTGGTGCAAAAAAAAGAAGTGTCAATTACAAATAGAAAAACCAACCTGCTGGAAAAGAAATGCAGATCTCTTCCATGGCAACGTACAAAAATATCCAATCTTCCAAGGTCTCAGTGGGCTGAAACCACCTCCCTCTGCATTATTTCAAACTGAGATAAGAAGACAATTGGGCTGCAGCCTCTGCAGATTCACTAATTCCTTTCCTGTGCCTTTGAGAAGGGAAATGAGTAAGGTCACTCAATAAGTTAGTAGCAGAGGTGAGGAATGGCATCCAGGTACCATAACCCCTTTGATACCCACTATCACTCTTGTTCTATCTACTACCTTCATACATTGTAGTGTAGATTATCTAGTCTGGTAGATTTGCATCTGCAATGCTGCAGCCTAGTTCAAGCAACTGTGTACTATTTATAAGCACTCATCCTGAGATTAAAATATCCTGAGAACCTGTGATGGACCCTGGTGGTCATATATTTGGTTGGAGCTTACCTGAATCTTGATCAGATGTGAGATTCTGCTCATATGATAGAGAGCAAATAATCTTGTTACCCCGTTCGTATGAAACAGATAGCCAGTGTAGTGCTCTCCAGAGGTTGTTTGACTCCAGTTCCCATCAGCCTATGCCAGCATGGCCAGTGATCAGGGGTGGTGGGAGTTGTAGTCAAACAATATATTGAGGGCACCATGTTGGCTGCCCCAGTGAAAATAACCTCCGTCTTGGGATGCTATAGCAACATGATAAAAAACCTGACCCACTACTCCTGACATTAGTTGTCCTGGAAACCACCAAACACCCAAAACTCCTGGCACTAGAAGAACCACCCTACACACAAATACCAGGCATAGGCAAACTCAGCCCTCCAGATGCTTTGGGACTGCAACTCCCATCATCCCTAGCTAACAGGACCAGTGGTCAGGGATGATGGGAGTTGTAGTCCCAAAACATCTGGAGGGCCGAGTTTGCCTATGCTTGCAAATACCCACACCCACACAGCGTGATGGGGCATTTGGGTGGTTAATAATATGACCCAGTTGAATCACACCATTATCTTTGTAACAGGGTTCATCACATGACACCTGTTTCTCCCTCACAGCAGGGCTCAGATTTTCATTAGGATGGTTAAAACCTGTGAAAAGTTCGATCCACTTTCAAGAATTCATTGGGAATCTTGCATATGTTTTACTATCAACGTTTATTTTTATTTCTGCTTCGCCATTATTGTCTGCTGCAGGGAAGGAAAGGTAGGTAGAATAGCTAGGTTACAGGCTTCATCATGCACCCCCTGTTCTATTAACTTCGTAAATACATACTTTTTATTACACTTTCTCTCTCCCCTCCAAAAAATCTGGTTTATTTTTTTGACTTTATTTTGGACACCGAGAATTTGGGGCAATCTGAATGGGGATACAGCTGCAGGACAAGAGAGAAGAATAGTGGGTCTAAACCTTCTATCTCAGTGTCAGGAGAGTTTCTATGGCAGACTGCAAATTTTACTGCAGTGTGAATGCTTTTCAGTGTGCAGTCTCCATGAGCACCAGCATTCAAGAAGCTAAAAGAGGTGTCTTTGGATTAGCGTTTCGTTTCGAAAAATAAGAGGGAAAGATGAATGATCTTTATACAGTGCCTATTTCTCCACTATGACTTCTTCCATAGGAATATGAGATGTCCAGACACAACTATTGGGTTTTTTCTTTTGGAACTGGCTAGGATTTTTTGAGGAGGAGTCTGCAGTTGACTGGGTGGCACAATATACAATGAAAGGATCTGGGAAAGCCTTCCTGACCTTGGATTTTTGAAGCATGAAATTTAATTATTGTGATCTTACCATGCATGACTTGAAAGTTATGGCCCATAAAATTATCTCGTCTGCACACTTGACTCCATTACATCTCCATGGTGTCATCTCACTTGGGTTGGCTTTGTGCCACAAGACTAAGAGAAAGGAAGTTCCTAGGCTTGTTCTAGCCAGGTCTAACTCCTGGTCCTTGTTTTTCATATATTATGTCGGGACTCACTTGTTCCATGAGAGCTCCAACAGATGAGCTCCTCCTGCAGAAATGAGTGAAATCTGTGATTCACTGTAGGAGTGAGCATCTTTGTTGACATTGCATCCTATCAGAGGTATCTAAGGTAGCAAACAATTTTTAGTTACATGTAATTAATGCAGTTTATGTGTCATGTTTTTGAACATGGCAGATGCCAAGCAATAGGTATAGTACATGTTGCATTTATTCCACTGTATGACGCCTTCATTTGCCCCACCTACAATAAAACATGTCTCTCCCATATCGGTCTCCACAGCCACAGCAGGCGCTGTAACTCTTCAATGGTTTGATTTTACCTTGAAAGGCACACCCTCCCATTGTCTCCTGAGACAGATGCCAACAGCAATTGTGTGGTGGTTATAGCATGTTCAACTGGGGAGACCCATAAAGCCCACTGGGTCACCTTGGCCAGTTGCTTATCTCACTGCCTAACTTATATCACAGGGTTGTTGCAAGGATAAAATAGAGGGGGTTAGCATACTCCCAACGCATTGGAGGAAAGGCAGGTCAAAAATTTAACTTTTTCAGAGAGGAGGAAATGTCTGGCCATTTCAAACTTCTGGGTAACCAAATCTGCTTGTTATACCACAGCATGTGTTTATGACAGCAAACAGTTCCCTGTAGAAACATAATTCAGTCTGGCTTTCTTTGCAGCAAATGCTGTTGTAGGTTTGTGGCTGCAAAGGTTGTTTGTCTCAAATGCTGCTCATTAATGGGCAAGTGACCTGATTGGCAGCTGCAACAGTACAAAATGCTTCCCTTATGCCAAATATATCAGATGATTATCTTTGTTTTGGAGGGGGAAGGTTTATGCTTCTGTGATCCATTGGCATCTGATTCTGGGAATACACAGCACCCTGCCTATCCCTATTGAAAGTAGGTGGAGCTCTGTTTGTTTTGTTATAATGAGAACATGACTGTAGGTTTGTGCTCCAGTTTCGAATAACAAGGTTTTGTTGAAAGGAAACTTTTAAAAGTAATGCTTTGAACTGCAAAATAATAATAGGATTAATTTCTACATTGGTGATACTTTTTATAAGCAGAGCCTGGTTTTGTTTGGCATTTCACTTTTTTATGTGTCACAGTTAGCAAACTTTTCTCCAAGATGAATGCTTTATGCACCCAACTGTTGCTCTCAGTGAGTTCTTGAAGAATACGTTTGTCAGAATGAGTGCCCCCGTGGTGTTCAAAACTATGACCCACTGCCAAAACAATCATGAACTTGTGAAAAATAATTTATGATTATGTATTTTCTTTTTTCTAAAAAAGCAAGGCATCTTTGGAAGTTTTTATTTGCTTTTTATTGATTTTTTAAAGTGTAAATACATCTGCATAGACTTACAAAGTTGGTTTGCAGATGAATATATAACTTACAACAATTATACTAAACAGTCAAAATAATATGAGAGAATGAATGCCAGAGTAATTGCAATTACATTATTTTTGTCATTTGTTACATATGTCATAATTTAATAGAGAAATGATAGGGAATCTTTGGGAGTTTTAAAGCAGTCCTGTGAATATGTTTTAGCGAAACAAGTATTATGGTAGTGGTAATATGCAGTATTGATTCATCATAAATGAATAGTAGCCTGTACAAAGCAAGTAAACGATCTGTTCTGCCCCATTTTCCAGAAACCATTATGCTGTGCCATTGATTTCAGATTTAGGATTTGTCTAAGTGCAGGAGAGAGGCTTTCAACACTTTATTTCACAACACTTGTGAACTTGTGAGATACAGCTGTGTTACCACCTTGAGCTTGAGGTAAATCCTTGTGTTAGTATGTGAGGATGAGTTTTCCCTTCCAGGCACAAGGATAGTTCTGTTTTGATCTTCTGTAAGCCTCTTGACTTGAGGGGATGTGGGTTCAAATCACCACTCATTCTTGAAGCTTATAGGATGTTGTTATGCTAGTCACATGGTCACTCAACCCTACCTCACAGGGCTTTTGTAGGGATAAAGGGGGGGGGGAACCATTTGTGCTATGAGTTCTTTGGAAGAGCGGGATAAGATGTGGTTTATATAATAATCTCATAGGCCTGAATCATCTTATTTCCACATCTCTCAAACATTTGTGAAAAGAAAAGTGATAACTAAGACACTAGCAACATGAATTTAACTTTTGTAAAGCAAGTGTGAAACAATTGTTAATTTCACAAAAACGTGAGTTAATTTCAGCCAGATGTGAATAATTAATAGACTTCTTACACTGCTAGGGCTATACTTCCCTTTGTGTCTTTGCTAGAACAAATTTAATTCTGTTCCAGCTTGAATAAATAGTATATATGGTATGTATGCATGCAGTGATGGAGTCAGGTTATTCTGGTGGACAAGACTGTCATGTTGTAAGCAGTAGAATTTGTACAGAAAGGCTACCATTTCAAAAGTCCATGTCCGTTTTGGACTGGAATCTCCAATAGCAAAAGCTTGTCTGAGGAAGTAGAATGCTACTTCCCCTCATTCAAAAACTATTGTGTTTAGACACTAGAATTGCATCTGCGTTCTTCCTGTTCACTATTGTATCATTGGTTGCTAGGGGAACCAGCTATGGTAACTTAAGAAGGGAGATTTCACCCAGTGCAGCAACGGGACTATTGCTGATGGGTGCACAATGTCATCCTTCCGATGCATTTAGGAAGCTTGTTTTGTGCAGGGCTGGGCTGGGGTGGGGCAACCAATAGTGTATATACTGCATGTGAACCCCCCCCCAACCCCCCCCCCACAGTTTTGTGTTGACACAGTCCAGAGGCCTCTTATTAACTGCTGATAATTCCAGCTTTTCCTTCATTAAAGTAAGTATCTGGCTCTCAATTTGGCAAGATAAACTATGTTTCTGAGGACTAAAGCTGATGTAACGTAGGATTAAGGGTATCTGGTAGAAATCTCAGCCAAGCCTTAGGCAAACCCACTCATTTCTTAAGCCTGTTCTGAAACACTCCACTTGCATAGACCTTTCCCCCAAGTCTTACTGTTTGTCTAAGGAACATATAGACTAATAAAAAGAAGTTTCGCTACCATTATTTCCAGACTTAACCTGACTCACAGATCCAAAATAAGTCTGTGGGCAATGTATGCACCAGCTGTACTTTGTGTTAATTGAATTATATGCAAATTAAGTTACATTTGGTGATATGCACGTTGCCCAAGCTGCCCCTCCTCTAGCTTATTTTTCCAATAGGGTTGGCAGTGCTAGGCCGATTGGCTGGTATAGCAGTAAAGGGGAAATTACCACAATTCTGTGATGTAAAAAGGCAACACACACACACACACACACACACACACACTAGCTGATTAGCATTGTGTAATAATAATCTGTGGTCTGCTTCTGAGTTTTTGAACGCTAATAAATGTTGATGAAACAAAAAGCAGGAATGCATATTAAATTATATAAATGGTAGTATGTGGAAGATCCCTGTGTCTACCCAGGAGCAAGTTTCCTTTAAATCGGAGAATGGATTTTCCCCTGCTAAGTTGCAGTTTCCTTGTGCTACAGGTTAGTCTGTGTCCTTGTTACCTTATAAGATGCCAGCAATGCCAGTTCACAGTATATTATTCAAATCTGATGGACTGCAAAATGTGGGGGGCAACAGACCCCATTGTTTTCTTTTAAAATTATTAATCAATATGAGCAAAGGGTTTAAGGTAAAGAACCCCTGGATGGTTAAGTCCAGTCAAAGGTGACTATGGGGTGCGGCGCTAATCTCACTTCAGGCCGAGGGAGCTGGTGTTTGTCCACAGACAGCTTTCCAGGTCATGTGGTCAGCATGACTAAACTGCTTCTGGTGCAACGGAACACCATGACGGAAACCAGAGCACATGGAAACGCCGTTTACCTTCCTGCCACAGTCAATATGAGCACTTGACTATTGGTACATGAAAACAGTGCATCATAAAGTAAGCAAACTCCTGACTCTTCCAGTGACATGTGAGGAGGGAGTGGGAATAAGCAAAAAGGAAAAGGAATAAATTGAAAGCCGCATTGCACAAGCAGAAGTTCTTGCGCAGGGCTTCCGCCGGCAGGGGCCCCTTAGGTGAATCCGGCCCCTAGGTTCCCATCTGTCTCTTGGACTACTTTTTAAAGTTCCCACTCACAAGAGGGTTTAACAGAATGAATGGGATAGAGAGTTGTGCAGCATTTGATGCTAGAATAAAGCTATATAAATTAAATGGCAATTAAGGAGAAGACAATTACCATAGTTGTCCCAAGGCCCTGGAATTACCCTCCTATGGAAAGTATGAAGCTGCGTCTTTCATTTCTTTCCAGAATAATAATAAGAGCAAACACAAAACTTTCTTATTCCAGAGAGCATTTGTCTATTGAGTTGTGCTGTGCTGTTGCTATTACATTTTTTCCAGTTCTGATGTTATCTGTTGTAATGAATTTTCTGTTTTAATGTGATTGTTGGATGTTAGGTATATGTGTTAATGTCTTGAGCTGAGGATATTTGGGATAGAAATATGTATTTTAAATTGAGTAAATAGAAGTGGAATACTGGCTCCGAAATACCAAGATTGGACTATTGAGAACAGTCAGCTAAAACTATTCATTACACACAGACTGTGAGAGTAGAAGCTGTCCTGAGAAAGTGAAACATCTCTTATTTGTGTCATCATACCCTTTATGTGGAAGCGTGATCTATTTTTACCTGAGGTAAAAGAGTAAAAAGGGACTTGAAGGTGTGAGAGGAGTTTCTGACATAACACTGTTCATGTAGTTCCTCCACCCCATAATAATTTGTATGTTCAAATGCACATTCACATTAACAGATCTTTTAAAAACCACTCATGCAGAAGTACTTTCAAAGCCTTTCAGCACAGTGAAGCCACATCTGCACCATATATTTAAGGCGCTATTATACTACCTTAACAGTCATGGCTTCATAGTTTGTTCAGGGTGTCGTTCGGAAACCCCTATTTCCCTCACAATCCTTCTTCACGGGGAAGTGGGAATTGTAGCTCTGTGAGGGGAATAGGGGTTTCCGAACGATTCACAGCACCCTTAACAAACGACAGTTCCCAGGATTCCTTATGAGAAGCCATGGCTGTTAAAATGTTAAAATAGTGATTTAAATGCATGGTGCAGGGGTGGCCTAAGTGTATTTTTATCTCCCACAGTTCATGTATCTTCCTTGGAGGTTGTGATTCATTTGCAACAACAGTATTTTCCCCGAGCTGTGAAAACACTTTGGGTGGTATTCAACAAAGTTTTACTGAGAGTAGACCTGCTGAAATTAATGTGTGGGGTCCATTCATCTCAGTGAATGCTCGCTAAGTGAAGCTTAGTTGAATACCACCTAATAATGTACCTGAGGGAAATGTGATGCCCCCTCAAATGGCACCTCCCTTGTTGTTATGCTTGCCATGTGGGAATGCGTGGGAATGTCATTGGTAATACAATGTTTCTTGTGAAATTAGTGATCAGCAATGCAGCTTCTCCTTCCCATGCCCTGCTTACCCTATTCTGTTAACTTACTTTTTTATCATGTTTAATTATTTTCTTTAATGGAAGCTATCTGATTTCAGGCTGTGTAATTTCTCCTCTGCAATGCTTTCCCAGTAATACTGATTAAAATAGAAAAGCACAGCAAAGCTTTTCTCCCCTTTCCCATCTCACATATTAGGTGAGCCTTTTTTATTATTTAAAGTATTTGGTACAGGCTGGATCCTGGCCTGGTTCCTGAGTCATTTCTCCACCTCTCCCCTCCTCTTCATCTGCAGTTCCCCACCCTGTTCCCAAGGGTCTCTCACCCCAGAAGCAGATTTTCAGGATATACAAGGGGCTGAAGTGAAAGGGGGGGGGGGAGGCAAACTTCATTTCATTCATGAAAAGAAAATCGGGTCTCAGACCACTTGCAGCTTTTTTCTCATATGCAAGTGTGCATTTCTAGGAAGGCTGTGGAAGGGATTGGGCAAAACAGTCGCACAACTATTGTCCTTGCAGCAAAACCTCCTCCCTTGGCATCACATGTGGATGCAATATTATCACTGGAATAAGGGACCTCCAAAATGCAGAGGGCCTTTTGTTCCCTGGTAAATGAGATACTGCATTGCAAAACATTCTCCCTCTTCTATCTGTGGCCTCCAACATTAGGGGCAGGGATGCCTGAAGAGTGATGCCTGGAATAGACTCCCCGAGTGCTGCAGATTTGTACCTCTCACATTTGCCTTTTCTATTTTAAAGCTTCTCTCGTTTTCTATTTTAAAGCTGCTTCTCTCCTGAGTGTCACAAATGCTGCGAGTACTTACACAAAGCATCAGTCTCTTAAAACTGAGAGAGAACCAGAGCCGAACATGGGATGTCCCTCTAATAAGGAACAGTTGAGGTGGATGCGAAAGTATCACCTCTCGACCTTGTGCTTGACAGGAAAGCGAATGAAGCGTGGCCAGGGATTTTTTTTTAGCTTTGGCCTTTCTCAGCTCATATTTCCAGAAAGATGTTAAAAATTCAGATGTGCTCAAAAATGTTAAAAGTGAAGGTATGCGCCTGTTTCAAGTCGCCACCATATTTTATAGCCAGGCAGCGTCCATCTAATCCCTTTGTTTCTTCATTTATGTAACATTTTTGCTCCGTTTGGGGGTGGTTACGAGTCTTAACTGATTCATAGCTCAGCTTTTGCAGAGCTTATCTTAATTAACTAGCCGAGTAGCTGAGCTCTTGAAAACAGCTGTGGTTGCACGGAGCAACTTTGCTCAGGCAGAATGCATCTCTCATTTCTAACTAGCCAATGATATTGCCTGAGAATCCCTCAGTGCACAAATGCAGCAGCACTTTAGATAAAACATTCCAGAAGAAAATAGGGTGGGGGAAGCAGCAACCTAAAAAGCACTGGAGTAGGCAGATCTCCTCCTTCCTTAAGAAATAGAGTCTGTGAGTGAGCCTATTGTCGGGCAATGAAACAATCAAGAGCCCACCCAACTCCCATAGAGCTTTCTGCAACCTCTCAGCCATTTCCTGCTCCCAGGAGGCCTGAGGTGCCTAGACCTTGAGGTAAAAGCAGAGGAAACGGGAGGGCAAACACCAAATTCTTTCTCACTGCCTAAAGAGAAGATGGTGGCCTTCCTCTGCAGTGCAATTAATCCCCCTCCCACCTCCCCCTGCCTAGACCCAGAATTAATTACTTGATTATAAACCCCAAGTGGTAGTTAATAATAATCCCCTCAAAATTGGTCTTTGCTGTCATTTTCCCCCTCCCACAAACTCCCTTGCCTGCTCCTAACCAGTTAACATTTCCTCCTGCTCTGTCCTTCCCCTGTTTTCATTAAAGGTTTGAAACTAGGCAGATTTTTTTCTCCTGAGGGGGATTAGGTGCACTGAGAGAATTAAGGGCAAACGTCTGTGGATTTTCTCTCTCTCTCTCTGAGCGTGCCCTTGGTGCAACGTCTGGAGGTGCCCAGTACCGATCCTGTACTAGCAGCTTTTGGCTGGAGACCAGCTTCTCCAAGCCAAGCTGTTGAGCAGATGATTCAAACTGAGTAGCCATTTTGGGATTGGTCAGTTAGGTCCAGCTTTCCGTCCTTCTCTCTTTTACAGGAACTCAGTATTTGAGGGCAGAGTAGGTTTTCCCCATCTGATAATGGTTTTTAATGCACACACAACAACACACAAATTCAAATGCTCTTCCCCAAAAGCCTGGACAGAAAGATCTTTGCATGCCAACAAATCAGCATCAGTTCTACTGTCATTTGCATAGAGTAAGGCTTGCTACCACAGAGAAGAGAGAGGGAGCATTTGGGAGGGTTGGTTCTAAAATGCTTTGCCTTCCTCTAGGTCTATGTATGCTTGGGTCTGTATAAATACTCCGCTATGGCCTCTGAACTAGTTTGGGTGGGCAGTGTTTCTGTCTGTCCTTCATTCGTTCCCCAACCGTAGAAATATAGTAAATATTTATCAGACCTGGGAGAAGTTATCTAATTAGGGAAAATGTGTTCTGCATGAAAATAAATCCAAATTCCTACCCTAAATAATCTAAACAGCACGCTGAAAATTGGGCTGCAACAATTGGAGTAATCCTATTCCCATTGGGGAGCAGCAAGGTGTGCTTCTCCAACAAAGAGTAAACTATGCAGTGTCCTAACTGCCTCCTCAACCATTGATATGGAAGGTGCTCTGTTGGTTAATCATTAGATTAACCATTAGATGAACTTTTTTAAAAAGAGCTTCCCCAACTGATTAGGCAGGTAGATTAAAAAAAAAACACCTAATTAATTTAAAGATTAGTACCCAAAAAAGTCATATGTGATGGGTGCCATCTTAGGAGAGGCATTTCCCCATCTTTCTCCCTGTGCACATATTAAGTGTTGCCTAAAAAGCAAGAAATGTGTTCTTCTTTTGCAACTGTTGTTGTTTTCACTTACGGAATTTATGCAAAGTGGATTGATTTAAAACTCATACAATTAAGGAGTTAACTTCTTCAGTCAGATGATGGCTATTAAAAATAAAATAAGAATCCTGTGCTCTGAAGAAATCAAGCAGATCTTATCACCCACCATCATGTTTTATAAAGCACCCCAAATTCTTCTGTGTGCTGTTCAATGAAAATCTTAAGAGGATGATGCTCTGCCTTTAGGTTCACACTCTGAATTTGGCCAGTACCATGTGATAGCTAAAAGGGTGGGTAGATGGACAGAAGGGGAGGGAACGAAACAAAATATATAGATGTTTGTTTATTTTGGGGGGGGGAAATGATTCTTGATTGGTTCAGAGTCGTCTGAAAGCTCATGGAAGGCCTGGCTCTGCCTGGATAAGAGCTCTCTTGGGAAGTAGGTGTAAGATGCTGCGACTTATGTGGAGGTGGAGTGGGCTGCAAGTTTAATAAATAGATTGTCCTTTCCCTCTGTTTTATGGGAGACAGAGTCTCCTACCTGCCTTATATATATTCAAATGCCCACATGTTTCCAGGATTCCAAGTTCTGTGTGTTCAGAGATCACAACACATGGAACAAATCCAGCCTTGCTTTTACTATACATGCTGCCTGTAGAACAGCTGTTAGGTGTGGTTGTTTTTTTCTCATCAATGGATAGGAGCTGATCCATACAGCCATGTTAATCAACATTATCTCCTTGTATGACAGCCAATGTGGCACATAGGATAAAGTGCCAGATCTCTTTAATCTTGCCCTGCTTTCTCTTTGTCTTTGGAATTGGGAAGAGATTTTTCACAAGGCAGGCTGAGTTGTACGGCGTGGCTTGCTTATTTAAGCCACGTGGGATCTGTGCCACAAATCTTATTTATTCCCTGTGATGTGCCTTGATCTTTCATTGTTGCCTAGTTAACCTAGTGAGTCATCATACTATGATTATGGGAGCCGCTGTGATGTAATGGATAGAATGTTTGGCTTGAACCAGGGAGACCTAGATTCAGATCCCTGCTCTGACAAGAATCTCCTTGAGTAGCCTTGGGCATGTTGCTGTCTTTTAAGTCTGGCCTGCCCCAGAGGGCAGTTGCAAGGATAAAATGTCCTTGGCTTTTTGGAAGAAGGGCAGGTGCAAATTAAACAAACATGTAAACTGCAATTATCCACATGATAGTTGATCAGCAATAGCCACAGCAATTGGATAGAGCTTAATCATCATGTGAAATAATTGCTGATCGGTGCCATAGCTGGACAACGTTATCTGGGACAAAGGTGTGCATCTGACTGTTAAGATTATACACCAAACACATTTGTTGATGCAGAAGATAAAGACTCTGCAGGACTGGTTTATCTGGATCATTTATTATCACAAAAAGCTCATTTGCCAGAAATGAGATCAACTTCCCCTGCTGCATGAAGTCAACCAGGAAGCTTTCTCATCCGAAAAGGTGTTTGCCTAAAGCCCTTTCGTCTCTCTTACGTCTTCCAAACCAGTGAAGATCCATTATAAATAATGTCCTTCCCCCACTCTTCAGAAAGGACTAAAAATGGCAATGTCTGGATTAATTTCTGCCCCGTGCATTCATTGTGCCATTGTCAAAAGTGCCATTTTATTCCTCCCACCCTGGTCATTTCTCCAGATATGATATCTGGGCTGGATGAGGGCCCAGAAAAGCCAGCCTGGTGAAGGCAGTTAACTAAAAATTGGGCACAATATGGAAGTTGATACCTTCAGTTGATATTACACTAGAGCAGGCTTGCACAACTTGTGACCTACCAAACATGTATACTGATTCATGTTTGTGTCTGTAGAAGAGATGTTGAGTACCTGGTAGGCTAAATGGGTCACAAGTTGTAGAGGTCTGCACTGGGGGATATAAGCATTCCAATATTATTGGTCTCTTTGGTTGCTGTACTATCAGTAGTATATATTCCTTCCACCACTTAATCTTCCATGTGCCTTCATAGTGTGCTCCTTCCTTCCTTCCTTCCTTCCTTCCTTCCTTCCTTCCTTTTTGCCAGCTCAATCTAAAATGTATTACTTGGCATTTCCTAAATCGTGCTGTTGATAACCAGAGTCAAACTCTTCTGTTATTTACAATGTCTATCTTCTTAGGTGTGTCAGTAGTACATTTTTTTAAAAGTACTTTAAAAATGGCAAGCAGCTATATGGTTTATTGATACAAGAATCATGACAATAATAAAAAATCTCAAAAATTAAATATGAAGTAAAACTGAGGGAAAAGTTACATAAGCCTCAAACAAGACACAGTCAAGCAAAATGAAAGCCGAACTCTTGTATATGTTACAGTGTTGCCCATTGTGTTAATAATAACCTTGTAATAATTAACTGTGAGAGCATGAGACTGTTTTTTAAAAAAATGTTTTAGATATGTGTTTGTTTTGTTTTTAAGTGTATTGGCTTCTGTTCAACGTAGTGCTAAGGTTATGGTTTCCTCAGCAGAAGGATTTTCCTTATACCACAATAATTTATTTCCATCTCCTCCACCAATGCGCTCTACGATCTGTTTTAGGGGTTCTTCCAACCTTCCAGAGCAGACTCAGAGGACTGTGGGGGGCACATGCAGTGGGAGTAGAGAAGGATATTCCCATTGGATTAGTGGGAATTCTTGTAAGGGCTTCTGCCACTGCAACTATTTAGTTGATTAAGGCCCATTATTTTGCTAATTTGTTGCTGTTTGCTGCCCTTGACTCCTGGGGGGGAGGGGTCAGATAGAAATTAAATAATTAAAATATTTCTAAATATGTTAAGAAAAGCATGAGTGAGATACCTCTCAGGTTTTCTCACACTGAGATTCATACTTTTCAATTTTTGATTGACAAAACCATGACATTATCACACAACAATTAACACATTTCCAGCATGGAATAGAATTGCCAGTCTACAAGCATGCTTTGGAAAGGTGAGGTTGGTTGGTAGAAACTTTTGCTGTTACTCTCTGAATATGATAAACTAAGCTTGTTCATGGCTTTGGGGATGGAGTTAAAAACACATTTATTCAGGGATTGATCAGACCTTGTTAAGGATGCAATCGATAATCGCAGAGGTGTCCCAGGAGCTATAGGATATTGTGAATCTCCCTCCACAGGCAAAGGGGGAACTGCATTGCTAGAGGTCCTTTCTGGATGACTTCAGAAATTTCTGAGATTGTAGCTGTGATGGAGGCAGGGCTGAAAGGGTAGCTTGTGTGGATGTCTACTCAACAGGATCCTTGTCTCCCTCATAGCACCAAACAGAACCAGAAACCACTGGCATGGGAACATACCTAGTTAATTCCCTTGCTTAAGAGGCAATTGAAGGGAACAAAAAAAGGACAGAAGCAGGGGCTTAGGAGATGGAGGGTACCTCTGTTGTTGATCTCCCACAACTGCCACCAGAAGGGTTGCTCTGCCTATGGTCTTGAGCCAGTTACCCTGGCTTCAAGGGATCAGAGATGCCTTTTTAAGGGAACGGGCTAATGGTTAGAAGATGCCTTCAGTCTGATCCAGCATGGTATCCAATACCAAAAGGGAGATCTTCCAAGTGAGGAGTGCAGGCCCTCCATCTTCTCCAAACTGGCTACATTATTGTTTTCCCTAGGTTATTTTTGTGGCTAACAAGAAAATTGTTGCTAACAAGAAAATAAGTTTTTGAGAGGCTTGAGGGGATGGGAACTTCAGGATCAAGAAGTCTTGGAGTTCTCCTCATGACATTTTAGCTCTCTGGGTATGTTTCTGAAAGCTCATGTAGGGAACTAGCCAGGAAACGATGGACGCTGCATATTTATAACACAGGATGGTCCTGAAAAGGCAGTTCATGTGTCTTTTAGAAACTTTATTCTTTTTTTGGAGCTTGGGAGGGAGACTGCTTTCCTTGTTCTTGTAATGTCACAGTGGCTGTGTGTGGGCATCGCGATGCACCATAGTTTATGCTTTAGCATAGACATGCAGGTGTCAGGAGCCAGAGTCAGATGTAGGTCAGTGATAAAAGAACACAGTGTTGGCGATCTTAACTCTTTAACGAAGAAACCAAAACAGCACAGGCTTAGTGATCCCAGCAACTCTACCCAGTAGGTCTTGACACGCAATGAGACAGTTGCAAGGACTGAAGGTTCGCACCTTCCCACAGCTGCCTAAGTCCCCACCTCTCCAGGGTTTTTTCCAAGCAATTGGGGACAGTGTCTGCACGCAACAGTCCTCTTCTCTTTTCATTTCTGTGTGTGTTGTGAGAGACTGGGGGGGGGGGGCTAGCTGCAGCAGGAAGGGGAGACTCCCTGGATTCTTCAGCAGCCGGCCTCATCTCTGTCTCCTGGCCCTCCTCCTCTCCAGCCTCTGAATCAGGACTGCTCTCTGCCTCAGGCTCTTCCTGCTCACTAAACCCTGTTGCCTTTGGACACCTCCTTCCTTCCTTCCTTCTGCTCCCTTTCCCCCCCTCTGACCACTCATGGTCATCCCACCATCAGTCTTCTGGCTCTGAGCCTTCTTCCCCTGGGGGTTCCCTTGGGGGTTTCCCAGCTGGTGCCTCCCACTACTCTGCCTCCAGCCAATCCATGACAGCGAATGACTCTCTTTTCACTGTTTCACCCAGCAGGAGAAACAAACAACAAAGCCAGACTTCACACTCTGTTCAAAGTGGTTTATTTTGCTACAAGCAAGTCATGATGTGAAGCCAAGCTTTTGCTCTTTGCTCCCCTTTCATAGTTTGTTTGAGGGTTTCCTGGCATGGACATTAACACTAAACCTGGGCAACATTGTTTGTTGCTCCCACTTGCGCAAGGAGAGGAACAAAGCAGTAGTGCTAGTCAATGGGTTTCTGTGAAGAGTGAGAGCTAAGAGTTCTAGAAGACATTTTGACTTATGGCTCTCACTGTAGGTGTGAGACGCAAACTCCATTTGATACATTACATCAAAAGCGGTAATGCATAAGTCATTTTAAAATTATCCTGCTTCCAGGTAACTTGTAAGCCAGTTCTGGAACACACTTTTTCTGACTCTTGATTGTCTTTCCTCTGTTTGTCCCTTTTCTTGCAGAAGATGCTAGTGAAGCAGCAGGACCGCCTGGAGGAACGCGAACAAGACATTGAGGAGCAGCTCTACAAGTTGGAGTCTGACAAGCGGCTGGTTGAAGTAGCTTGGATTTCTCTCTTCTTCCCTCCCCTCCCCAGTGTTAGACGCAAGAAGGATGCTGGGCTGCAGTTACCCACCAGTCAAGGAAATACCTTGATAGAAAAACTGGGAAGGGAGAAAGTTTCAGCCAGCATAGCAATCATGGAACCCTAGGTTTTAAGACCTTATTCTGCCAGAATGACCTTATAAAGGGCCTGTCTGCTGTAGCTCCTAAGCAAACCCAGTAGCCAAAGTTTAAAGGACACAAGGGTGTGAAGTCTTTGGCAGAGAGAGCAAAAATGACCGACTCTGCAAGCATCTCTCCATACAGCTGTAAATCCAAGAACTTGCTTTGTTCAGCAGGGACGAACCTCTCAAGGTTTGGTTCCCATCATCCTATCCCTCCTGGTGCCTTACTTAAGTAACCCTACTTTCTTCTTCTGTGATGAGGAACAAAGACCAAGAGTCCTCACTCACAGCCTCCTTCAAGTTATTATATACCCCATTCTCTTCCTGGTTGCCTGGTGTTCCCTGTGCAATGGCTACTAGTTTAGTTTCCCCCAAACTGGATAGCCACTCTATCCTGTTCCTATACTGAACAACTCTGTATTCTTGTGGCTCCCTCCTAGTCTGATCAAAGCAAAGTCAGTAACCTATGCTTTTTTGTTCTTCAGAAAAAATTGAGAGCCTGGGTAGGTGCCCTAGGCATAGCTACTGCATAAAGGAACACCAATCATTTAGTTTCAGAGTGCATCCTCCCCACCCAGCCTCAGTCACAAAAGATAAAGCAAGTAGGTATGAAGGGAGGCTAACAAGAGGCATTTTTCTTCCCCCTTCTATACCACCAGGAGAAGGTGAATCAGCTGAAGGACGAGGTGCGCCTGCAGTATGAGAAGATGCACCAGATCCTTGAGGAGGATCTGCGCAAGACGATGGAGATCTTAGACAAGGCCCAGGCAAAATTCTGCAACGAGAATGCTGCCCAGGTGCTTCACCTCAGCGAGCGGATGCAGGAGGCCAAGAAGCTGCTCAGCTCCGTTCAGGTCATGTATGACAAGACCGAGGACATCAACTTCATGAAGGTGAAGTGGGGGGTGTTTGGGGAAGGGGAGGGTCTGGTGGAGCACTTGGCAGCAGGAATAAGGGAAGGACTTGGAGCTTATGTGACAACCCCGACCCCAAAATGGCCGCTTTAAGCTGCCTCAGCTTGACACAGCTTCACTTGCATCCACAGAAATGGAAGCTTCTGCTTTTCCCTCCTACCTCCCATGAATTAATTAACTGTTTGGCACAACTTGGGAGTCCCACTCATTCCCTACACTGGGCTACTTACCTGCCTAAAGAGCATCATGAATGTTGTCTCTTGTGCGGCTAAATTGAGCCCGTAAGGATGACCAAGCTTCAGAGGGAAGAGCTCAACCCAGGGTAGTTTCATCTTCCGAAAGATCTCAGAGATGGGGAGTAATGTTTATTTGTCCGGGTTACTTCTTGTTTTCTACTTGTGTGTAGATACTCAAGAACATCATGCAAAATGTGTGTGCCTTGTGACATTTTAAATTGTCATACTGAAATTGTGGAAGAACTGATTGGAAAAGGATTGGGTACCCCTTTCTTTATGTGTTATTAAGAGCAGAGGGGTATTGGACAAATAGCAGGGAGACTCAGGTTCAAATCCCCCCCTTGGCCTTGAGCCGTTCACCATCTCTGAGTCTAACCCACTTCACAGAGTTGTTCTGAAGAGAAGACAGGAAAACTCAGTGTAGGCTACCCTGAGCTCTTTGGAGGAAGTGGTGGCAAGTAGCACATTATCAGAAATGTGGAGCTGGCGGAGCTCTCAGGGCATAGCCTTGAATGCACATTATGCAGCATTCAGGCTGAAGCTAAGGCAGCCTGGCCAGGCAGTGCCTGGAGCCCTAAGCCTAATCTACCTCACAGGAATGTTCTTTAGAATAAGGAGCGTCTGGCAACCCAAAGTTAAGGATTAATCTAGGAAGGTGTGCTAGCTGCCATAAGAAACACCAAGCATTTAAGGCTGGAGGAGGGGGATGATATATATATGGGTGGTTACTACTTTGGAGTAAAGTTCCACCAGGGAAAAGCTCAACATTTCTTAGGTTCAGGAAGATGGGATTTGCAATATTAGGTGCTGCTTTGTATAACATGTCATACTAGGAGATTTACGTCGCACCTGGTGGGGCACCGACATGTCCCCAACAGGTTTCCCTTTCTGGATTCCTAAACTGAATCTTGTCATGTCATGCAGCAGGCTAATGAATACAAGGGGCATCTCAACTTGTGCTCTGGTGTAAGATATTGCTGAGCAACCCCCTCTCGGGTTAATCTCCCCATCACATAGACCAGATGGCCCACTCCTCATTTTAGAAAGACGATATGCCCTTGACCCCTTGAACAGTGCTGTCTGTCAAAAAGAGGCTTTCCAAGTAAATCTCAGCAGCTGATTGGCAGGGTATTTACACCCTACTGGAGTATATCCCTTTAGCTGAGCTGATCCACCAATGTTGGCCTAATTGTGCTTCAATAAATATCCAGAACCTGGAGTGGTAGCCTGTAGCAAATGGATTGTTTTAATTTTTTTTTTTTGCTAGGGTGCAATATAGCTATATAAAATGGCCTTTGAGCTGGAGGATAGAGTTTTTTGTTGGCATTGTTCTGACAGTAGGGAGATGACATGAGGCTAGAGTGGTGGAGGGAAATGAAAGCAATAACCTCTGTAATCTTGTGCCTCAGAGTTAGTGGTTTGTTCTGGACTGTAGCTAAAGTGACAAGTTAAAGTCTAAAATCAAGATGCTGATTTAACTATGTTGTTTCTGTGGGGAGCTGAAGTTCCCATAATCATCATCATCATCATCTGAATTAAAGATTTACAAGGCAGTTTCTGCCTGGCACACCTGGTTGCTTTAGAGAGCATACTCACAAGACGAATGAAAACGGCCCTTCTAGTTCCACCTTTGTTATCCTGGAGGAATGGAGCCAAGCCATAAATTACTCAGAAGAATTCTTCAAAGTGGCAGCATTTATTTTGCTTTTGTTAAGGTGTTGTGCACTGCTAAGGACTGAGCTTGAAATCTGGTGGCAGATGCTTCCATTCAACAGAGGGATGCAAAGGTGTTGTTTGAGTCTCAAATAATAGACTTTTGGTATAGTAACAGCAGCTTAGCATTACGTAGTACTTCAAAGTGGATTACATATATTATCATTACAACGTTTTTACAACAGCCCTGTAAAACAGCTCAGCTTTATCTACCTTTAGTTCATTATAAGGAGCTGCATAATTCCGAGGCTAGTGACCTACATGGCTCAGTACTGCAGCCCTGACTGGCATTGGACTTCAGGGCCTTGGCTTTGTCAGCCTTAGCCTTGTTACCTAAGATCCTTCTGCTGCAGATGCAGGGACTGAATCTGGGATCTCTACCTATGTGCTTTGCTCTGAGTTGTGGCCTCTCTCAGATAGTGCTGCTGTATCTGGGAAGTACAGTGTGTGGCTGTTTGTGAGGATGGGTGGTTGAGTAAGAGGAATGTCCTTCATATGAAATCAATGAGGGTGCGAGGGAGACAAAAGAGAAATATACAGAAATGGGAAAAGGTGCTGCTGCTGTGCCACAAGAGGTCTGCATGACTTACAGCTTCTGATTCCATTTTCTCTATTGCCTCCTAGAATACCAAGTCGGTGAAAATCTTGATGGATAGGTAAGAAATCAATTTCCTGGCAGTCTGGGTTTGGGTGAAGGAGGGTGCATGTCTATGATACAGCTAATCTAGAGGATCTTCTTTGGGGAGAGCAATAGGTAGCAAAAGGAGTGTTTTGTAGACATCTTAAGCTACTGTTCCTCCCACAGCATTGGGGAAACCTTGCGATAGAGTTCCATCAGACTGATCTACTTCATTCATGTGGTCCCTGGCATGTCTAAAAAAACAGCAGGTAAAGGCTGTGGTACGTAGGTGGTCTGTGGACAAATGCCAGCTCCTTCGGCCTGAAGTGAGATGAGCACCACACCCTATAGTTGCCTTTGACTGGACTTAACCATCCTTAAAAATCATACAGCGTCTAGCATTACAATTGCTGCAACAGACAGAAAAGTCATCAAGTGGGGGAGGAGTTTGGGAACTGCTGCTTTATCGGGGAGTTACAGTCTTGCTAGAAGTAGGGATGAGGTGCTACTGCTGAATTCTAGTGTTTATATCTTGAGCTCAGCACAGTGCGAAGAAGAGAAGAAGCCTTATTTACTGTGAAAGAATTAGGATGCATGATCTGTCCAGCTTTCCTGAAAGAAAGCTGAGAGAAAAATGGATTATAATGCCTATCCACTTCCACAGGTAGAAAATACTTGGTACTAAAGGTATTTTTTCATGAATTGGAGGGAGATGAGATGAGAACTGATTGATGAGCTGTGCAAAATCCACTTAAAAATCAGCACAGCGTTTTCAGGGGCAATTCTAACCTGCAAGACAGGTTGCTCACACTTTGTAAGAATCTTGTTGACCAAATCCCACCTCTAAAAGAGTGTATCTTCTTGAACTGCACTCAAGTCATGCCTCTGTCTTATCTGTGGGTCCTGCCTGTGTTACTTAGCTGTAGGCAATGTGTGTGTGTGCAGTAGTGGCGCGCAGGGGGGGCGCTCTTACAGCATTGGGTTCTGCTCTGTAGCTCCACCATCAATGCAAAATAAAAATAAAATTAAACTGTGTTAGTGAAACTAGGTAATTTTGATCAGTATTAATGACAGGAAAATGTTGAAAGAGAATATGGTAGTGGTGAATGGAATCAAAGCGAGTAATGTGGCGCGACACAAAGTCAAGGAAAGAACCAGCTGGCCCAACTCAGAAGGGAATTACAATCTGCTTTCCAGCAGATAGTAGAAGGAGGAAAGTCAGTACAGTACTTCAGTCTGTAATGTCGTATAATGCCCCCCCTTTTTTTAAAGGACCCAGAACTGCACAGGAGGCAGCCTGCCCCCTCCCAAGATTGGCCACCTCAATTCCAAGCTCTTCCTGAATGAGATTGCCAAGAAGGAAAAACAGTTGCGGAAGCTTCTGGAAGGTGAGTGATGTCTCTCTTGACCCTTCCATCTCCTAGGCACACCTGAACCCAGGAGGGAATGCTCTAATCTGTCTTTGTATACGATACACAGCCTTGGTGTTGCTGATCAGAGTGGTGCTTTGAACTAGAAATCCAAATATCATTGAAAGGGTGAGGGTGGGAAAGGTAGGGAGCGGATGTTCCATGCCATGGTTTTCTCAGGGGCCAAGTTTATTTTTGCTGTATGTTATTGTTTGAGATCAGTCTCTTGGATTTGACCATTACTTGTCACCAGCTAGCTACCCTGAGATTAGGGCAAATGATTAAAAAACCCAGAAAATTCTGCAGTCACATGTAATTTCTTCTATATATATAAAAGTGAAGTAGGAAGTAGCAGTTCTGGAATACATCAGACTGTCTTGAGCCTCCCCAGCCCCTAGGCGCATGGCTTTCAAAGCAGAGGAGAGTGATCCTAAAAGGGTATGGGCAGTTTGTTAAGGGTAGTTCTTCTTATTCCTGCAGTGCGGTTGATCCCAGAGTAATCTTGGGGCAATTTATGATCTCTGATTAGGAAGGAAGGTTTTTCTTTGTCTTTGTCTTGTTTTTGGTACCTGTCTTTCAAATCAGGAAGAGTTGGATGTTACACTTGGAAATACTTGGATGATGTGTTTTCATGACTTAGAGAAACACTCTTAAACATGTCTAGGTTTGCAACCTTTAACTCTGATATTTCAGGCTAGACGTCTTCCTCCTTCCCCAATGGACAGTGTTGCCTCTGACTTCTCATTGTCCCTTGCAGCCCCACTCTACTTGGAAGTACTGTCCACTAAATCTTTGGGAAGGACTTACTTCCAATTAACAAATTGTATAGGGTCTGCAACCTTTTAGTCTGATTCTTAAGCATATTTACTTGCGGCATTTTCAGGGGCTCACTTAACATGGCATAAGTTCTCAGCCATAGCCTTCCTCTTTTGGTCTCTCTATTTCCTCTGTATTTCCAAATACAATCCCAGTGCCTGTCAGGTAAGCTCTTATTACTCTCTGTAAGAAACCTTAAATGTACATGCTGTTTTCAGCATGACTATGACTCAGCAAAGATAGTACTCCTGTCAGCCCCCTCTTAAAAACACTTTCACTTTTGGGTTGCAGTAACAAAAACATCACAGGCAACACATGGGAGGGGAAAACATTGCTCTATAAGTTGGCTGTAGTTTGGCTTCAGCTGGAGTGCTTTTCCATTTTTGAAAGGGATTCAGTGTGTGTGTGTGTGTGTGTGTGTGTGTGAGAGAGAGAGAGAGAGAGAGAGAGAGAGAGACTGTGGGTTAAGCATGCAAAGAAAAGATAACGCAGCTGAGCTTGACACAAAGAAGGCTTTGGCTATGGTATTAGATTTGACACCCAAAATAGTGGCTGTTGTGAAGAAGAAGGTGAATGGGCTGTATGCCAGGATCGTAATGCTCAGGGGTGGGAAACCTCAAGCTCTGGGGGCTAGATGTGGCCCTCCAGACCTTTTTAATGGCACTTGGAATTCTGCCCCCACCCACAGCCCTCACTGCCTCCACATTTTATTTTAGTGTTTCTGCTTAGGTAGACTGTATACTCTCCCGGAGGGAGAGAGGTGTGGCTGGGCATATAAATTGTTTTATTTGTAGAGAAAGCTCTGGCTTTTGTGTGGCTGTAATGTAGACAGTCAAACCCATTGCTCTGCCCACTTTTGCCTTTGGTTCTGCCTACCCCTGGCATGCCGTGCCCCTCCCCACTGAAAGAATGCCCAAGGAGGAATGCAGCAGCAGCCCTCTGGCTATACACAGTTCCATGGAGGTAAGTCCCACTGAGTTCAAAGGGACTTACTTCTGAGTAGGCATGTATAGGATTGCAGTGTGAGGCTAGGATAAGAAGCAGGGGTTTCAAACTGCAGCCTTCCAAATCTAGGATAAATATTGAAAGGGGGGGGGGAGAGAACCCTCCTGAATTCTAAAAGCAGTTTGGCAGTAAATCTATTTCCCTTCAGCAGAGATAGAGCTTCCTTCCCTGGGAATTTTGAAGAATAAGCTGAATGGAAATCTGTCAAAGGTGGTTTAAATCTAGGGATATCAGGGAATTGGAGTCAGCTCCCTGATTCTCTGAGTCTGCAAAGAGAATAGGCTATGCTGAAAATGTCTTATATTCCAAGCTGATGATCAAGAAGCCTTTGAGAAGCTACTAAATATGAGCATTGATCTGCAACTAGTTTTGCCAAAGGGTGAAAAAGTGCAGGCAAGCACAAGGCTGGATAGCAGAACAACCAAGAATAGGGTGGAAAGATTGCTAATTATTGGAGGAGGTTCAAAAAAAGAGAGAAAAGAATGACTGTTGTGGAACAAGAAGTCACAATGGTTTAACGAAGCTTTCCCCAACCCAAAACACTCCAGATGTTTGGGAGTGCAGTGCCATTAGCCCTAGACAGCATAGCAGCTGTAATAAAAAATATCTTGAGGACACAAGGTTGAGGAGAGATCGCTTGATGGGTCAAAAAGGGAATGATCTTCCAGGCAGAGGGAGCAAGCAACATCTCAGAAGGTTTGAATATGAGCTTGGGAAAACAAATGGCAGGGCTCATAGAACTCTAGTTGGCTAGAGGTATCTTGGTGTTTGCTTGCCTGACATCACCACCAGAATACCTTAAAATCCTGGTCTGGATTTTCAGCCATATGTGGACTTGAAAAATTGAATTGGCAAGCTTCACCTGCCAAAGAAACTGCAGTGAGAATCCAGCTCAGCTTTGTCTTCTCCAGGTGTTGCAGTTCTCTCCACCCCCTTATCCCTTGGTTTCTTAGCCCCTGGACTCTGCTAAATTACTCCACTAATAATACAGAGCATCCCAAGTCTGGACTTGCCTAGCAAGCAGGGTGTGAGGTAATTCTTGGCTGGCAGAGGACACTTAATGCAACCAGACGTTCACCTTGTACCTCCTGTGGCTGGAATAGGCCAGGGGGTGGGAAATTAGGGACATGGTTAAAGGGTTGTGGCTATAAAGCTTCACCTTTGAGCTCCTGGGATAGGTCCCCCAAAGCCATGTTCTGCATCAAAAACACCTCCAACTCAATTATGCAAATACAAGAAGCAATGGATATTAGCACCATCTTCAGATTTTTGGCACTAGACCGTGGATATGCCATTTTGTGAAACTTGTATTTTCTGTTCATTTGTTTAGTGTAAGAACTGCAGGCTGGCAGGCAGTTCTGAGTTCTAAAACAGGAAGGGCCTAGGATGTTGCCTTTTTCTGTAGTGTTTGGCACTATGCAGGTCTTCTCTGCCAGATTATAGAGGACATTATGTGGTCACAGATTTTCTGGTTCCACATGCCTCCGAAGGATCATTCTCTGACATTTAGTACTTGGTGAGTTTATCCTAAAACAAAGCCCCTTAACTTGCTTCCATGCCGGGTTTGTTTACATAGTGGAAGAACTAAGAGAACAGTGAGCAAAATGCCAGGAAAATCTGTAAATGATTGGCGACTCTTTCCCCCAGCTTGTGTTCTTGTGCTTTTTAGTATGTGGTTGTGAGGTCAGACCTTATACTTTGACATTCTCTGCCGAGGCCTATATTGCTGCATGGAAAACTGGGCAAGTGGATCTCTGCCGGAGGAGGGGAGCGGGGTGTTGCTTCTAGTTGGCTCACGGAACTTGGAAAAGAGGGCTGCCTTCTTGCTCAAGGTGACAGCACGTTGTCTTCTCTGTTTCCTTCAGGTCCCTTCAGCACCTCGGTGCCGTTCCTGCAGAGCATCCCTATGTACCCTTGCAGCGTCAGTAATTCAGGAGCCGAGAAGCGCAAGCACTCCACAGCTTTTCCGGAAGCCAGCTTCTTGGAGCCCTCTTCGGGACCTGTGGCCAGCCAGTATGTGAGCCAGGGGGCTTCGGCTGCTGAAGGCCAGTCTGCACAACCCATGGTGCCTTGTAGCTCCACCCAGCACATAGTAGGACTTCCCAGTGGCCCCCAACCAGTTCACTCTGGCTCGATGTTCAACCCTTCTCACTACCCCAACAGCACATCATCTCAGCAGTCTGTGCTGTCTCAGTATGGTGGGCGCAAAATCCTTGTCTGCTCGGTGGACAACTGTTACTGTTCCTCAGTATCCAATCACAGCGGGCATCAACCGTACCCACGGTCAGGCCACTTTCCATGGACAGTGTCGTCGCAGGAATATTCCCACCCCCTCCCACCTGCTCCCTCCGTACCTCAGTCGCTTCCGGGATTGGCAGTGAGAGAATGGATTGATGCATCTCAGCAACACGGACGCCAGGATTTCTATAGAGTTTATGGTCAGCCTTCCACCAAACACTATGTCACCAGTTAACCATCTGGTTTGGATAGAATCTTTATTGATTTTTGAAAGTTTTTTTGTTTTGTTTTTTAATTAGCTTTTGTTGTCGTTGTCGTTTTTAAATCAAACCCATTTCCATTATTCCCTACCACTTGCCAGAATCTGAGAGGGGCATTGCTGTCATCTCTGTCTTTAATTTAAATTTTTTTTTTTAATCTTCCTTTGTATCAGGATGGGCGGGAGGGTGGGGGAAGCTGTGGAAAAAAAATTTAACAAGAATATCAATCAAGCATCTATTTCTGGATCATGTGACATTGCTACTTTCCGGTTTGGAAAACTTTTAAAGGGACAGATGATCCTTTTCTATTTCAAAGTCTCTGGGCTCTTTCGGTTTTGCTTTTTAAAATTCTTTTTCGCCTCCCATTTTTTTAAGAGGAGAAAATTTCTATCATTGATTCATTAAGAAATGACATTTGTAGATTTTTTTTTTAAAAGGCTGATTTTTTTGTGTTAAAAGACCACGTATCGTGCATATTGGCATTTTTTTTCCTTCTTCTTTCAGAGATTTGTAAATACACAATGGCAGGAAATGAAATGCACAAAAAAAGGGAAAAGAAACTTTTAAAAAAAGAAATAAAAAAATCTGTTTTAGTTTCCAGGAGGGAAGTGTGTGTGTCAAGATGCACACATTCCTTCCTGTGTTTCGTTGATGCAACTTCCTCTAACAAGCACTTTGTATTAAAAAAAAGTGGACTTCCTGTTATAAGGTGCAGGTATTTATTCTGTAACCAATTTTAGAACACACACAAAAAATATTCAAATAAATGTGATCACTTAGTGCACATGCTTTGTTCTGCTTTGCCTCCGCGGGCACTATTTCAACCAACGCCTCGTCTGGGAACAGGAAAACGTTACTCAAACAGAAAACTGACAGCATTTAAAAATAGTTCGCACTCTGCTTTATGTGCTCCCTTTGGAATAATCTCAATCAGAAATTCAAGTACCAGGTAACTGTTGAAGAAGGCTAGTCAAATATGCTGCCCAATATCCTGCACCTTCTGGAGTAAATCAGGAATATAGTTTGGATATTATCATTGAATTGAACATGAATTGGTATAGTACTGCAGAATAAAAGGTATATCTAATTTACGGGTATTTAGAAATAAGATGCACAGCATGTGACAGATGGGTTCGTATACTCCTCACCTGCTAGGCCTTGGTTAAAAATGTGAGTCTCGGTTAAATTAAGAAAGATGTAGCTCTTCATATAGGATATTTTGGCCAGTGCATTGCAGTGCAGAATATGTCACACTCTTTGGTTTCCCAAACATCTCTTCTTTCATTTAAAACACCATTTTCTAATTCATTTGGTAGCATTGTTTGCAAAAGTTCATGGCTATACTAGAGATGCAGTTTTTAAACCATTAATGTATAGCTCTGTTGTACGATATGTAGGATACAGTCTCATGTACCCTGTCATCAAACGCAGTGAGTCTTACCTCTGAGTGTATTTGCACTGGATTGCACTATTGGTCAATCTTTTTTTTTTGCCTGGAGTTTAAATTCACCATCCCTTTGAACTCCAAGTACGAAACAACTCCTTTTAACCCCTGCTTTTGCTTCTGCAACATTTTTTTTTTGTCAAAGGCAAATGATTGGGGCTGAGAGAGAAGTGATTTACCCAAGGCCATAAATAGTAAGCATGGGTAAGCAAATAGGTATTGGTGGGGACTGGACCCTAAACATCAAGTTCTATAATCATCCACATCACCCTCGCAAACCCAATTCCCCTTCCAAAACTGCATTCTCACTTTCATTTCCCCCCTCTGCTTTCTCTACATGAAAGAAAGAAAATCACCCGTTTTTTCTCTCTCATGCAGGTCCATTTCCCCATCAGCAGCCAGATCCTATGCATTAACGCCTGGGCCTCTGTTATCTTCCTTCCATCTGCAGTGTAAAAGAGTAGGAAAATAAAGACAATAAAAATTCAAAATAATGTGCAGCCAATGAATTTGCAGTCACACCAGTGCCAGCATCAGCCAGCCTGTCTGCCTGACTCAACAATGGAAGCACCATGTGGCACTCATGGTCTGTAGAAATAGGCAAAGAGAGTGAACAAATTTTATGCGCTGAGTTTCAAGCATCCTGTTTTTATTTAGGTTTTGTGCATGCACATTGACTTTTAATGGTTTGATTCACCCTAAAGAACAGGGCCCTAAAGAACAAAAATTACAGCATCATTTTTTGTTTGTTTTTTGCCCTCAAGATGGCACTTAAGTATGCCACTTTTGAATCAAATTGCCTCATCATACAGTGATACATTATTATTATTATTATTATTATTACTACTACTACTACTACTACTACACTTACGCTGTTTGACTGTGCTAAAATCTAAGCGGTTTCTAAGAAATATTAAAAGGCTATAAATAAAAACAGTTAAACAAAAGTTTTAAGATAATTAAAATGAACAGTAAGACATATTAAAACGTGGCTAGATCTGCCTAAACTAAATTATTCTATTCAGGGGATGAAAAGAGCACAGTGAAGGTGCCTGACTGGTGTCGATAGGCAGGGATTTGTAGCTGTTTCTATATTCTCATCCATCTGGTATGTCTGGAAAAGTTTGAAGAGGCAATGATTAGTCTATCAATTTCCAGCAATCTGTGGTTTAGCTTTCTTTGGTCATGATTCCTAATCCCCTGAAGTTCATCCCATTAATATCTTAAGAGACTTGTGGATAGTGGCTTTTCATCAGTAATGTAATATCCCGCTTCTGCCCCTCTCCACAGCCATTTATGTGCACATGGCTGGACTAACCATCTCAAGATCTGTTCTAGAGAAGTGGTTCTATTTGATCCATTACTTTTTGTCAACTTTGATCAAATTTGGCTTTCCAAATTGCTAGGGTGGTGATGGTGCTGAGTAGTGGCTTGCAGTTACAGAGCTTCCATCCTTCACTTGATGCAGTGCAATTAGTCGGAATAAGGAATGTGACCAGTCAGGTATATGGGATGAGTTTGGGCTGTGGCCTCTTACATAAGTTTCTATCTTTCTTGATCCGGCAGGGAAAAAGGCAGCCATGATTACTCCCAAATGGCACAGCTAGAGACCTGCTTTCTCTGGCATATGTGGGAGAGAAGGGGGATGACAGGACCAGATAGTTAACCTGTGAAGGATATGCACCTTCCTTATCTCCTGATCCACTGGGAAATTTAAAGGGAAATGGGACAAGTGAAAATCAGGGGGGGAACTAGATAAAACAGCAGGTTGTCTCTCTTGTTTCAAATGCAAGTCTGCACCAAATACACAAAGTTTCCCTCCTCCAACACCATTTTTCCCTCAGCTGGACCTGGCTGGAGAAAAGGCCTCTGAGAGAACAGTGTTGGGAATAATTGGCACACAAAAGGACTTTTTGTGTAGATTTATTTCATTTGTTTAATCTAAATGCATGTACAGCAGAAATATTACAAGATCAACACATAAGAAATACACACATTCATTTTCTCTCTCTCTCACTCTCTCTTTCTCTCAAATTGCAGTAGGCATGGCTGGGATCCACCCTCTGGGAAGGCAAAACTTGTCTCAAGTGTGGTGAAGCTTTGTACCTCCAGATGTTGCTGAACTTCGCCCATCATCCCTGCTTGCTAGAAATGTAGTTCAGCAACATCTGGAGGGCCAAAAGTTCACCACACCTAGCCCCTCCAAAGAAAAATATTTTCAGTAAGTGTGACACCATCAGAAGAGCCTACCTACCCTGATGACAGCGGTGACTGACCCAGGGTATGGGGAATGAGGCAAGTATCTCTCAAGTATCCTAATCCCAAGTTATTAATCACTTTAAATGCTAGCACCAAAATCCTAAATGTGGCCTTGTAGCATATTGCCAGCCTGTGCAGGTGTGTCAACAAAGGTGTTGCCTAGCTGACTGCCGGCCATGCCAATTTGCTGCAGCTTCTGGATCAGCCTTAAGGGCAGTCCCACATAGAGCTCATCACAGTAACTTGAGTCTTAAGGTTGCCATTTTAGAAGGAAGTCTGCTGCTGTTGCAGCTCCTGCTTTCAAAGTGCAATTGTATACATGGAGTTCAATGGAGCTCATTTCCAAGGAAGCGTATAGGATTGCTTCTGCTTCTGAGATGATGATGTCAGGGCCTTCACATGTTACATCACATAATGCAGTCTAGAGTAAGGTTATCAGATTTTTTTCAATGAATCCAGGGATACTTTTCAAGTTCAGTCGGAATGATAGTGGAAATGGTAGGGGACTGATTTGTAAATCCAGGGACTGTCCCCGGGAAATGGGGACGTCTGGTAACCTTAGTCTACAGAGAGGTATATAAGATATTGCTGCTGTATTGTAATGGGATAGTTGGGAGCAGATTTGTGCATCACAAGCATAGAAATTGAACACAAGGTTCTGCTTTGAGCACGTTACTGTGTATAATAATGGCAATGTATGTGTTCAAAGCACAACAATAAAAACAGCCATTTGTTTTTTAATACTGACCTTTCTAAGGAGGAAAAGTAGTGTAAGCCACTTCTAAACACAACAGAGGGAACAACTTAGTCACGATGGCTACGTTCTAATTCCCTCGTCAGAGGAAATATGCCACTGAAGTCTAGTTGATGGAATCACAAGTGATGGGACAAGCAGGAGATTCTGTAAGCATGTATTTAAGCATGTAATGCCATTTCAAAGGGAACAGGAGTTACTCCCTTTTCCAAAACTTAATGGAAAAGGCCCAACCTCCAGCTCTCTATTAATCCAAGGGCTGGTTTGAATCTGACCCAAGCGCTAGTTTCTTTCCAGATTATGTGCTTTATTGCTGCCTCTGCTGTGGTGCAGTGGTTAGAAAACCACATAACAGTACTCTGAATTTTCCAAGCTCTTTCCCTGATCAAGAAATCAGGGAATGAATGGATCTTGGTATGATTCCAAAATCATAGGCCCCATATAGTGTTGCCAACTCCCCTTTGTCTTGGACAACTGCCAGGTTGTGACAAATTCCAAAGCAGCTTCCTTCCCTCTTCACCGCTACCTCCCTTTGAGAAAAATGAGACTTCTCACTAAGGTGTCTGTTAAAGGCAGGCGAGAGTCTCTTGAGTGACTATTGTAGAAGCTAGACATGACAAACCACAGGACTGTGTGTCTCTGTGTAGTTTCAGTTGTTAACAGGTAGGGTTGCCAGCTGCAGACCTAGAGCATTCTGGCACCTTTTAAGGAGTATATAATTCTGTATGGTGCCACATTTCTTCATTCACAATTCACCTTTGCACTTAAGTCTTTGCACAACTTTCTAGTGCCCATTCCGTGCTTGTAACTCATCCTGTAACTAAGGCTGTGTACACAAAATACGTTTAAAGTGGATCTGAAGTGCATTATTTCCCTCCAAGAATTCTGGCCACTGTGTCACAATTCCCTTAAACCCTTCACAAACTACAGTGTGCAGAATTCTTTGAGGGAAGTAATGTACTTTAAATGTATTTTGTGTACACAGCCTAAGCCCCTGTAACTCAAAACAGTTGCATTTTCTTCCCCTTCTTATTTACATCTTCGGTTGTCAAATTTTAGATATTAAGCTCTTTGGAGCAGGGACCTCTGCTCTTGTAAGGCAGCTTGTGCACTGATAGTGCTATAAACATTTGTAAACAAATAATAAACACAAAAAACAGAATTTTCCCAGGTGCAACTCTGTTAACCAGACCTGTGAATATGAAAGAAGCTGCACCTGGTACAGTTTAGCCTGCTATGCACCTGTTAAAGGTACAGGAACCTTCTCAAGGTCTAGACCCAGAAACTCAAGTTAAAAACAGTTCTGAGGAAGTTTATTCAATTGCTG